ATAATCCACAGAGCTGGTGGTGGAGGTCGAATCGGTTGTGCCGGAAGTCGGGGGTCTCTCGGCGTAGTCGGACGACTCCAATCGTTCTTTGCTCTGGCCCATGGCCGTGTCCCCATTCGGATCATAGACCATCTTGACCGCTGGTGAGAGAGGGAGGAGGGAGTCCGGTGGTCACGCTTGACATGCACCAAATCCGCCCGGCGGCCAGAAGATAAATACCCCAGAACGAACTAAGAAAAATTTTCCTTCTAGAGAGTATGACGAACAGCTACTGCCTGTGGCTTAGAAATGATTCGAAATGGAGAACCCTCACGAAGCTTTTTTCTGTTACTTTTTTTCAGTCGTTCCTGCCGACTTATCCGTTCCAGACCCACCAGAGTCAATGATGGTCTCTCTTTTTTGCCTCCCAACTACTACCGTCCCCTTTTTTTTCTTTTTTTTTTCTTCTTTCTTTTCTTTTTTGTTTTTTTGTATTTCTTTTTTCCCTCAGGGGAGATAGTTTTCCACAGATCGCCAGGAAGCTCGTGCGTGAACCTGACGCCTGTGGTGGATGAAGAAGTCCATATCCGACATGTTTTGCACGTTCGGGATCTTCGACTGTTTGCGGGGACGACGTCGGATGTCCTTGACGTCATTCATTTTGTTTTTCTTCGGCATTCGGAAGATTTTCCGTCCCCGTGGCTGATGATCTTCCCGGCGGGATCTCCGAGATAATCAACTCTTGCCCAACCACGGGAACAGTATTGCTTAGCGGAGGATCTCGACAGAGGTGATCCGATCCCTTTAATTATCGTCTGAAATGCCGTAATAGGGGTAATAGAGTGTCACTTCGGAGGCCGGAAGTTTATGTATGTGTTCGGAGACCTCCTGTGTAGATGAATGGGTAATGCTCCACTCCGATCCGAAGTTTATATATCTGCCTACGGCATATTAGTATCATAAATGTCCGTAGGTCAACCAGTGAGACATGGCCCTCGATCAGTCCCTAGATAGAACATCATGCGTGAATTTAACAAGAACTCGAGTGAACATTACGCAGTATACTGGTTTAATGAGTATGGTCATGCTGTTCGTGGTCCGGAGCACAATGGACTACCCGTAGGATCATGGATGGATATGTGTTGCTCTTTCCAATTGCGGTAATCACGTGGTCCATCCCTCGCCAGGTCACATGGAGTGCACATGATAAATCTCTCCAGAGATGGTATGAAGAGGTACCTACAGTGAGCTTGACCACGACGAAACACCCAGACATAGTCAGGTCAAATCATAACTGCGACATCACGTCGCCTCATTTGGGGATCTTACAATGCGAGGGGCTAATATACAACGGTGGTCAACAAACAAGGAGTAGCACAATCGCTAGACAAACGATGCGTGCGAGGATACATGTCTCTACCGGCGAAACCCAGGTTGCCCAGGGAAGGAACACCACGGAGGGCCGATTGATGTGACTACGGATGAACCACGGACAAAGCAGAAAGGGGACGACTACGGGGGCATGGAGACTTGATCAAGGCTCCCACCCGGCGTTCGGCGAGGACGGCCGACGCGGGTGGGAATTGCCGCGGTTCCCCAGACTCAGACGTTCGTACTTTTCCAGCATGTCACGGACCCCGGAGGCCGTGCAGTTCCAGGAACCGCCGGAGAAGGTTCCCAGGTACCGTTCGAGCCCGTCGGCATAGTCACCCCATCGATCCGGTAACGGGGGCCAAGGGTGACGTCCAAAGAGCTCCTTCACCTCGTCGAAGACTGCATCCGACTGTAGGACCCGCTCCTCTTGGTTTCGAGATCGAACCGACTGGCGGAACATGTGGAACAGATAGCGGCCCACTGGGGACCGACTGGCTGTGATGGAGAATGCGCTTGTGAGCGATAAGAAGTCGTGACTGAGGACGTCAAAGGAAGGGTCGTCGATCATGGTGAAGAGAGCAAGCATCATCGCATAGGTAGCGAACTGATGAGCGCGCTCCATACCGTATTCCTCCCGATGAATCCGTGCCAGAGCCGAAATCTCTCGCGCGGATGCGAGACTGATTGCGTTGGCAGCCTCGTCCATCATGCGTCGTTGGTCTTCGGACCCCAGGAAGAATGATTGGACACCGAAGCCATCCAGTGCCAGGCCAATCAGGAGTACATGATACCGCATCCTACACCCAGCAGTCCACCTGTTCAGTAAACGGCGGGGGCAGTGGTGACAGACGAGCGACGAACCTGAGTAGGAGCACATGCGGCGGGGGTCTCTTAACCACCTGGAAGCTATCCGGGAGGGCACGCTCCCACTGGCGGAGCTTATTGAAGAACACTTGTTTCTGTCGATATTGGTCCGTCTCAGTGGTGGTCTCATGGTAGAGGTGATGTGAGATATCACGGGCAAGATACGAGAGCTTGCAGGCTTCATCGAAATATTGGCTGAGCCATGACTGTCGCGGCCTTTTGTCAGTCGGATATGGAACCCATACGTCCCCGGAACCGGTCTCGTTCGGGTCAATACGGTCGAGACTGACGTTGGAGACCCGGCTCGGCTTCAAAAAGTTGGTATGAACCACCCTGTGGTCGCGGCGACATCAGTGTCGCGCATTCAGAAGGGCTGGGAAACACCGACAACCCTGAGTGGAGAGAGACCTACGTATCGACCTGGAATACCCCCCATGCCGTTCGCTTCACGGATGTGATCATTTCATCGGACAGCTGCAATTTGCTGAGATCGAGCGGCTCCCGGTTGATGATGCCAAGTGCCTCCGCCATCTCGATCGCAAGATTGAGCATTGTATAGCCGAGGTCGTCCTCTCCCGACATGGCGTATCTGGTGCCCATACAATGGACGGTCACGTTTACCCTCCGGATCCTTCCTGCATGGGGGAGTGGCTACCTACCTTTCATATAGGAGCAATGCCCCTTGCAATGACGCCAGCCGGACCCCGCCACCCTTTTCCAGTTGATGACTTGGGAGATATCGTTCCGCCTCGGCCAGGAAATTGCGTCCCTTGCTGGCGACGACCCCTGGCACAACATACGCTTCGGCGTACTGCGAATAATACTGTCCCATGCCGTGACGTTAGTATCACCCGTAACGTGCTAGGGAGGGGAGTAGAAGAGTCCCTACGCATGCGTTTGCGAGAAGAGCGTTGACGAGGAACGGGCTACAAAGGTCGGAGTCGACATTTCCAAGGGTCATATGGCGAATGAACGCTCTTTGATCAACGAAAGCATAGAAGGGATAGTCCCAAGTGAAATACAAGGATACTAGATGGGACACCAGATTGTCGTCGTTCGTCACCGTCGTCCACGGTTTGGCGGGGACGCGGAAGGGTGTAATATCACACAGATAATTGAGGTCCATAACCGTGGGCCGAGACGGTGGCGCTCCACTGGACACATTCACTTTCTCCCGGAGATGTTCAAGGCTACTGATGGCTTGATCATCGTGATCGGAGATCTGGATTTCATCCAAGGCCCGGTCAATGTAAGACCGAAGTTGTTCTGCGGACGAATCCGCCCGCAGCAAATCAAATAGGCCTTGGGCATGCGAGTCGTCTACCGATCGCATCACCTTAAGTAGATCATGGAGCAGGTCACGATGGTAACTCTGTTGCTCCATCTGGCGCGTCGTTCCCAGTCAAGAGAGGTGCTTCTCCGACTACTCATAGACAAGAATTCCTGACTAGATAGATGCTTTGGTCGACCACTACTTGATTGGATCTCCGTGTCAGTATTGCGCCCCTTCTCTAAAACTTGGCACTCGGATGCCTGCATAGTATCTGGTCTAGGTGTGTGTCCACACTTCTCGTGCGATGAGCGGTCGGTGGGACGTTTTGCCTGGTGAAAGGTTCGGACTTACCAGGAATATCCCTAGGGCAGGATTGCCCGCGAGTGAATGATGAGCGTGATACTGTACTAAATTATCCTGGCCGCACATCAGGAAAGCAAAGCCAAACGAGGCAAGGCGACCGAAGAGAAGGAAAAGAGGAAGTAGTAGAAGAGGGAGAAGAAGAGAAGAACATCCTCTTCTTAGGGCTGCGCCGTGCCTGACATGATGAATCATGACGTCACGGTCTCCGGCAGCGCAAACCCTTCGTTCGAAAGAAATCTTTGCTTTGCCTTCAGAAGCACTTCCAACCAGGCTGATTAGTCAGTCTGGGTCCTTGGCTATCGTCCGTACAGCCAAGAATAACAGGTTGCAAGCTCCGAACGGACAATTACCGGACCACCGTGAGAAGTTTCCCTGTCCGATACTTCCAATGAGGGACGTCACTGGAGTAGCTCCGTTCAGGTAGGGATCTACTTCGGGAGAAAAACCGGTCGAAGACCGGGTCGAACGACTTCAGAGGGCTCTTGTCATCGCATAGCGGAACGTGGCATACCCAATGCCCTAACTATGGCTATACGATTTCGCGGTTTGTGCCAGATGGAGGATTGCACTGCAGGGTTAACAAGCTGCATCCTGCAGCTCAGAGACATGGCGCTAAATATAGAATGAACTCGTACCACTGAGTCTCTTCGGGAATATGGTCGTTGCATTGAACGACAGTCACCCCGCTACTGCAGCTAGGCGGCCGAATGTCACGGCCGGGACCTCGTATTGGGGTTCAGTTTGGAGTCTCGGTGCAAGACGAGAAGGTGTTGGTGATGCTGAGATAATTGTGACCAAGCTTCGTGCTGAAGAACCGGATATGATCCCATTGCCAAGACCCGGCATTCGCCGCGGTCGCGCCAATGGTTTGGGCGACCCAAAGACAACTGTCTCGCGCCCCTTTTCACTTATTCGTTCGGTCTCAGCAGGAGAGGGTCCAGCGGGCTGACTTGCATCCCGCAAAATCCAGCCCACTCGCTCGAGCCACTCGTTCCCGACTTCTAGATTTTTGTCACAGAAGGTTCAATGCTACCATGGATGTCTATAAAAGGCGCCCTGATCGCTGCTCGGGCTTCCTGATCGCTCATCACAGACTCTCATCCCGCGCAGCCTCTCACTTATCTCAATTCACTACACTCGCTGAACCATGTTCTCGACCATCTTAACCAGCCTATTGGCGCTCTCCGCCTCGGTGACCGCTCGGTCTGTCGAGACACGATCCCTCACTCCTCGCTCTATTACCCCTCCCGAAGGATGTCCCATTCCGACCTGGACGGTCGACAACTTCCGCTGGTTCAATGGCTCCGATAGCTTGGACTGCATTCATAGCGAGGTCGACAAGAACGCGAAGGGCTGTCTCTGTGGCCGGGACTGGTGCGAGCCTAACCCGGACACGTGCAATGGCACCATGGTCAACGTTTGCTACACGGGCATGCCCAACTATCAGCCCTGGGGCTACGGCCCTCCCCAGACGCTGGCGATCGATTTTGAGGATGGCCTGCACTGCGGCGATACATACATCGGCTATCGCATTCACGACATTGCCCATGGCGAGTCCAACTGCGGATATGCAGACCGCAGCCTGGGCCGGATCGTCTCGTTCTACGGCAGCTCCAACGAGGCGACATCGACTGGCCGTATGGACTACGTGTTGGGCGGTGGCCATGCGCTGGAGTGCGCCAATGGTAGCAAGATTACCTACTCCGGCAGCACCGATTTCACGTTGAACTGCGTGCATGATGAGTTCTTCAATGCGACTTGTACTGCCGCGCCCTTTGAGGTGCCCGTGCTCAGTTACTCTTGGGTCAACTAAATTCTCGCGGGGACCTTCCCTTGTTACCGTGGGCCCCTCTGATCGCACGACGGAGACCCATCCTCGCAGCGCTGTGGCAATTGCGATAGGTGCAAAACTAGTCGCACTGATATCGGAGACCTTCCGCTGTTTTGTTACATCCCGCGGCGTGGTTGCCCGGTGACACCAGCCTTTTTCCCTTACGAGATATGGTTCCACGATGAAACCACGAGCGATGTAAATAGAACTGAATTAGAAATACATATTTGGCAATGGAGACGACCCTGAAGAGACCCACTTGCCCTGACGGCGTATCAGAGGCTTCCTGTGTACATCTATTCGGATGGGACCGGGAGATCCCGATCTTTCTTTCTCCTGCTAGTAATTTTTGATACTTAGTTGAAGCATCTCCGTAGGGACCGTCGGTAGATTTTTGCTTGTGGATCCGATAAGAGCGCTTGGCGGACCGAGAACCGAGATTTCATCCAGGGGTCCAGTCCAGTGGCTGAGCCCTACCTTGTTCCCGGTGGCTGGAGGTTGACCTTGAAACTGGGGAAAGGGGGAAAATAAAAATAAAAATAAGTATAGACATAAAAAGAAAAGGAAATCAAACTAACAACACAAAATGGAAAACGGAGGAAAAGGATGGAGAGGTAGCCAGGTATGGGGTAACCCTGCATAATTTTACCATTTGATCAATCTTGCCCAGCAGGTGAACCACGTTACCTTCCATATCGGGACTAACAGCAACAAGAAAATGAGAGAAAAAGGAGAAGAACTAAAAATAAAGAACAACAGAAAAAGGCGTGCGACGAAAGTGGTCATTGCCTCAGGCTCCTGAGAAAGACAAATGTTGCAAACAGAGCACGACTCGCAAACGTGCCTATTCGGGCCTAGCCACAGAGGACTTGTGATCTCTCCAATCGTACTGCTTTTTGTTTTTAGTCTTGTTACATCCCAAAGCTCAGCCACAGCGAGTCAATGCGGCATATGCGCCGGGGATCAGAACAGGCAAAGTGCGCATGCAAAGATATGCGACCAGTGTCTGAACTACTGCCCCGTGACCTCGACAACCATGCTCCAAGCCATATCCTGCCAGTAAACATGCCAGGACCCTTGCTATCACGCAAGGTCCGGGTTCGCGGCACAGCCTTCTGTCAGGGCAGGGCACTACCCAGGCTGTCATATGGGAATTACGGGCCCCCGGTCGCTTCGTGTATATAATAAGCACCGACAGGCCGTTGTCGTGGTGATACTACTAGTACATTACTAACTCACGCATCGCCTGATACTGTTTCCTCGACAAATGGCCTTCTCCACTCCATTGCGCTCCGATCCGCATTCCAGTCAGGCTGGGCCGTTCCCTGACCTTTCCCCAGATCTAGTTGGAAATTCCCCGGACGATGAAAGCGACTCCAACGCTCATCTTGTGGACGAGAGTCCCACGCGAGCTGCAGTGGTTCGACGGCAAGTGCGAGAGCTGTCGCGACAGAGCCAATCATCGTCCGCATCTGCCTCACCCAGAAACCAGACGGTACAGGCTTACCTCCGTGAAGGGACGAAAGAGACTTTGAACCGAAACCCACAGCGATGGCTTTTGGAGCATTACTCTCGAGGAGCGAAGGCACTCAATGGTTCACACCCCATCATATGTTCTAGTCAGACCTCGCTCGAGCGACCGACATGGATCCCGCCAAATGCGCCCTATATAGAAATCTCGGATGACGAGCGGGATGATGGAGTCTCTTCACCGGCAACACGTGTGGATGTCCCAACTACGACCGGTCAAGCCCAAGCCAATGGGCAAATCTCTGATTTGACGTCTGCAAATGTTGCACGACCTGACTCAGCTGATTCGTCAGACGATGAAACGCATGGATCAGAGTCTCCATTCTCTTCAGTGAGTCAGCAAGAGACACCAAGGACGGAGGTTTCCGATCCCGATCATGGATTAGAGCACCGACAAATTGGACCGGAACGCATCTCAGACTCATGTAGCACTGAGGATATTATATTCGCTATCCGCGATGTAATCTGCGGGTGGGGCGGAGCCCAAGAGACAGAATCCAAGAAAGGATATGCATACATCTTCTATGATCCATCAGCCCAGAGCCCGTGCTATAAAATTGGACACTCGGGAAATGTAAGAGTGCGCACTCAACAGCATCAAAGCAAATGTCAGCTACGGAAGTGGAGTTCCAACAAAAGCCCTGCGTTGCGAGACTACAGACTACTCGAGAAACTAGCACACGCTGAACTGAGAAATTTGCGGTGCAAGCCCAATTGTTTCTGCAGAGTGGAACACCGGGAGTACTTTTTGGGCAAGGCGGAGCATGGGCAGGATATCATCGATTCTTGGTCGCGGTGGCTTAAAAAGAATCCGTATAACGACGATGGGAACCTGAAGCCATTCTGGGTTGACCGGCTGCATGTATTTGTTGATGAGAATTCGGGCTTTTTTCACTGTACGGCCGTTGAAGACGACCGACACCACCCTGAAAGCAATGCTTGCCAGATGTGCCTCCGCAAAGGATGGCAGAAGTTCACCGACCCTACTCCGCAAGACATATTCGAGTATGATTGTCGACAAAAAGTTCCCTTTGCCTGGGGTTGCTGGCTGTTCCAGACTTGTTATAGTCGCTTTCCCTCCCATAAATCCAAGTTTGCCTACATGATTCACTGCATAGAAGTTGGGTGTCGGATATGGGAGGCTATATCGAGCATTCAACTAATTTTGGCTATGTTACTTGGAAAGGGTCTCTATCTCACGGTATGTTCGTTACGGCACCGCACATTCGATATTTCCAGATTACCCGAGTTTTACTTCGCATGCGCTGCAGCTTATCGCCTATTTCTCCTACTCATGGCCAACATGAATTCTGTCGATCAGACTTTGTCCAAGGGGGTCAAAAGAACTGCATCGCCTGCGAGGAAGTCTATACGCGTCATCTCGAAGTCACCTAGAATGCCCACACCGTCCTCGAACCAATCCCAGAGGACCACCAAAACCACACGGAAGACGCAGCGACCGGAGCAGCCACCCAATCTGGAGCTCTCCGGTGATAAAAGCACGCCGAAGAAAGAACACAGCGACGACACGATCGAGATCACCGGGTGAAGGCTTCCGACTCACCCCAACTTCGGAGACCCAAAGGGCGTAACATCTATCAAGGCTTCTCGTCTATGAGACACATTTCGAAATAGAGCAGGCTTTTGCCAAGCTGCAACATTCATGCGTCACTTGTTTCCTACAATATGACCACCTCGCACGAGGTGTGATAGGAATGACTAGCTTCGTGACATGAGGAGTGTTGTCACGTTGGGACAAGGCAGCTTCGAATGGCATAGCTATGGTATCTAGGATGTATCTGGACGATGTGCGGTCTTCTCTGTAAAGTAGAACAGCGGCTCTCGCCTCTGTACTACGGGCGGGAAGCCCCGGGACCCCCAGAGAGCGACTCATTCCCTGACCGGACAGCACTAAGTCGGGCCTTATAAGGTGCTGAACGTTAGGCATAAGAGGGCTGTCTACTGAGACCGATAGTGATTGGTATCTGCGGCAAGGTCGGGGCGCGAAGAATCGTGCGACAGCTTTCTAATCACCTACAGAGTCTCTTCTTCGGTTTTGGGCTTAGCGAACCTATACAAAACAGCTTCTGACCATAGGATCACCTAGTGCGGTGCAGGTATCGCGCTCCAGGTTCGACCGTCTTTCCGACAGAGATACAACGAGAACAGTCCACCGAGATAAAGGACCTTTGTGATAACGAACTGTGGTATGCGTTTACTAGTATGTCCACGTTATGATAATACGGCGCTATTTTAATGTATTTACCTTATCTGACAGAAAGTACGTATGTAGACACTATTGTATTCCAGGCTCCTGTTGTAACATCTGATGACTCGTGACATCCGTTAACAGGCTATCGTGTTACCGGATATCTTTGTCGATCAGTCGGGAAAAGAGAAGGCATTTCTCATCTTGGTGCCGAGGCGCCACGATTTGAAGAGCGCATGGAGCTCCATCAACGGAGTCAGGCTCATCTAGAATGAGTTAGGATAATCATTGTCCGCTGGCCTGTGTGGAAACCTACAGCTCGGTTGGACTCCATCATGTACTGGCATGGGATCTGGATCAAGCGACTTCGAGGCTTTGCTGTACGGCACAATGCATGCAGGATACTGGAAAGAGTTAGACAGAGGGGCTCAGCGTACCCAGTTATGAACTCACATCTAGAAGGTTCCAGATGACCGTGTACGGCGGCCATCCATATGTGTCGTGTGGCGTGGCCGTATTCTGGGCTCCAGGTGTTAGAAGAACATCTATGCCGGATTGGACCCATGTCCTGCGCCATGCCTCAGCGTAGGCCTTTCGTGCGTTATGGAGTCCGTCAATTATCTCAAAGACCCCTTCCTGATCTACAGGAAATGGGCCCGTGAACATTGGATTGGCTAACTTCGCCACTGATGCAACCAATGGCTCCCCGCTGGCTTTGATGTGATCGACATGTGGTCCATAAGTGAAATATTGAAAAGCTAGACGACTTGCATATGCCACGCCCCGTGAAGGCGCATGTTCCAGGCGTACTATTCTGTGTCCTTTCTTACCTAATTCTGTGATTGCTGACTCTATTGCACGGCGGACAGGAGGATGAATTGGGAATTGAGGATCTTCGCCGAGGACTCCGATCGTTAATAATGAGGGTAGATTGAGTGTCGTCACCCAGGGCGACCCAATTGTAGTCACGTCATATCGCCAGGGCTCAGCTTTGAGGACAGTTGACATGAACAACTCAATGTCGTCTAAAGACTGAGCCAGTGGTCCGGCCGCTGGCTTTATGCCGGGGACTCCCTCGATTGCCCCGGACACCTGTCCACCGAATGGAATACGGTCGGTGGTGGGTTTAAACCCATAAACACCGCAGCACAGCGACGGAATTCGGATAGAGCCTGCGATATCAGTTCCGACGCCCAGGATCGAGCCCCGGAAGGCAACGAGAGCCCCTTCACCACCGGAGGAGCCTCCGGCGGTCAGGTTGATATTGTGCGGGTTTAATGTACGGCCGTAGATATTATTGTCTGAATCGCCTGTCTAAGCATGGAGCGTCAGATGAGGCAATCGAGGACTCTGGGGACGCACCAACCATCATTGTCTGCGGGATATTGGTCTTAACATAAAGAACCGCTCCTAATTCAAGGAGCAGATCGACCAGAGCAGAGTTTGTCTCCGCTGGAGAGTTGTCTAAGAATGAGACATATCCCACCGTACTTTGAATGCCTTTGACGCAGAAGCTATCTTTGAGACTAATGGGTAAGCCGTGCAATGGGCCCATGACCCGTTTTTCTCGCGTCAGATAATCATCCAGGTATTGAGCACGCTCAAGCGCTCTGTCGAAAAAGTATTCTGTCAAGCATGATGTCTGTAACAAGGCATTAGCGTTATAGGTCACCCACATAGCAGTAACTGGGCCAATTGTGCTTACTAGTTGCTGGGCTATCGCTGCCCGCTTGCAAAAAGCTGTGGTCACTGCCAGCGAGGTCACCTCGCCCCAGGCAAGCTTTTGCAGCAGCTGTGTCGCAGTGTAGCGTTCTGTGATATCCAGCTCCTCCTCTGAAAGGAGTCCACTGTGGCGTGGGATATCTGCCTCTATGAGGTGGCCATTTGATGGGAGCTGGGATAGAAATGTGGCATTCAAAAGCCAATCTTGAGGAATCTCTCGTTCCAATTGTTTGCGCTTCTCCGCCACCTTGGTCTCCCAGTTGCACTCTGTCGAAGTAATTCCAGCCATCTCTGTTAGTCAATGTGTGAGATGTGAAGATAAATGTACCGGGCCAAGACACTCTATATAGCCGAATATCCTTAGTGCCAAGTTGCTCCGCGTGAGGAGACATTTACAACCCTTTACCAGCTGATGCGCGTCTACCTTCCGCATTGGGATGGTTATACCTCGGTTGATCGATTACAAGCTTATCTAGGGAGATGTGGAGGCAGTTCTTGATAACGCGTTGGAAGTTGAAGCCTAATAGTGGCCTATTGTTTAACAGACGTTCGTACGTGCCATCACGTCCTCTGGCTCAGAACCCTCGAAATTGGTCAAGTGATAGGCATCGATCAGGATGCGATCGTTCTCACAGCTCATCACTCCAACACACACTAAGCCGTTCAACCAGTTGTACTTTCCTGGTCCTGTTTCGATTCGCAGGTGTGAGAAGAACTCCACGTCGTCTTGGGTCACAGTGGGAGGGGGTCGTAGGGCTGGGTCCTTCTCGACCTGTTTCGCATACTCTGTGCCCGGGCCAGGACGGTAGAGGCCGTGTGCTCGGACGTAGAGATAACAGCCATCGTCGGTTTTGACCGTGTAATGTGCATCAAGGGTCATAGACTGACAGATCGTATGAGCTTCACTGGCTGGATCCTGGAGTATGACAAGCTTACTTACGTGGGTTCCTTCAATGACCGTTGCCCAGTCTGCTCCTCCCGGAAGGATTGTCCCTGATATCGACGGTCCTCTAAAGCTACCGCCGACAATATTTGCAACACTTCGCATCACCCCAGTCCCATGAGGCGCCCCGACGTTGATTTCCTCAGGATCAATGTTGCATTCGAGACGATAAATAAATGACAGCCCGGGACGCCGCATGGGTGGGCTGTTTGGGTAGAAGCTATTGCCAGGAGAGTCCGCGGGCTTTGCAAAAGTCATTGTGGCTGCTCTTGAGAGACTTTTTGAGTCAGAAGTCAAAAATGGTGATTTTGACCTTCCAACCCTTCTCTCAATTTGCGGTTTTATACACCTGTCAAGGGTGCCTGCGGTGACGCGGATGTTTGGCACAATGCATAATGCCGATATAAATGCATACGAGATCCTCACTAGCTATAAACGGAAGGTCGACGCCTAGAATATGCGCCGGCAGCGATGGGCGGCAGCTGGGCTCTCCACCCCACTTGGAGTACCAACATGTCCAGAAAGGCAGGTTGACGCTAGACAGCGGATGGTGAAGTGGCTCGACCGATATTATCACTCCAGAATGAGATTCTGTTACATTGCCGCAGTGCTACCGAACCGCCGTGAATGGTCCGAGAGTAGATATAGGATTAGGGAACGAGAGATGGAATACCCATCATCATTCTCCATGTGAGATACTGGGGCTTGTCTATATAACGTTATATTCACTGACACCTCATCTGTTCTCCGCCGTGTGTATTGAGTATTCTGCATCATTTTCTGTGGTCATTATTTTTCGCCTTTTTTTATCATGGCATACGTACAGGCTCTCCTCGCCGACCCCGGCATTTCCCTCAAGGACAGGCAAGATGCCCTCCGCCGTGTGTTCGCCGATCCAGGAATACCACGGCCACTACATGAGAGCACTTCCTCGTTTTGGCTCAAAGATCCACACCCAGAGCTGGCCAGTGTGCAATCACCGGAACTACCTCCAGAGGCTGACGTTGTAATTATTGGTTCCGGCATCACAGGTACCTCAATTGCACGCACCCTGCTGGAGGATCATGATCAGCGTGGAATGATCAACAAGAGGCCGGCAATTGTCATGCTGGAGGCACGAGACACTTGCACTGGCGCAACGGGTCGCAATGGAGGTCATATTCTGGAGACGGTTGAAGAGTTTACTGACTGGGAAGCACTCTATGGGCTGGAAGCGGCAAAGGCATTGATCCGGTTCCGGCTGGCCCATCTGGAGTCGATATTGGAGATAGCGGACAAGTATGGATTAACAAAGGAAACCCAGGCTAGAAAGGTGGAGTTTCTCAGTGTGCACTTCGACGAAGAAAGGTGGCGTCAAGCAGTACAATGTATCACACGGTTCAAAGCATGTATGCCTGCAGAAGCAGCTGAATGGAGGCTACTTGATAAGAGCGACATCCCTAAGGTTTGTTGTATCCACGTACCACTACAATAGTGGTTGAAGGTTGACAATAGATCTCAGGAATGGTGCCTTCCTCATGCCATTGGGGTTATTGCAGGACCAGCCGGAGCCCTATGGCCTTATAAGCTGGTCACCGGTTTGTTAGAAAGCTTGCGACAAAAGCATCCAGGAAACCTCCTAATCGAAACCAACACAGCGGTGACTCAAGTCTCCACTGACGGCACTTCACCTTTGCGGTATACCGTAGAGACACCAAGAGGAACCCTGCGCGCTCGGCATATTATCCACTGTACAAATGCTCACGTGGGACATCTTGTCCCCGAGCTAAGGGGTCACGTTTACCCAGTTCGAGGACAAATGTCTGCCCAAAACCCGGGCTCCAATTTTATCTGTCAGGCAATAGAGCATTCATGGCTCTTCAACTACGACCGCGGTTTCGACTACCTGACACAATTACCCCCCGGAGGAGACTCGGGTGAAAAGATGATGCTGGGCGGTGGCTTTGCTCAAGGTTGCAACGGTGGGCTTGCCGATCTGGGTATCGCAACCGACTTGGAGCTGAGCCTGCCTTGTGATATTCATCTATCTGGTGCACTGAGTGCGGTGTTCGGTCGTGCAAATTGGGGTCAGGTTGACGGTCCTTGCGTGGAGCAGATGTGGACGGGAAACATGGGATTTAGCAGCGATGGCCTTCCATGGGTTGGACAGCTACCATCGTCTGTGAGCTGTATTTCAGAAATGACAAAGGAGGATGGTGCTCAGTGGGTCTGCTGTGGATTTAGCGGAGAAGGTATGGTGCAAGCCTGGCTAAGTGGAGTAGCAGTGGCAAAGATGTTGTTGGCCAGCGACCGAAAGCACCATGTGAGGTCTGATTATTTGTCTTGGTTCCCAGAGCAGATGCTGGTAACGGAAGAGAGACTGAATAAAGCAGGGCTAACACGATTTGTCGGTGACCGGGCCTCAAATTTGTAGCCTGGTGCGTCGAATGTTGGTATGCCAAATACAGATTGCATCGATAGGTTACCAATTAACCACTGTACCCAGATACGGTCTGAAATGTGACTTGATTATCTTTTTCAATGTCGAGGTGACAATGTTTATCAGCATACCTTTATACATATTGTAAGTCGCGGTCTGCCTTCAGGCTGGATAAAAAATGATCCCATTTGCGGTGGATTAGCGCACTCATGTACAGTGATACTACCTGCTATGATGAATAGTGTCTCGGTTGGCCACCTCGATTCAAGTACTATGAACTATAATTCTTCCCCATGTTCATACGCTTGTTGACCAATGCGTCGACTCCGTTAAGCCATCGTCTCCAAGTCTCTCCATTATCCATCGCCAGCAGCCTTTTCATACGCGAGTATGACCGAGCTTCCTCATCGTCCTCTTCACTTTTTACCGCTTGGATTGACTCGGGACCCCATACTTTCCAGTGTCGTTCCGAACTTTCCCAGGGTGAATAGCCGTACGTGAATCTGACCCAAGCCTCGGCAAAGTCCCTCGCCATCACCCGCTCTTCGTTAGAGAGCTCATTGTCCAGGTTGCCAAACAGATAGAGAAGTTCATAGGCGTGATACGCGGTCCCCTCCAGTGCGTTTCTCAGTCGTGAACGCTGGTCAAAGTGATATGCGAACACATCTTTCTCCTGCGTCAGAGGGGTACTGGCAAGCACTGTAGCATAGTTGGGGATCTTGAAAATTGCATCACCGCACATGTGTTCTACCCGGCTGAGAAGGACATCCTTGGGTAGCTCAGGCTGTATCTCATACTCGGCTAAGACTTTATCAGTTTCATCCAGGGGCATGTGTTGACTTAGTATCTCTCGAATACTTGCAAAACTGTCGTTCAGTAGATTCAAGTGGAAGATAATCCCTTCGTGTAGGTGTCTCCTAACATCAGAGCTTCTATCCACTGCGGTGGCTCGTGTATCTCAAGCGGGTCCCGGTCATGGAACCAACCATCGAGGCATGGATTCCCTGTACCTGACAGAACACCTTGTATTATGGGAGTTGCGTTGGCTAGTTCTTGCTGGGGTATGCGCCGCAGACAGTCCAGCACGTCTAATTGTGCTGGATCTATATCGAAATGACGGCAGACGGCCCGGAACAACTGCTCGTGTTGCTCAATTGACCAAGCTGGAATTGAGACTGAGAGCCCGGACATGCAGACCGCACGGCGGAATGATGGAGGATGAGCAGCTAGCATTTGATTGCTAATGGAGATGCCACCTGCCGACTCTCCGACCGCCGTCACTCGATCAGAATTGCCCCCCAGATCGCCAATATAACGTTGAACCCATTCGAATGCCACTTGCTGATCAGTGAATCCGAAGTTTCCACAGCCTTGATAGCCATCCTGCTGGAGCTCTTGTTGGATTGCTGCACCGGCAAGAAAGCCACCTAATCCGACCCGATAGTTGAAGTTGACATAGACGATGGGCATCCCGACTTCCATACTGAGGGAAACGAGATTGACACCATCAAAGATCGGCAGGTTCGCACCTCCATACAGTAGGGAGCCACCATGTACGTACACCATGACCGGAAACCTTTGCGATCCGGGGGCACAAGGCAAGACGATGTTCATAACGAGTCCCGACAACTCGTCCGTTCGAGGTTCTCCGAAATGGGCCGTTGGAGGGACTGGTACGAGATCGTCCGAGTCATCCCCCTCAACCTTCGGTCGGGGACAGTCGCTCCTACAACACGTGTGTAATCAGCCATTGAGATCTACCGGAGCTTCTGCTATGGTCATACCCGAGTTTTGCTCCATCGTGGTAGTTGTTGGGCCACTGCATCATCAACTGCGATCGAGTCCACCGTTTCTTGAGGGAAGCATACGGTATGCCACAATACTGTTGCACCCCATTCGCATATTGAAAGCCTTCCAGTCTTCCGAGGGAGGGGAGAATGGTGGAGCATTTCGAGATGGGTGATCTAAATGACATACTGTTGCCGGGTACTCGTTGTGGCTTAGGGTTAGAGGAATATATATATATATGGCTAGGAAAGCGTGATGATGATACTGATCGACACTATATACACTATTTCTTTGAGACTGCGGATATGGCGCTGACGACTATAACAACCATAGTAATCCCAAGGATCTCTTCAAGTCATACATACAGCACCCCCATATCCAGTGGTTCTCGAGTTGAACCCGACGGACGACGAAACACGGAGGCCTCAGGTTCTAAACCAGATCAGGAAGGTGGACGCAACATCCAAGTGAACTCCACTCGGCTTGATAACCAAAACTCCACACTGGACGATAATCGCCCGCCCCACAATCCTTGTCCTGCCCCCCTTCCTGCGCGGTTTTAAGCCAGAAGCTCTTGATCGCAAGTGATCCTGACCATTTCCAGTTCCTTGCTCGGCATGTCGACCCCTCGCCATCGGTCGTACGACGGATGTTGGACCTGTAAACGGGTCAGGAGGAAATGCGACCGAGCCAGACCTACATGCAAAACGTGCAGTAGCCGTGGAGTCCCCTGTGAAGGATACGAGATAAGGCTGCGGTGGGGATCGGGCATTGCGTCGCGTGGCCGATTCACTGGCGCCGAAGAGCCAGTGGAGGCTTCTATCCCCCCTCGAGTCAAGGGGAGACGGCGCGATCTGAGTCGAGAAAGGCGCCGAAAACCTGCCAATGTCGCCAATAGTAAGGCCGAGGCAGACTCTTCTCATCTCCAGCCAGGTAGGGCAAGTCGTTGGACATGCCCCGGTCGCGTCTTTGTTCTTGGTAGCTCAGAACTAAGGTAGAAACAGTAGCCGAACGGACTGCCGACGTACGATCGACCGAACAAGATCGATTGTTTGAAGAGTTTCTTTCGTCCGGAATCAATGTCCTCCATTCGACCTCGGTCAACGATGCGCGGAATCTCCTCGAATCTAGACTGCCGACCTTGTCTCAACAGTCAAGCTCCTTGTACGCAATATGTGTAGCACTTCAGGCGTCCCTCACACCAAATGTGCAGCCTCACTTTTATGAACATTTCGATGTAGCCCTGAATTTGTTCCGCACAGAACTATCAAGCAATGTGACATACCTGGAGGATGGGACCTTTACGGCCGGGTTGCTGCTCTGCAGCATCGGGGTACGTTGTTGTATCAACCAATATCCCATGCCGCGCTAACAGTAGGTTATGTTATAGCTTATGCATGCCATGCCATGGACGATGCATTTGCATGGAATGTACGGCCTCCTTCAGGCACATGGACTTTATGGTCCGGGCGAGCGAACAGAATTCCGAACACACTTATTGGAAGTGATGGGAGTCATGGATCTACCAACGTTTACTGTTGGTCGAAGCACTTCTCTCAGCTTCTGGCGACAACATTGTCGCGACCGGGGTTCCTTGCAGCACCCCCTCGCTGATGAGATTGAAGTGGTTAGTGGTCTGCCGAGGTCGTTGTTAGATATTATCTCGTGTATCGGCCACGGGGCTACTGAGGAGGACTTTTGGGCCTGGCCGGGTAGCCCAGGTAGTCTATCCCAGCACCAGCTGTGGGAAGCATACCGACTAGCCGGGATGTTGGCTATCAGATATGGCCACTTACTTTTGGTTCCACAACCCAATGGGACGTTGCTTGGATCAACCGTGCCACCAAACGGTGCCAGCAGCCGCCCCCCGATCCTACCCTCCACTACTGTTCTCGTATCCCGAATTTTGAGCCACCTAGACGCCATTCGTAGAGCGTTTACGGAGACAGAGGGTGCTGGGTCATTGATTTTCAACGCGATCAAATATCCTGCCTTTATCGCAGGGCTACAGACAGACATCATCAATGCGCAACCTGAACTAAAAGATGTCCTTCGATGTTGTCTGTCCACATACGACCATCCACATGGATTTGAGAGAGATTTCGAGCTATTATTAGAGGTTCTTGAGGAGTGGTGGGTACACCATCATGACATGGCAAACGCACACGAACTCGCTTTGGCTCGTGGAATGGAAATTGGACTTCTCTAGCTGAGCACCTATGGCATTGGCAACTACCGTGAACTGCTTCGCCGTAGCATAAACCAGCAACTGACGGCTCCACCACTGTCAGCCAACTCGACCTCCTCGATGACTTCAAACCCAAGTGTGCTGTAAAATCCGACATTCCGCTCAGCGGTACATTCCAGAACAATTGGCCTATGGCCCACATAGTCCAAGATGCGCTCCATCATAATCTTGCCTAAACCTCGCCCTTGAAGGGAGGGATGGACTGCCACGACCTCTAAATACCAAGGGTCTTGGATATTATATCGGGTTGCGATCCTCTTCAGCGCCGTGTCATGTGCATCAAGCAAGATTTCGACGCGCTGCAAATGTTTAGAAATACCGATTCGATCCCCTGAAAGGGGTGGAACGATAGCCACGTACCTTTTCGTCAGCTCCGTTGTCTGAGACCGGATCTAACCAGCTCAGAAACCACAGTTTCACGGCAAGGGTGATCTTTTTCCATGTCCATGTTTGTCGGTTCTTTGGGGGAAATAATAAAGCCACCGTTCCCGCACCGGACCCGTTATTCCCACCATTTATTTCGCCGATAGAGGTTGGGGGATCTTTTTGCTGACTACGTGTCGGAAATCCCTCCGCCAGCTGTAGCGGTGATGTAGATCGGAGCACGATGCCTTCTAATATTGCTTGTTGTACGCGACGATATTGCCATTTGTTCGTCTCATGCTGTTGCGTCGACCAGGGGGCTGCACTAGGACGCAACCATCGGATCAGAGGATCCCCAACGAACGAAAGGGTTATCGTTTGAGCGACCGCCGATACGGATGAAGGATCTAGATAGGAGAGTAGTGAGTATACTGTGTTGGCCGGTATGGCTTCGGATAACATGGGGCACGAGCTACCGTCTTGTGTTTCGAATAGAACTAAGGAGGCTTTTCTGGCCATGTGACCCTAGGTTCGAGATTGGAATCTATAACTGGGGCACGATGTTACTGTTCTCTGAAACGAATCTTGCTGTATGCAGAACCCTCTATCAGTCGAGTACGGCTTTCGTGTATATCGTAGATGCCGAAGTAGGGCTCCGGCCTTTATCAAGGCGCATGACACTGCTATTTATCTTGAACCCTACGAACTCGGCGTAAGGAACAAATGGAACAATAGCTCTGGGTGATTTATTCGAGGCCGCTCGATGAAACGATTCCTTTTTAGGCAGGTCGACCCAGCGTCAGCTTTTTGAGTCTGTTCCTGCACGAAGTAGGTTCCGTTAACCTTCGCCGAGACGTGTATAAGCTGGCGTTATCAGACGCAGATCTTTATTGGCTTCCCCGCATTTCAATGCTCGCGGTTATGGCATCGAGCTCTTATCAGCCATGTCCTAGTGGTAAGCGGGCGAGATAGCACTACCAGCGAAGCCATGGAGCAGATCGTTTATCATAAGCGGCTGTCCTCGAGGGAATCAGAGATCGAACAGCACACAACTTCAGTTTCCAGTAGATACCACGTCTATTCCGCAGCAGATATTGATGGCAAACGGCGACGCGTCCGACATTTCTCTAACTGATCATGATACTCCCCCAGGGACTGTTCTTCTTATCAAAGGTAAGGATCCCCTTTCTACCTCAACAGAGCTTCTCTGACATACACATAGATGATATCAGGGACGAGGCTGAGGGACGGCGAGAGATCGTCCTCAGTCCATTACCGTCCAGTGACCCTAACGAGCCATTGGTAAGTCTGCCCCCCCCCCCCCCCCCCCCCAACAGAAAGGAACGCCGTCCACTGAGAGGGAATACAGAATTGGAGCACTGCACGCAAGGCATGCAATTTCATGCTCGTACTAGCAGTAACGTGCCTGGTCTTTACCGCGTCTGTGATCCCGCCACATAGGATTTACCAGAACGAATCTCTGACCGGGTTTCGTCGAGTAGGCTCTCTATCCAACAGATCTTCTGGCAGTTGATGGTGGTCGATTTACACGTTACTTACCCACAACTAAACAATGCCATGTCAGTCAACTTCGTCGGACTCGCCATGGGATGCGTATTGTTCATTCCATTCGCGAAAAAGTTTGGCCGAAGACCAGTGTACCTAGCCTCGACCGCGTTGATGCTCGTTACCTCCTTTTGGGCAGCAGAGATTAGCACCCTCGCAGAGCTGTATATCACCAACCTCTTACAGGGCCTCGCTGGGGCAACGAATGAGGCTATTGTCCAGATTACCGTAAGCTAGCTTGCCGCTACTCCCCAAGTGCCATGGGCTTACAGGTCTCACTCTCAGATCGCAGACCTCTTCTTTGTGCATCACCGTGGCGGAATGAATGCGTTATACATGACCATGATGATGATTGGGGTAAGACTCCCTTCACCACCTCTCGTATCAACTGTACTAAAATGGTGTTAGAGCTTTCTCACCCCTATGGCTGCCGGGGCTCAAGCGACAAGACAGGGCTGGCGATGGTCCTACCGTACTTTGGGTATCTTCAATGCGGTTCTCTTTGTACTTTTTATCGTCTTCTACGAAGAGTCAAAGTATACCGCTGCCATTGAAGGAGTCACGCCTGCCGCTGGGCCTGCGCAGCAAATTCCAACCGATGAGATGGGCAACAAGGCACCTGTCAAGGACGCCACCAGACTTCAGGAGCGTAGGGCGAGTAGCCCTCCATTAGACCACATTATCCCTATGAAGACATGGGCACAGAGATTGTCCTTGGTAACTTACACACCAGAGCCCATCTGGCCATATTTCTATCGCCCCATCGAGATCCTGTTCACATTCCCTGCAGTCCTCTGTTGTGGTCTGCAGTATGCATGCGGAGTGATATGGCTTACAATTCTGTCAAGTGTGATCGCTCTCATATTTCCCCTTCCACCATATGAGTTCACCCCGGAGCAAATCGGTTACATGAGTGTTGGTCCGTTTGTCGGTAATTTGATCGGCTCGTTTTACGGCGGCTTCCTTGGAGACTGGTCAATCAAATATTTTTCTCGACGGAATTCCGGATACTACGAGCCAGAGATGCGCCTGTATATCCTACATCTCCCGGCAGTTGCCCTCTGCGGTGGTCTCATTATGTTTGGAGTAACCGTTGATAAAGTATGTCTCGCAGAGTCGAGCTCCCCTTCTTTTATTCCCTCCAATTCATCGCTGTTGAGTTTGCACTGTTTTTCCTTTTCTGTCCAGCCAGCAGGTTCTAACATTTAGCATTGAACTTAGGGCATGCACTGGATTTTACCCAGTATCGGGGGAGCGCTCTTTGGCTTCGGACTCGGCAGTATCAGCGATGCATGTCTCACGCTCGTCATCGATAGTTACATGGAGGTTAGTCGCAGCCTGAATTTGCCCCCCGCTGCTGATCCATACTAAACTAGTGAACAGATCACAGGTGATGCGTTCACGGGCGTGGCTTTCCTTCGAAATGCTTTTAGCATTGGGATACCATTTGCCATTAGTCCTTGGATCGAACATAGCGGCTTGACCAAGATGTTCGTCGCCTGTGGGTTTATCAGCCTGGGAGTCACCATGACATTATTGGGCATGGCCATATACGGCAAGCGCATTCGATCTGCGACCGCGAAGCGATACCAGGAGATGTCTGGCAGGAGTGGTTGACTTGTAGGCCATGACATGGTAACATTGAGGACCTGCCGGTTGTTTTCGGTTGACGTTACGCCGATGAGGTCGTAGATATGGCGCCTACAGGAGATATGCAATTTGACAACAATGTAGACATAAGCCTTTGGGTACTACTGTGGGAACTAGTATGATGAGGGTTGGAATCACCTCTTACGGACAACTGAACCATCGACAGGATGAACAAGACACAAACTCATGGATCCCTGCTCTCTTTCAAATTTGCATTCGCTAAAGCCGGTACAATATGTGATACAATTCCGCTGGACTATGATATTGAGAATACCCCTGGTATAGCCACGGCTAGAGTAGTAGACAGGTTAGCGGTTGACCTTAGAGCGTTAAGTTCGAGCACCGACGTCCGTTTGGAGATATTTAGCGTACATACTCGTGCCATTGACACGCAAGTGGCTTGAAGAGCCACACTGGAAATTACCATTGGTCGTATACTACGGCGAGCGTTCAAAACGATGAAACGTCTGTGTCAGACTATCGTAGGCTGAAACATGACATTGTCGGAGTCTCGATGACCAACCTCCTTTCTCCCTGAGACCTACTTCAGTACCTTGATCAACGGCTCTTGCTTACAGATCTAGTAAAGACCTCCCATGATAGTAAAGGTACTCTAAAATCATCCATTTTGAGACTGGTACGGTATTACCCGATAGAACACTGTCCCAACATGTAACATTCGGCCAAAGGCAATATCTCAAGACACACTTTCCGTTCGATAGCCAATACCTGCAGCTGAGGATACATTGGCTGACACCAGCGGCAGAAGCATTATGCTTGTTTGGGAACGCTGCAATCCGCGGGCTCACCAGGCTGCGACGAGTCAACCCGGCAGGATCCCTCCGTGCACTTCCAGGGTTAATACATATACTGGGTAGCAGGCGACTGCCAGAAGACTCTCACCTTATTGAGGCACTTGTGCGTAGCCCAACGATTCCCAGTTTTTATTTTGCAGGTCGTTTTACGTGTCCTGGGGTCGCATACCTTCCACATATTAGCTGCGGGATGTATATTCGCCCACGGTAGCATGACTTACACCGTATTGCATCCAATGCTGTCCCAGCAGCTTGTTATCATTCGGTCTGACAGTGTTGTCACTGGGTCTGTTGCCATCACCTGGGGGTGAGACCACAATTTCAGGAGGGGCATTTGTATTCCGGTGAGCCCCAGATTCAACTGCAGCAAGAGCAACTGCAGCGAGGGCTACTAAAGAGACAAGACTGGCTTTCATATCGCAATAATTCAAGCTGGTTGAAGTAGAGTTTGTAGAACGCAAGATGAGAGAACGAGATAGATGGAGAAATGAACGACGTACGTCGTGTTGTAGTGGGAGACGAACAACCCTAAATAGCAAAGTTGGGATGACCAGTATTGCCCGTGTGTATCCCGATTCAGGGGATGCAGCTTTTGAACGGGGCACTCGAAAGTTTGTACCTTCCTTATGAAAAGCATCAAGCCAGCTGAACTTTATGTAATTGTACTACACGATTAATTTGGTGTACCCTGCCCAGCAAATACCAGCATCTGTGCTAGTTGAACAGGAAACCAAAGTTTGACGCCCGGTACAACCACTGCTTTATGGCCCTTTGTCCAAGCGTCCAACCCGTCGCGCTTGTCGGGCGATGGCCCATGTATCACCCTGTAGTTAAGATCAAGAAGCCCCAGCGTTGCGACATCGGTCCTACAGACCACTTAAGGACTATCTGAGATCGATCTATGCAGTCTGGTAAAGACATTGAGACTGAACATATCATGGCTATGGGGTCGGTACCTAAGCATGACTAATGATGATGAGCAAGATGCGACGGCGCTCGATCAGACTGCAGAGCATGGAAAGGACCAAGTTGTGCGGCGATTGCTGGCTAACGGTGCGCAGGTTGAGGTGAAGGACTTCTAGAACATGACGCCCGCGGGTTATGAGACAACTAAGGTGATTCTCGATTGGAAAGGCTCACGCACATAGTTTCTGACTCCTAACACGGGGGCACTGACATTAGACGTGACCATGGACACGCTGGGTGAACCAAAGCAGATGGTCAAAGTGTGTTGAGCTGAGTCTGGGTATTGGAATCAGAGGATTGCCCATCACATTGGACAGTAGATGGCCCTATAGAAAGGCTTTCATGAAAAGATCCATGCCGTACAATGTACGACGCCAAGACAACAGAAAAAGAAACAACAGCGCGATTTAAGCAATCCTGAGCTCCCCAAGTTATGTCGACCTTCCACTAGTAAGCCTAGAATTATCTTTGCCGCTATTTTCGCGCCAGATGATCTTGGCACAGAAATGAAGTCGTCTAGTCTGTGACAGGATCTACAAACCGGTCTCGCACTGAGTGGGACTCGGTGCGGTTTCATTCCGCGGGTGCTCTGTAAGCAACAGTGCTGCTTGGAAAAGTATCTGGATTTGAGTATTCGGTGGGTCCCTCATGTAACCTCAGCCACACTGTGTTTCACGGACATTCTAGGTTGATGAGATCCACTTGGGGTCTAACTGTATGCTCAACGTCAAGAATACCGAGTCTGGAAAAGCCTGGCCGTGAGCCGCCAAATAGGGCAGCCTTCACGCCAATACTCTACTAGTACTTCTTTCCCTAGAAAGCAACGGGCCCAACTGAGGGTGGCTATACCCTTCTACTAGCTTTTGATCACTTCAATGAAACCAATCCATTCAAGTGTAGCAGGTGATATAAGATACACAACCATCACTGCCAAAGATTCGGGACAGTGGAGCTAAATGTGGTAGAATGATAATCTTCGGCTTCCCGGAGTTCAACCCAATCGTATTTGCCAGTATAGCCCAGGGTTTCGAGACTAAAGAGTAGGTGTAGCAAAATTCACGAAAGGATTGATTCATATTGTACTCCGTACGTAAAGTACGGTGAAACTTCAAACGTCGCTTTTAGCTATTGCAGCCTAAGCCTTGCCATGGAAATGTAAATTGCTTGGTCACATTATTGATACCAGGATGGCCTTAGTAGTTTCCAAGCTTCTAGAACCAGGGTCTTGCAGTGTAGCTAGCGCCCAGCAGTACAATATGGGTTAGGGTCCTTGCTTGGCGTGTTGCATGCTCAACCTTGGGAATGGTCTGGAAGTGGAATTGCGACGCTGAGTCCATAAGTTCATTGCATTCGATCTCTGGAACTGCACACATATAAAGCCGGGCCTGGCAAGGTGTCGTCGGACCAATCTTCTATACACATGATCAATTTTCAAGCCAATACCTCACCCGTTTGCCCAAATCAATGTCCACCATGAGAGAGTCACTTCAAGCATTCGTCTTTTCGATGCTCCTGCTTGGGTGCAATGTTGCTCCCACACACGCTAGAATCCCAGCATCTGCTTTCAGAAGTGGGCGGTTGCGTTCCTACAACAATACGCCTATATACAACCCAGGTATTCATCATAGCCAAGGCCCAGATGCGTTGGGCAACCTCGGGACTCATAGCCCAAGTGGTAATGACGTGCCTAGCGTATCTACTCTATCCCACGGTAAGTCTAAGAGCAACAGAGGTGGTCTCTGGGGCCGTGTTAAGATGTGCCTCCTGTGAAGCCTTTTGCTGAAAAAGGAATGGCTTCCCTTCCCATGTACAAGCTAACTGTGTCGCAGGTGCTGCGAATGCTGGATGCCCTTCTCTCACGGGGAACATCACCGTGGATGCCTACCAATTGTACCCGGAGCATGCTGACTTCAATGAGGACAACTGTCTGGTCTACCTAAGGTACGTGCTACTAGAAGAGCCGTTATTCAGTACTGGGCATGGACTGATGATGTACTGTTACGCCTGTAGTGCCCTCTATAATAGTACGGTCGCAGTTTACGATCCTTACAAGGGGGAACTAGTGGATACTATACTGCTTCCAGGCCTCTCTGGAGACCCGGTGCTTCACATGAGTGGCGTGGTGGTGGATCCGCAAGGCCTACTCTCGGTCATCGTGGATGCCGGCGCTGCCTTTGATACCCAAGGCCAAGATATTTCAGGCGACAATTTCCTGGTGAAAGTTGATCCCCGTCATGGCCAGGTCCTTTGGAGAAAGAACCTCACTGAGGTAACGAATGGCGTCTACGGCGGCTACCAAGACGCTGCCCATGATGCTCACGGAAACACCTTTGTGGTGGGAACTTTCCCGGCGAGCATCATCAAGGTTGGTCCCAATGGCTCAACTGCCACTCCTTGGTACTTGCAGCCTCAGCCCAACCAAACGGTAACCGGCCTCTCGGGACTTGCTGCCCGTGGTGACATCCTGCTTGGTACGGATGGCTCGGATGGACAGCTGTACCGTTTTAACATGACAGAGAGAATGGGACACAAGGTCCACGTTCCACTAAAGGGCAGCAATGCGACCAGAATCGGCAATAGCCTGGATGGAATCCTTCTGCCAAAGCAATTCAACGGCACAGTGTTGCTGGTCTCTGACACCACTGATGGAACGGTTGTTCTCCGTTCCGCTGATGGACTGTGGACTAGTGCGGAGATGGTGGGAACAGTTCCCAATGTGTATGTCTCTCAAGATGGATTCTCGGTGGACAACGTGGAGATTGGCGGCAGCCTCTACTCGGTCACTGAATTCTTCCTTGACGAGAAGGTTCCGGGGACTCTGGCAGGGAACAGAACGCAGTTTCCCTTGGTTGATATCACGCACCAAGTGCTGGAATTGCTAAAGTAATCAGAAGGCATGGGTTTACAAGCGCCACGTCTCATTGCTCCAGGTATGACCTTTCGAATTGAACTAGGCATCAAATGCCTTTCCGCTAGTTTTTGTTTTCATGTCATTTTATGTACCATTGTGTGTGTTAGACTTAATAGATAGATTATTGGGCAGTAAAGGTTACAATGGTCCGAGCCATGTCAATTTCCTTCGTTTGTACGTATATATATCAAGCCTGTCGTCAACTCTAGAGCATACTAAGGAGTACGTCTTGACGGAAACTAATGCATTAACACACATGACCCAGAAACCCCTACTAGAAGCGTTGAGCAGTTTCCTCCTTGACCAACATGCGAAGAACCCATAGATTAGTTGAGAACACGATGCGATCATCCTTCAAACTACTGTTTACTAGCGCCCACCCATTTGTGATTCTTTTACTGATATTTGAAAACCACCAAGATAGAGATAAAAACAGCGTACATATAGACAGATCCGCGGTCTAAAGGGGGCGGTGCAAACATGGAATTGACACGCCACATCAGTTTCGACGGGATTGGAATGACTGCCTCGTACAGGGTATACGCTATGAGCGCATAATGCATGTAGAGAAAGAGTTTAAAGTGTGGTTTCATTGGTGAAAAGCCCAAAGTCACCCAACTATGATTTGATAGCAGATCTGATTGCTTGGCTGGTATCCTGCTTGGAACCTTCTCAAAAGTCTCACCAGGGACAGCCGCCAAGTTGGTCCCGGCTCTACAGGCGGGAAGTTTTAGGTTAGTATCATCATAGTCTGTCGTAGGATTATAGCGAGTGTTCTAGAATCTGAGACGATTTCTTGGCTGTCCTTTTTGTTGCTCCTCTACTCCCGCCTTCTGGGTCGCTTAGGCTTCCAGAAAAAGTATCTTGCGATTGATAATCGGGTTAAAGATGATCCACATGTTCTGACATGAGCCGGGATTTGAAGGGACATACTCGTGGCATGTGGGGACTACTTTAAAAGCCTGCAGCGGAATTAATTCCCACTGAGAGTCACTCGTTGCTAAGCAATCTGGATGGCTCGAATGGTGAACTGATCATATCATCTCCCTTCCCCACGGCACCACCCCTTCACGATACCCACTGTAGGACATTATCATCTACGCGCTATTACTGAAGCGATGAATAGCCCAAGGGGACCGTAGAAGTGTCAGAGACAGAGTTAAGGCATTCACAGGAGTATAAAGCGGTACACCAAATCCGAAGCATCTGGAAAGGACGCATGGCCAAGCGAATAGGCTTCCCTGTCGTGAAGATTGCTCTAGCTGCCTCCATCTCATGATGCTGGTTTCAGGCCGCGCCAAGGAGTCCCGACCATGGTGGTAGCATGGCGCAGGTGTACGATAAACCCATGGCAGAAGGGCTTGGCAGGGACTATACAGCATTATCGGTTGTCAGGCAACATGAAATTACATGATATCTTGTCAGGTACATCGAGCGGGCCTCTGTGTCCTGTAATAACGGATCCCACTGATCACTGTGGTCGTGTCAGTTGTAGCTCACATATCCCATGTCCCCTGCTATATAATACTCTTCCTCGCCGAGTCACTGTTGCCCTTCTCCCTCAGTCTCTACTATATACTATTCTCTCCATATATGCTGCAGCTCCTATAATACTGCGCCAAGATGAAGAGCCCATTTGCACCATGGATGTTATCAATTCTCTTGCTCACTCCCTTTGCTGCGACAGACAGCGTTCCGTCAAATAAAAGCATCATTGTTGATACGGCACCCAATTTTGTGCGTCCATATGTTCTTCCTAAGTACAAGGGTGATGCAATCAAACTCACCTCCTCCCAAACCATCCGCTTCTCCATCACTGCCAACTCGTCTGACGGTGCCTTTTCCCTGCTGCAACATAACGGCAAGGCTTCAGGCTGGTTATCAGCCCGGCCGCACACCCATGGCTTGACGCATGAGCATCTTTACTGTACGCGTGGTCGTTGTCAGCTCTGGGGACAGAAGAATGTCACCAATTCTAGCCATGAGGCCCGCGTCGCTACACCAGGAGACTACGGCAATATCCCCCCAGGCTCAATCCACACCTTCCAGCTGGTGGATCCCGACTCGCAACTTACGCATGTCTTCCATCCTGGCGGTTTCGAAAAACTCTTCAATGTCTTCAGTCAAGGAGAACACGATACCCATGGGATCAGTTCACCCTATGTTCCTATTCCAGATGATCCCTCGCCGTTCGGACCGATGACGCCCCAGGAATACAACCGCCTTGTCTCCTTGGACCTGTATGCAGCACCAGAGGAGGAGTATATCCCAAGGCGCGACTTTGTGAATGGGACGGCCGGTGAAGCCAAGCAGTCCTGGCATGATGGTCCCAACACCCCACCCAATGATCCCACAACTCCATACTTCGTTGCCAAGGATTACGGCCCAAAGTATCTCAACACCGACATTGGATACAAGGTCATCCAGCCACTGGCAACCCCCGCACAAACGGACGGGAACTTTACTATGGGGACCATTATCATGTCAAGTAAGTTGGCAAATGAGTCCGTCTCGACGGCGACATTACCGCACCATTTTGCCCTCCAAATGGAGGAGGGACAGCTTGCTTTGCGCGTACAGGGCTATGAGTGGGTACATTTACTACATGGTGATGTCGCGTTTGTGCCAGCCGGCGTGTCGTTTTCATATTATGCCACTGTTCCCTATACCAAGTTTATGTATATGAATGCAGGCGGTAAGGGGTTGGAGTACCAGTTATTGAGGAGGAGTGTGGCCTGGGAGTTTCCAGCATATCCAGTATTTCCGGGGTTTCGGGCTAACACTACTGGCATCAATCCTACCCAGCTGTGATTACTGTTATTGGCGACAAACTGTACACCGTCCTCGGGGGCGTTTGTGGACTGCTTATATTCTAGTGGGGCTATTCACATTAACGGGGACATGGCTTCCAGTTGACATTCCTTCTGCAACTACAATGAGAAGAGTACATATACAAACTCATAGAAGATCAGCGAATACCTCGCACGGGATGTAGGAGCCCATGTTCTGTGCTTTCCCTTTTTTTCTTTGTTGTATTATTAATGTTCGTATATACTAGAGCCCTATCCAGCCAGTATTCCACTGGATATTTCTGAACACATCAGGACACAGATTCGACGGGGAAAATCTCCCCGGTCAAGGTTCCAGAGCACCACCCTTTCAGTGGTAAGACCCAGGTCTCTGGTGTGAGACCTGGCGCTTGAGTAACAATACCAAACGGCCCCATCCCCTTGTCCACTTGCATCGGTGTCCCATTGCACACCTCCTGGTCAAACTCGGCGGGAAAAAGCGTCAGCTGCCCGCAGGATGTCCGCCGTGTGTAGACCCCGGACAGGACAATCAAGGCAATTGCTGCTGCGATGAGGAGGAGGGTGTATGCCCGATACCACCACGTACGAAGGCATGGGATGACGGTTGTTGTCTCCCGGCCGCACCGAATGAGGTAAATGATGAAGAGGATGATCGATACCAGGATGAACACAATATACATGATGGGGAGCAGCCAAAGGACTGACGCAGACGGTGGCTGCGTCAGTAGCTGATTCACCCCCTGATAAGGGATCATATAGCACACACAGATGGCCAGAATGGCACAGAGGAGGCCAACATAGCAGCAACGGACGATTACAACAACGGCCTGAGTGGGAAGACAAAATTTACTGGGAGACACATAAGCATCGGGCGACGGGTCACCGATGGCCATGGAGCTTGTGGGTAAGAGTGACGCATTGGAGGACGTGACATTTTTAGCGTCCGGGCTGCTGTGCACGGCTGTATAGGAGGGGCCATCTGAAGACGGGGTGTGCATGATCTGCTGTGCCAATATACCCCTGTTCTCATAGGTTTCGTGCTCATTATAGGTGTAACTCTCGGTCAGCCAGGGGGCAGCGAACAGACGAAGGAGACCGATGACCGCAAGAGGGTAAAAAATCGTGCTCATGGAGATTGTTGCGTTGTATGGCTGATTCCCAATGTTCGCTAAAGCCAAGATGCCGCGAACTAAAACAACGAGGGCCTGGATACCTTGTAGGGTGATGATGACAGTCTTAATGGAATCGATTGACAAGATTTCCGTGCGATGGTGATGTGGGATGCGCGTACAGAAACTTCGACTCTGCCTCATCATGTCTTCGGAGCCGTCAAAGCCGTGTGACGTCCAAAACAGCGCATTTGTGGCGGCCATGTCCGCCGCGTCCCAACGATGGCGGTGCCTCACGCGGCGTTCCACGATGCGAGGTATCGCCATAGGATGGTCGTGGGGTTGTATAGGCAAAGCGTGTCGAGCCACGTCGGGGGACTCGGGCATCGTCGGACGACGCTCGGAACACCCGACAGGATATGAGCAATCAGTGGGGACAAACAGAGCGTCAGGATCGAGAGCCAGTCTTCTAGCTTCAGGATGTTAGTTTTGTCGGCATAGTTAAACACCTGCAGGAACAGCGGCTCGATCTGTACGTCCGGAGTGACATTCAGGTTCTGGGCCATGACACGGTTATGATCTGAGCATCTCTCGTGTATGAATCGGCATCAGAAGCGTCAATCCAGTGGCAACAAGGCGCACGATTGTGAGCCATTGAGATTTTGCACCTCTATTGGAATGATTGGGAACGCAGCGGCAGGGTCAAAGATTTATCGACGCAGCCTCAGGATCGGCCGTCCAAGCGCTTTTCCTGTCGACGATCACGCGTATATCTGGCATGTTTATTGGCGCGTCGATCGCATCCAAACAAGACGATCAGATCCACCTCCTTGGGGGCGGAAAGCCTTCATGCGCAAATGAAGAGTGGCCATCTTGAACAACCTCCGACGATCCTCGCTCTAAGCCTCCAAGACTTTTGGCGGTTTCCCACTCCTGATGGCTAAGAAAAGAACTTCGCCCACCAGGCATTTGGAAAACTCACTGAAATCGGACGGTATGCTCCGGAGATGCCTGCTGGTGTGCGATATATATTTCCCGAGATCATGATACCGTGTGGCTCCGCCATGATGCTTTGGAAGAGCGAACACTTTTAACCTTGTTTTCGGGCAATCCAAGCAGTGTATATATATATATAGAGAGAGAGAGAGAGAGAGAGCTCATTACTTAAACACGCGCTGTGACTACGACATTCTTCATTCTTGCTGAGTTGTGGCATGCCGTCACTTCCACTTATCCTTACGCCATATTTCATGGAACGTGGATGACTAAGCGCATTGCAGCCGGTTGGGAATAGCCAGGATGATTATTAGAACACTGGCAGGTCACAATGGCCTGCCGGAAGTTGAAATTGTAGACACCGGCTCTGGACATTCAGAGTATTCTAGATTATTTTTTATGTAGTTTTGGTAGTATTGATAGCTCGCCGTGGTCGCAGCTTCAATGTAACCTGGATAACGCTGTCGGAGCCGCCGTTATCGTTACCAGGAGGGGCTGGATACCAGCCATGGCACAATCTCTTCTAGAACTTCTTTAAACTTTTTAAGAAAGAAAGAACTCTCGCTGTTCACCTTGCTGGGCGAGACATCATTGTCAGTGGGTCCGTTTTGAGCCATAGCGACTACTCCGTACTTAAGATAAGCCCTAGGGCCACAAGGAAAAGACGGTCGCATCCAGGCGTCCATGCGGTCCCGGGGCCAATAGCGAACGTTGACACGCGCCCAAGGATTTAATGTCGCAATACCCACCCTGTTCTATGGATTCTGGATTTCTGGAACATGTCTTCTACGCTAATGTGCGGATTATTGAGCCTTTGTTGAGGGAAGAATAAAGTGTGGCCGGGGGCTATTTTAAGCCATGTGGTTTGGTAGCCAACGTTGAGTCCCAGCTTTTGCCGTTTCCTCCACTCTTCCCTTTTGACTCCTCGTTACCCATGGATGGCCTCTCGCTAGTTAATATTGAGGTTAGGCGATTGGCAGGAGTCCACTGTGCCCACACCAAGACCCTTTTTGTCTCAGTCAGGTTTCATCTTGGGCTCAAGTGTTGCCCATCGGGCTGAAGATCTGTTAATGAGAAAAGCACTTTGTTTGGCTGGCAACAGGGGGAATAATTAGTCGGTGTCAAGTCAAGGAACAATCCGACCTGATCAGATCATCTGTTCCAGAGAAAACCGATGGTGGCTGGATATACTTGGTTGTGGGTCGCCTCTCGGTTGTCAAGCTATACGATTACGGAGTACTCCGTCTTCTGGGTATTTTAACCCTAACCCGCGCCATGGTTCAGAATGCGCCTAGTTTACGTCCATGATTCTCGTGCTGTCATCAACAGCATGCAAAGGAGCGAAGCACAGAAGTTGCCTGTATAGAGCCGGTGAAGATTCAATCAGATGTCTTGTTCCTGAGGATTGTCCACCGCAGCAGCATGGGAACAATGGCATCCACAACGGCATTCAAGGGAGCCCTGGACGAGTTTCAATCGCCACACCTCAGGCCATCAACAGGCTCTTGCTGAAGCTTATTCTCAATGTGTTCTGAGACGGGCACTAAGAAACTCTGAAGCCCCTGAGACCCGTAAACATTTCCCTCGGCTCCACGCGTCAGCCCTCGTTGCACTGGCCAAGAATTCGCATTCCGGTGACTCCATTCCCCCTATTCTCCGCAATGCAAGGAAAGCTCGATGAATATCGCCCACGGCAAGTGTTCGTCGATGTACTCTAAATCCTTTACGCATGTAGCCTTTTAATGACATTGAACTCGAGAGGCACTTGTCAGTTTTCCTCGGCATGAGAGTGCTTCACCGGATGTTGATCAATTTCGTGCTCTCGTCCAATACACGCTCGTACCTCGAACCTGCTTTACCGTTCCAGATGGTCTTGTCCTTGGCCGAAATACGGTAACCGGCTTGGAATAGGGGACCATGAAGGAGAGGAGACGTCGAAGAGATTAAAGTTTGTGGCGAGATCCTTCCACGCACAACTGGAGCTCTTATCATCTCAAGATTCGAACCGTTAGTGGGGCCAGCAGCTTGATTCAGGCAAGAGATCGCCAGTCATGTTCGCTCCCATAGGCCGTCGAAGGCCTCCTTCCACCGGCGCCATTTCTAGGAGGAAAAGATATACGAACACACCCACCGGCCCGGCAACGATCGTGTCACATCCTGTAACAGTAGTCAGTTACTTAAAGTATTGGCTACGGGGCCAATTGCCTCTGGGAATTCCATGCTTGGGTCAGTGGGACACGTTATGTAATAGAAGCGAACAGTGATCACAAGCAAGCAAGCTTTCATTTCGTTTGATTTAAGCGCGCGTAGGTGACACCTCCCAGTCGCTGCGATTTCCCGCTCAGATCTATGCATGCCTCACGCAAGACCCGAAATGAGGCCCTGTGACGGTGCCTCAGTATCTCATGGCTGTTGACCTCGCTGTGTCCGTCCCGACGCTGGTGGGGAGTCTACTCTCGGCTCTTGCGTCGGCTTTTGTTCTCGTCATCTTCGCCATTTCACCAAAAAACCATTTCCGCCATTGGCTAATTCTCAATCTGACCATCGCGGGTACCGTATATCACATATCACAATCCTCCGACTCATGATTGGGCTAACATGGGCATGACCGGTCAAACAGATTTCATCAATGCCACAAACAATACCGTTTCAGGATTCTTAGTCGTCAGTGGGCGCCATGACCTTAGCCCTGGACCTGGCTGCCAGCTGAATGGTTGGATGGGCCAATTCTCCGTCCAAGTACGTTTCACCAGCCGTCCTCGACTATGGGCCTCCCTTCTCATCACGGATTCTGCAGGCGATTGATTTTTCCATTTTGGCCATAGCCATGGTCGCGTTGTGGATTGTCCAACGACCAACCATAGTATCAACGTTAAGCTGGAGGGCCAAGGTGATATTGTGCATCTCAATCTGGATTACCCCCTTAATCACCAGTGAGTGTTCATTCCTTGTCCCAGTTCGGCACATGTACACCGTCCGGTTCGGTGGTACGGCCCACATTACTTACTAGCAGCAGGTACCACGGCGGTGGGCTTGGGGATTGTTGGGCCCGTCAGTGGCAACTGGTGTTGGATCGAGTCACAATACCTAGGCTTACGGTACGCCCTCGGACATGGCTGGCGAATAGCTATTGTGTTCATTACGGCCATAACGTATATCGTGGTCTTCGTCGTCGTGAAGCGCCGCTACGAGCATCTGAGCCTGTTCCCGAACGGTGACACATCCTCTGGCCGCGATAAATCTAGGTCCACAGAAGGGGATGCCGTAGATCTGTCGTCCATAAGGCTGGACACGACAATCACTGTCCAGAGTAGCGAGGTGTTCAACAATCCAGCTAGCACAGATGGGGTAAGCGAGTCTCCTTCACAGGATCATCTCGCATCGCAGGCCCCTTTCTCTGCAGGTAAGCCGATGGCATATCTTTCCTAAGCTAATCCTAACGAGACGCTCTAGTGAAAAGTCAGCCGAGTAAATACGACACGACCTCCGACGAGCGCCGCCTGAGGTATGCTGACACCCCAGGAAGGGGGGTGGATGCTACGGAACAACGAGATAAGAAAATCCGCTATGCCGAAGTTCGCCGTGTGATGTTGCTGAATGGCTACCCGGCATTTTATGTGCTGCTGTGGATCCCCGGGCTGCTCAATCGGTTGCTCGAGTCCCTTGGTCATAAGACCAGGTGGCTGCAGATCCTGCAAGCATCTACGCAATTCATCGGTCTTGCCAATGCTTTTACTTATTCATACAATGAAGGCTTTCGTCGCCAGATTCGCTCGTTGGTCACAAGGCAGAGGCGATCGTACCATGAGCAGCTGTAATACCAATGATAATAGGAGGCAGACAGAATTCACGCAGTACATTAATGATACTTCTTGCATAAAAGATACTGGAACTATGCCTCATGACGAGACGCATGTCGGGTTTGTTCGGCCTCCCAAATGTAAGAGATTATTAACATGCATCAACCTTAATCTTTACGTCTTCCTTGTTTGAATGCGCTGTTCGGTCCTCCCAGCACGTCAACCCGTGTTTAGCTCCACCTTGACATGCATACCAGGAGTGCATCCATCACACGCCTCAAAGCCACGTTCGCTGAGCTGGTCTACTTAACTGTATAGAGTGCCAGTAGCTCTACCGCCTTTCTTGCTTCCTAATGTTTGAGCATTTCCTTAGCTCAACGCAGCTCGGGGTCTGTATTGCCAGTATATGATTCTCTAAGCATATATGTATCTTGTAAGCAAATAAGAAAATATCGGATAGGTAGGAAAGACAGTGACACTATGTATATTGTGATTTGTAGTTCATGACAAGGGAGTATTCAGCGTCAGGATGCCGGGCTGCATACGGATCGGGGGGACGGACACGCCTCATGGTGTTCCCCAAAGCGGCCAGAGGCTCAGATTCCTGCAGCCGATATGCCAGTACTGTCAATAAAACCTGATTCAGGGTTTTCCTGGGCGGGGCCGTTCGCGTAGGCAGCGAGGGTGTTGTCCGTTATGGACTTGTTGCGTCGGTTGATGCCGAACGGAAGACACACCCGTAGATGTCGATGCCTCAGGCATTCAGATGCCAGCTGGACCGACCCACAGGCCCTAAAATCTCATTCCAAATGATCGACACCACACACACACACACACACACACAGACGCAGAATCCACAACTGAATTATGTCATCTCAAACCTGAACTGGCCTGGCTCGCTTATTTAGGAATACGGGATCTGACCCTGTTAAGGTGACTGCCTCTTTAGGGTAAAGAGCAGCCACTCTGTGCAGCATGCGTCGTCCTGACCTGTCACGCTCTCTTGGCGCGAAAGGCGTCGTTGACTAGCGAAACGGGAGGGATAACCTGGAGGGATTCACTACTGAAGATGCAGAAGGCAATGTTGCACATCACGTACATCCTTGTCAGGATGATGCCACGGAGAATGCCTCTTAAGACCATATCCCCGTTTGCTGTTACTGTGTGCTGCAAGTATCCTCATATCGGACGTGCGAGGTGGGTTTGGGCTCGGTTAAGTGGTATTACTGGGTGTACTGTTTTTATTTTTAGACTCTGACTGGCTTGTCCTGGGTGAGCAAGGCAGGGGTCCATCGGCCCCTAAGGCATAACGAGCGTTGGAGAGCGTTGGAGAGCGTTGGCCGGGCCTGGCCGCTAGGCTGTGCTTACGTTATCGAAACGACTCGTGCTGGAGGACGAAGGGGATAATGAATTCAGTATTGCCATGGGGATTGCATCCTAGACAACCAGATCATGCCATAAAAGCACGAACCTGCAGGACATTCCCTGTCGACGGTGCCGGGCTACGCAGCGATATTTTGCGAATCCTTGGATAGCGTCAAATGTGGTGTCGGGATAAACTTTTTACCTCAGCCCGCTGCCTCGGCTGCCTCGTCTGTCAGCTCGTGCCTGTCAACGCCAGACTTCCGGGGGTTAATGAGAGTCAGAATCCATGTGGCTACCCAGCCATGACTCGGTGGCCTGTAATGCTTAAATCTATAGACGCAGCCTCATTACTCAGCTGACGGTCTGCTTCCTGTCTGCCCCGGGCTGGAAAGGTGAGATTCAACATACACCGCCCCTGGTATATATTTTTTTATAGCCATGCGCTAAGCCAACACCATCAATTGACTTTGGCGGTCCGAGTCACAGCTCGAGGTTCATGGATGAGAGGCGAGCAAACGAACGAAATTAATACAATTGGCTAGTGAGGGGTCCTACCGTTCTAATTGGCACGGTTAGAACCCTAGCAAAGCCTTCTAGATGCCAAGCCGATGCCTTATCAGCGAATGGACTAGCAGCATGTCGATCCCCACGCCTCGACGCTGCTGGCGGTTGATTGAGAGTTCAGACAGGTAGGCCCTCCCGGTGCACGGTGATCATCGTAAATCCGGCGGTAAGAAAGGAATCTCCTCTTCCTTCCTCCCCGGCCAGAGATCATGGCCTTTCCAACCTTGATAGTGGAGATGGGAAACGCAATTTGTGTTGAGCTGCAAAATTTAATTAAGCTGCACCGGAACCCCAACGGCCAGAGCGGTAATGGGGGCAGACGGGTCCTAGTCCATGGCTAGCTGGTTGCATTGCATACGCATGAGTCGTCCTCCCATGCCATTCGCCCAAGTCAGATTCGATGGAGAGCCCCCGGTTCGACTGCCTGCGTGGCCTCTTTGTTTCCCTATAGTTGCCCCTGCCAGTCCACTAAATGGCTCGCTCGTCGACCTCAGCCATGCGACTGGCACCTGCCATCGGCGCAGCTAATACACTTGCTAGTTCAGCGACCCACAACTGTCGACTTGCTAACGGCCTCTTACGAGTATCAGAGGGTGAGGGGTAGTTTTGCTGACAACCACGCCGGTACTTACCCGTAAGACTCCCTTGGTAGCACTGATCTTATTTAAGTCGTTATCATTCTGATGTTTCTTTTTTTTTTTTTCTTTTTTCTTTTTTTTGCCCGTTGGATTCATGTATGTACATATGTCTCTGATTTTGTATATATCTGGGTTTTCGCACGCCCGTGGCCCTCAATTGCAACACCACACCTAGGCTGCATCATCTTGGAACGCAATGTCGCCCACACATGCCAGCAAGCCGAGTGTGGCGACATCAGTCGATACATATCTCAGTAATGACACCACCGGAGATTGGAAGCGGTATTCTGCCAATGTGGACCTGGAGGCCCAGCAGCCCCCCAGGAAGTGTTTTGCCTCCCTACGGTATCTGCTGCTCACCATCTATCGCCGCTTGTTTACCCTCATCTATTGTGGCAATGCGGTCGCATTCGTGATTGTGATGGTGCAGAGCCGAGAGAAGCTGCTGGCATTCGTCAACGCAGCTGCCGTGAATTTACTCATATGCGGTCTGGCGCGACACCCCATGGTCGTGAACATGATCTTTGTGAGCATATGTCGCATCCCACAGTCGACTCCTCTCATGCTGCGCAAGATGGCCGCGAAAGCGTATCATTACGGCGGTGTACACAGTGGATGTGGCGTGGCATCGTTCCTGTGGTATGTGGGCCTCGTGGCTTTAATATCGCGGGAATATTGGATGTTGCCAGGCTCAGGGACAGTCTCCCTGCCGGTGGTGGTCCTCTCTTATGTGTTGCTCGCGGATCTGGTGGCGATCATTGTCGTTGCGCATCCCACATTCCGCACGAAAATGCATGACTATTTCGAGCTGACGCACCGATTCGGGGCATGGCTGGCGGTCGCGCTGTTCCTGACTCTTCTGGTGGTCTTTTCTGACCAGGCCCGTCACGCAGAAGGCGTGAGCCTGGGACGATACTTGATCAAGCTTCCTGCGTTTTGGATTGTGCTCGTTATCGTCGCCACCATTGTCCACCCGTGGCTGCTGCTGCGTCGAGTGAAGGTCTGGCCTGAATATCTATCACCACATGCGGCCCGACTGCACCTGGACCATACGTCCACGGCATTCGGCAAAGTCATCGCGCTCTCCAAGCATCCATTGCGCACGTGGCATAGCTTTGCAACCTTCCCGGATCCCGATGGCAAAAGCTTTTCATGCATCGTATCGAAGGCAGGTGACTGGACCACTCGATGCATTGACCAGCAACCAACCTACCTATGGAAGCGTGGAACACTGATGTACGGCTTTATCCATGTGATGCGGGTGTTCCGTAGGGTCGTCATTGTCACCACAGGGTCCGGAATAGGGCCCTGTCTCTCATGGCTGAGTGAGAAGGATCGGCCGCCGCTGCGAGTCCTCTGGCAGACACGAAATCCAGGCCGGACATATGGCAAAGACGTGCTCAACCTCGTGCGCCAGCTGGACCCTAACCCGCTGATCATCGACACCAACAGCAGCGGGCGAGTGGACATGGTGCCAATGGCGCGAGAACTCGTCCGGGAATTTGATGCGGAGGCTGTCTGCGTCATTAGCAACCCGGTGCTCACGAAGAAGGTCGTCTTCGAACTCGAGGCCAGTGGGGTGCCCGCTTTTGGGCCCATCTTTGACTCCTGATCGTCCGCGGGAGGGTAGAGCCATGTAATCCCTACTTTGTATCTACTGCGACTGTTCCAATAAATCTTCATTTGTACCTAATAGTAAATGAACATAAGCCCCCCAAACCAGAACCGAATGCCGGTACTTCTGTATCCTTACTCAAAACTTGATGGACAAGTCATCGCTCGAAGAATCAATAAATTTAGGCCAGGTATTAGTGAACACCAGGGTGAGGATGGACTTCTGGGCCTCGTCAAAGGAAGAGATCCCGAAGTTCACCGGAACAGCGACCGAGTCGGGAACACGGGACTTGATCTGCATGATGCTCTGGCTCACGTACGGGTTTTCATCCAGACACAGCGCGCGAGTGTCTTCTTCCATGTGTGTTGCGGTGCCCCTGGACACACGCCGACCGGAACATTGCACCGCGTCACCAAACGTTGCTGTCAGATCCGAGTAGATCCGCGATTCGACGTTGATCGGGAACTCCGCCGTTTTCAAATTGACGCAGGCGCTATAGATCTCGACCGCAATCTTGAAGAAATGAAGCCGGTGATATTGAGGATCTCGGCTCCAGTCGTATTCGGGATTTGAGGTGTTGATTCTGGCCCAGCTGGCCTTCCAGTCGCGCACGTAGTTCAAGAAGATGATATTTTCGCCGCTGAATTCCTTGGCCGCGGCGAAATGGAGCAGGGCGTGGGAGTCTTCCTCTAGGCACTTCTCCAACGCCTTGATAGAGTACAGCTCATTCATGCGGCTGGACCCCGTCTGCGATTTCGACGTCCCCGAATCGGATTCGCTGTCGTTAACTTTCTCGTTCCAGGCCTGGATTGCGCCTAGGATGCGATCTCGCTGCCTTCTAGAAACGATAACCTCATAAAATGGAAAGAAGATTGTAACACCCTCCATGGCGATAATACCCGGAGCGAACCTGCTAATGTTATCAATCCGGGCCGCGAGCCTTCGAGAATGGAAGTGCCTTACCAGAGAGCTGGTACCCAGTGCCTATTAATGGCCGCCCAAGGCTCGGAGGTTGAATTTAGTGCTATGAACCACAGGGGTGAGCCTGGTAAACTGCGGAGAGGTCAGTATGAAGGATTGCGAACGGCACCAGGATGGGTGGTTAGACACTCACGCGGCGATGACGCAGAGTGTGATTTGAAGCCTCCAGTGATGGATGTCACGAATGTTGCGAATCTTCCAGAGAATGCACGGCGCAAATATCCACGACCAGAACAACTGCCACAGGATCGAAGGAATCCTAGATACTTGTCAGAAAAAAAAGTCGACCATGCTATAATCCGATAGTGATCTTGCCATTCAGGACCTCGCCGACACTCTGCGAGGCTGCCGTGTTGGGAGAAGCTGCCGAATCCATGGAACTTTCGGGAAGCAAGGTAGATAGAGAGCGACAGACAGAGCTGGATTCGAGATGGTTAAACCAGCATTGCGGAAAATGAGCGCGTCCGGTTAACTCACTTGTACTGCCATTCCCACGGCAATGGCGACTTCCGTTCGGTGGACCAAGTTCATTTCTTTCCATTGACGCCAGTATTGACTGGGATATTTCGAACCAGTACTACGACTGGCCCTCTGCGGTTGGTGTGCGGTATGGAGCATCTTCTCCTGAATTCCGGAGACACTGAGAAGCTGCATGCTGTTTGCTTGGAAAAGAGCGATCCCCAGCGGCAGGTAAATGCTCATGATCCAGTACTCCACACCGCAGGGGTATGCACCGGCCATGGTGTATGCCAGCATGCAGAGAATCCAGTAGATATGAAGACATAATACCGCGCTGAGGGCGAGAGGTAGGTTCCGAATCCGAATGCATTGCTCATGGCGATTGACGACCAGGAAGACGGAGCCGACAAGCAGTGCGACCGTCCACACGATGGCCACAGATACGTAGAATTTGCCTAAACTATCGAAGATTCCGTCTGGGTAGGTGGAAGCCATGCTTGATGGTCATGAAGATCGAGACACGCCATCCAGAAGAAACCGATCGCTCGGGACTCTGCGCATCAAAATGGATTTCTCGGTAGGCAAGAGGAATGTTATGTAGAGAAGATTGTGGTGTGTTTCTGCTCTGTCAAGCCACGGGGATCGGCAGTGAAGATCACTGGCTTCCTGTGATCCTCCGGGGTAAGGTTCACTAGTGTTTCCTATGGCCGAAATAGCCCCTGAGCCACTTCCATTAGTTGAGGAAGACACGCTTTACAGCCTAGTCCAATTGGTGCAATTGACGGCCCTGACGTGTGGAGGGGTTTTATCAACAGCATTGATTCGGCAGGTACCAGTGCCACCATCTCCATGATAATTACGTACAGAGTACGGAAGTCATTAGGTGTATTTCCGGGAGGACGAAGATATGCAGAAGGGATTTGTCCACTTATCTGACCCGTCCACTCTGGATCCACGCACGGATCGCCCATCCACCAGGGGGAAGCGCGAAGGACAGTTGAGTCTTGAGCGTCGGGTTGGCTTGTGGTGGAGATATTTTAACGTCGGCCCGTACCAGTCCGGCCGCCCAACCCAATCGGAAGCGCAGACTCGGGGGTCAGCTGTCAGAGCTAAGCCCTAGTTGCAGATGAATTAAATGAGAAAGGTTACATGGCGAGAATATCTTCTGATACTTCACAACATCCCCCGGTGGGCCTCCCCTCGTACTTTTGGTTGCCTCGTCGGTCCCATGCAGGAAGCGCTATGGAACACCATTGGCTACGGGGCTCATTTCAGTCATTTTGAAGCCATGATTTTCATGATTGTCATGCTTATCCTCTTGTCCTTCACCAGGTCCTGTTTAACTGTCTGCAGGCAAGGACGTAGGATGCATGCACAGAATACCAATGGAATAAGACATGGAAGCATTCATCGGCAGAAAATGTTGCTGGACTGTGCCAATTTGTGACTATTTCTCGTTGCGCAGCCTGACGCATCAGACGCTTTCGCCTATCTCGGTGAGCGCTAGGAAGAGAACCCTTGCTCGACGTGTTCCAACTGGCGTCCTAACTGTCCTTAATTTCTTAATCTTACCAACTCGTCCAACGATTACTAGTCCGGTGTTTTGCCAAAGTATGGGACCAACCAGCGTGCCCGTTGGCAAACGGTTGTTCAGTTGCAGAGATTCTTCTTTCCAGGAAGTCAGTTTTGTGGAAACGGTTGATCCCTCTACGCCACGCGAGCAAGGGGGTCCCATGACGAACACAATTTACCGGACGGCACTCAGGATGAGATTTGGCTTCTGGGGCCTGAGTTAGATCTACAATTTTCATTATCGCGATTCGCAGTCATTGCTTGGACCGCGTTACTCCGTAATTCCCGCAAGCTTCAAGCTGAGCAGCAAGGGCTTGAAACTATCCGTTCGGCAGCTTGCGCCTGACGAACTTTGCATTCTACCCCTTTTCTATCGGTCGAGGAATTTTTGTGATATCTCCAAAGTTACTGCCGGTCGGACCGGCAATTTTACTTCGTATATGGAGTCTTGTCGCGAGTGACGCCATGGTTTGAGGGTGCAGCATGGAGTTCTGATCGCAAAGGCTCTCCACGCCTTGTACCATGCTCTCCCCGTATCGTGGGAGGATATTCGTGGATGACGACTATCGAATAGTAGTGTGATACATTAAGTGGTTTCGATCTCCCAGAGACCCAATAGCCCCACGCCGCCGATATGATACGTTTAATTCATCCATCCCTGCCCTCGTATACCTTTTGCAAGACCTAGGAGAGAACCATGTGTGCATGTACGTCTCGTTGTAGGTATCGCATTTCAGGCGAGCATAGGATTCTGACATGGAGTTTGGGCCATTAATTTGTCTATTAATACTAATAACGCCAACAACAACAAAGACTGAGCAGAGGAACTCCTTGGTGTCAGAAGACCGCCTGGAAGTCTTGTGGGAAGCATTCGAACTGGTAGATTCACGCCAGAATACAGTTTAAGCTAGAGGGTTCGTGGAAATTATAACAACCTCGCAGTTGGAGCCGATCTAATATTTCACCATCAATTTCAGACCTGTCCCAACCAACCTCGCGCCGACGATGAATGCCGTTCCTGCTAAGAGCATCACACCCGAGAAGATCTTCATATTAGTATAGTCTCCACCGGCGTGTTGCAGAATTGCTCCCGCAATCGGACTGGTCGTCAGCCCACCCACAGATGCAAACAGGAAGAGCAGACCAGTGCGATACCCAACCTCTTTCAAAGGTGAGATCTGGGCGATCAGCGCGGGCGAAAGACTGACATACGCTCCAGATGCAAAGCCAAAGAGAGTCGCAAACACGATGATGGGCGCATTAGAGGCCGCGGGGATCCAAAGAGCAAGTACGAGCACACCCGCAACGATACACATGACGATAAAGATATTGTATCTACCGTACCGATCGGACATGAATCCTGCTCCGAGACGGCCAAAGAGGCTGGCCGCATTCAACATGGGAACCAAGTATGACGCGAGGTCTGCGCTCATACCGCTTGCGACCGCCTGGACGATCACATAGTTGATTGGGATAAAGACCCCATAGGTAAGAAGCATGTATCCCAGGAGGGTAATGATGAACACGGGCTCCTTGAATGGCTGAAGCAACTGCACATTGGAGGGCTTTGGGCCTTGCTGTGGGGGACGCCGTGCCTTCACCGTGACAATGGCGATCCCGAGCAGGAGTAAGATCATGAAGGCGGAAATTCGCATGCTCCAGCCAAAGCCAACTTTCGCTATGAGGCGGTCGACCATGATGGGGAAGATCACCCCACCGACGCTGGAGCCCGTCGATAGAGTAGCAAAGGCGATGCCGCGTTTGCGATTAAACCAGGCACTGACAGCGCTTAGGGCTACTTGGGTTAGATTCCACAGCGAGCCGGGAGAAGGAAAAGACTTTACCTGGTTGAAATATAGCGGCCGCCCCGATGGCGCTGCAGATGCCTTGGGAAAGCAAGATTTGGTAGTATTCTTTTGAGATTGACGCCATCATCAGACCGAAGACATGGAAAAATGTCCCTCCGATAATCAAGTATCGAGCGCCAAATGTGTCGTACAGCTTCCCAACAATGGGGCCCTAGGTGGCTTGTAAATATCGAATCTAAATAAACTTCACGGATCCATGATATGCTGACATACCATGGCAAACATAAAGAAGATTTGCAGGGAAGGAATCCAGGAGATGGTACTGGAAGAGAACTGCTTCAGCAGGTGAGACTCATAGTAGTTCTGAAATATGCCGACACCTGGTATTTCACACGGTTAGTCTGGTTGTCCTCCAAGATATCTCACGATTTTAGATAGACACTCACTGTTGACCCATCCAAAGCTACAGAAAGACGTGCACCACGCACCTACCACAACCAACCACGCGGTTAATCCCCCATCCGGAGGCGCGTCGGGCTGATCTGTGGGCGACAAAGATTTCTCCCCATCCATTGATGTTGATATGCCCCCTTCGTCACCCCGTGGTGGAAGGCTATCGCGTTCCTGCGAGCTGGTACGGCTTCGATGCATGTTGATTCGACAGTCTGTGCTCACTAGACGAATGGATGATACGCTTATTCAATGTCCTCCGGTCATATCAGGAAATATATAGGGATGACATTTTCTAGGTGCATTATTTATCACTGTCATGGTTGTGAAGTCATCTCGGCTTCGGGACTACTTGGCGCTCAGCTCGGCTCGGCGTCAGAGGATCATGGGGCCGACGATTCGACAGTCCAAGTGGCAAGTATCAATAGGGATTGTCTCCGGCCGGCCCACAGTGCACAGGGGGCAATGGGGCGTACTGCGAGCGTCACAGGGGAATCGTCATACGGACTATGTGTGCAATTGCAGCATAGGTTAAGTTACAACTGTTCTACTGGATGTCCCGTACGGTGTTGCGAGGATACAAGCTATGTAGGAGTAGATCATTTGCGCGATTTCTTGTCGAGACCTCTACAGAGGGTTAATTTTCAGGATCTGGTAGGTATTATCATAGCTCTACATTGTGGAATATATTTATGTCTGGCGAGCCGGGAAGCGAGTTAATGGAGAGCCTGGCTACTTCTTCAAAACACAGATCACATTGTAGACTTTATACAATGGCTAGTATCGTCAACACCTAAGGCCTATTTACTTTACGGCTCAAATCGATACATTCCCAAATGTTCTGAGAGGTTAATCCACTCCGTCAAGGAACTGGGATCTAGAGGCGGAGCCAAGAGATCCCCAAACCCGTCCGGTGCGCCTCCCGCATCCTGCCCCGAATGCTCTTCAGCCGTGCGTGACTCCAGGATACGTTCCTCAGACGGGCCACAAGCTTGTATCGGCGAGGACATCGCGATATTCTCTCTCCGTCGTGCTGCCTTTTCCCGCAAGTGCTGCAGGACCTTCCACGTCGGCCCTGGATCCGGCCGAGTCGGGTCATTCTCGGTTACATTGCAGACGGCTTCGACAATATTCCACACGCGCACCACATGAGGCCCAGTGGGTTGCGCGCACAGGTGCCACAGTAGATACATCAGGCAGTGGAACTGATTGTAACTCGCGAATAACCAGCGGAACCCACGCAACAAGTCATCTGTCTGGAGCTCCAGGCTTTGCTCCAGGCATGAACATGCCGAGATTAACGTCTGTTCGGCCGTTGAAGAAACAACCTCTTGTGATTGATCATTGCTGAGGCCCAGCTGATACACGGAAAACTCAAACTTGGAGAGGAGAGAGCGCGTGGACAACCACGCAACCTTTTGGATGGGGATGTTAGTGTCGCAGTGACACAGGTATGTACTTTCCAGGTAGGTTGTAAGCTCATGGACGGTTTGGAGACGCTGGGAGTTGTCTGTTTGGCTGCCGGTGCTATGGTATACCTTTTGGAAGGCGATGGCAATCTCCGACGTGAGGAGAAAGAGGCTCATTTCCGTCCATTTCGCGCGTGGTCCCGGCAGGATTCGCAGATCGGGCGACAGATCACTATCATTCACGTGCAGGGGGAGACGAGTATCCGATCGGCTGCCAAAGCCATGTACTGCGAGACCGTGGTCCTCGGCAGCCCGATAGTCCAGCACTAGGATCTGCCACCAGAGCCGCCGGCGGACCTCAGCATCGAATGGGGGGAGATTAAAATGCGATCCGTCGCGATGCAGGCCGATGGACAGGGCAGCCCGGATGAGGACGCCATTGATGATCCACCCGGATCGACTGGTACGGTGTGCGCGGAGGCATGTCTCATTAACTAGGTCAGTTCGGTCGCCCAGTGATTGGGAAGGGCAATCTCACGATATAGATGGCGAGGGCCTGCAAGGATAACATGGACGGCGCGTCCAGAAAGGCGGCGTCGACCATGACCTTTTCAAAGCGGGCTTGAAAGTCTAGCAAGCTGGATCGCCTATCGCGACCGAGGAGGTTTGCGGCGTCGACCTCGGCCAGACTGGTCACTGCCGCAAAGTAAATGGCGAACAGCAGAGCCCTGCAGTCATCCGATCCTTCACCGTTCATAGTCGAATAGACCAGTGGCTCCACTGTTGGGAGGTGAAGGATTTTGACCACGGGATCGACATTGTTGCGATATATCTGCCATAGCTGTGCGGATTGCCAGCGCGAAAGATCCAACTCGTTCCCCCAATTCGCAGGGTGTCTGGAGCTGGCCAAAATGCCTTCTGGTCGCAAGCCTCCGTTGATTTCATCGGTCTCCCGGGGGGTCCCTATGACCTTGTACAGAGCCTTCTCCTTGTCCAGGATCTGCGACAGGAATGTCTCATTGATGTAGCGAGTGGAGGCACCATCCGGAACGAGAAGCTCCTGTCGGCGGTTGGGAGAATGCGGTGGCTCTGGCAGCAAGGCTGCGGACGTGACTCGGACGTTCGGATTGTCAGGACCTTGCGAGGCCCCAGTACTGTTCGTTAACACGGCCAGACTCCGTTCCAACTGAGCAATCCGATCGGTGATGGTGATTTTCTGGACCCTCCGAGGCCGATGAGCGTTGGCGTCGGTTGTGGGGTAACGACACGCCGCGCCGAGCCGTACGCAGGCCGAGCACGGCAGCGTCTTGCTACAGCGTACTTTGCGCTGATGACACTGGGTGCATGATCGCTCCATGATCCGGTGGGTAACGGACAAAGCAGCAGATGCCTCTGGGTATGTGTATCTAACAGGCTCGAGGGGAAACCGCTGAACGTCGTAGTGGTGGTGCTCGGCGGCTCGGGCCTGCCAAGGCACCGACATGCATCACGCAGGGGGCATTAGGGTTATCAGATACGAGAAATATTGATCGACGTGGAAGTCGAGAACTTGGCTATATGTTACATAATGGAAACGCTTGCAGCGATGTCACCCTACGTGGAAATCTCGTCATCAATCCCAGCCATGACTCCACTCATGGTAGCAAGATGGATTCTGTGTCTCACTGGTACTCTATAGATTGCAGAGGAGATGCACTGTATTTACAAGTTGCCCCCCCTTCTCACGTCCGCCGAACACACCTCACTTGCAAATCAGGATGCGTGATCCAACACTCAGGGTCCTGGGTCCAATTCCCTCCCTCAAGCATCTGCAACTCATAATGCTTGACCAAATGGAGCAGGATCGCCCGTATCACCACGTCGGCAGTGTAGCGCCCAATACACTGCCGAGGACCAAAGCCAAACCGCCAGAAGTGGTACCGTAGATCCGTGTTGGAGCTGTTCAGGAACCTCTCGGGGCGATATGTATTATTATCGGGTGCCCAGAATTCATCCCGCACGTTCAGTCCCCAGGTGTCCACGACATAATTGGTTCCAGCGGGGATGCGATATCCATCTACTACACGCTCGGTCGGGGCAGACTGCGGGATGGTAAAGGGCAGGGCTGGACGGAGCCGGGAAGACTCTAGCACACATGCTGCAAGAAAGGTTCCGTTGCGAGAGATATACCCTTCTTCCTCGGCAGTGGTCAGGGCGGATATTTCCTCGTGCAGGCGTGCTTGGCAGGCTGGATTGGCAGCCAAGAACACCAGGTTCCAGGACAGACCCCCCGTGGTGACGTCCAGGTTGGCGTACAGAGTTTCGTCCATGGTCTGTGCAACCTGCTCCTCCGTGAGAGTGCCTTTGTGGACGGCGTCGTACATCTGGACAACCATCGCCGACGGATGTTTCTCCCGGGCACGCTCGTATGCGGCGCGATTGAACGCCCGCCACTGGGAACGGAATCGCTGCAGCTGACGGTTGGCTTCCGTTGGGAAGAAGCGAGAGATATTAAACCGGGCCAAGCCACCGAAAAGAACGAATTTCATGAGATTTTCACGCGCCGGCGCGAGGGCATCGAGTTCAGATTTCATGTCTGCTGTAAGGGAGCCATAGTTGGCCTCGGCAACGATGAAAAATGGAAGCATCTTCAGGTCCTGAACGGGGTGTATCCGGCCGTCTCTCAAATTGCCGTTGTGCTCCAGGTCATGGAAATGGGCTCTAACGTGCTCTTGAATCCGACCGATGGATCGGACAGCTGTTGGGTGCATGAAGGGTGGCGCCGCAATCCCCTTCAAAAATTTCCAGCGCTGACCCGCCATGAGCCCTAAGCACTGACCTAGGATCCGACTCATGAAGTAGCCAGAATCACTGTTCGTGGCTTTTGTATGCTTGTCTGAATCTTTGAAAATGGTATGAAGCTGCTCGGGCCTTGTCAATACACTGGTTGTGCGTCAGTCAAACCGTCGTGTCCAACGCGAGGGCAGGAGGGTATCCGGACACTTCTGGGGTCATTCCCGCCCAAATACGGTAGACATTGCCATATTTTTGTTGCCATTGTTCGCTCCTCGTTCTCCCCTGCACGTACTTCTCTACATCGCCTTGTCCATTGGGCCACACATAGTTCGGTCCGGGAATACTACGGCCGGTCTCCGTATGCCGAATCGGATTTTTGAGCTGTAAATAGATCTATAGTTCAACCGCATCAGTTGAGCAATCTGCAAACTAAGCACGGGATGGAGGTACATACGCTGAGGACCCAAGAGATAAGTTTGGAAACAGGAGTGAAGGATGCTGGGAAGAGCAGCGTGGCAATGCAGAGACTAGCAACAGCAAAGAGGACAAAAAGACACCCGTATAGAATTTCTGGCTTTGTCAGCCCATCCTGAAAGGATATGCCCAAGTTCGGCGTAGCCAGCATGGCTAGAGTGCAAACTGAGACCTCGTTATCCAGATATTCTCCCTGGCTCAGGAAGTAGAATAGACGCAGGCGGCGGTTCGTGGTGTTTGCGATCTATATAGTAGCACCAGACAGGCATGATCGGGATTCTAGGTCGGAGATACGGATTCATGAGGTAGTGATGGACAACAGTGGCATTCGCACATATGGTTGCCTCCCTTGACTGCATACCATCTGAAACTAGACTCGCTGACATGACATGACATGACATGACGTGACTCGTATATAAAGTTTGAAAAGATGAGATCCTTCAACACTGAACTATTAGGTAAATGATATTCCTTGGTTGTTGCCTTGCCAAGACAGTAATGAAACTTACTCAGATTGTATACGGAGGATAGGGCTGAGGACCCACAACAAGGCATGGCGAAGGATGACTATGGATGCTGAGAGTAATCGAGGAGTTTGTGGACAGAAGTGAAGGAGTCCAAGGATAGTAGACAGATGAAAGTACGGCGAAGCTGTAGAGAGTATATATTAAGGTCAGAAGCCCAAGCAATGGTACATCGCGAGATTCCATCACAATCAGTCGACCCTATCATATCTTCTGCTAGATTCTGCTGTCCGACGAACCTCCCTCACGATGTCAATGTTTTCGAACATCTCCTCACTTGGCCTCGAGGCATGCTATCGGCATCATGTCAGCGCCACTCCCAATGCTACTGCGGTAGTGGACGGTGACCAATCTATGACATATCGAGAGCTCGACGCCCGTGTCAATCACCTGGCCTCGATCTTAGGTCCAGAGTATATTCAAAAGGAAGAGCCAGTTGGTATTCTCGTGCCGATGGGCATTGCACATGTAGTAGCTCAGGCTGCGGTACTGCGTTTGGGAGGGTCTTGTGTGCCCATGGATTTGTCATTTCCCGACCAGCGCATTAATGACCTCCTGCGTGCCTTGAAAACGCGTATTATCCTCACTGTCGCGAGCGAAAAGGCTCGCTTTCCCGAATTCAAGCCTATCCTCGTGGAATCCAGGTACTCCAACGTGCACCAGAATGGATATCATGACGATACGGTTCTCGCTGTTGAGACTGGGCGCGATCACCGCACCCATATCCTACACACCTCAGGGACAACAGGCCTGCCTAAGCCTGTGGAGATCATGTCGAAGGGAATCACGCGGATGGCCTTCAACACGCAATGTGTTGAGTTCAAGAGTACGGATCGAGTCGCTCAGATTGCGGCGCCTAGCTTTGACGCCGCTCTGTTTGAGATCTGGACCACTCTGGCTAGAGGAGCCGCCATTGTTCTGCTTCCGAAGAACGTCGTTATTGACCCTGTTGCACTGCATGACAGTATCCGCAAATACCGCATCACATCGATCCTGGTCACGACTGCTTTGTTGAACCATGTCGTGTCGGCCATTCCCAACGCGTTTGAGGACCTCGACTATGTGCTCACCGGTGGCGAGGCGGCGAATCCCAGTGTGATGCAGGTGGTTTTGGAGAATGGACCACCAAAGAAGCTTGTTCATGCGTACGGGCCAACCGAATGCACGATTATCACCACGTACCATCTCACAACGTTGGAAGAGGTCCGCCGGGGACAGACTCCTATTGGGAAGCCATTGGACGGCACCACAGTGTATATCTTGGATGATGGTCTCCAGCCCGTCAAAGATGGCAGTGTTGGCGAACTTTATATCGGTGGTGACGCAGTTGCACGCGGTTATCTGGGGCGCCCGGAAGCAAATGCCAAGAGCTTCCTTGAAGTATCCCATTTATCAAAGGATGGGTCGCCCGTTCGCATCTACCGATCAGGGGATCTAGTGCGCATGCTTGACACGGGTGCCATTGAGTTTGTGGCGCGTGCAGACAACATGGTCAAGATCCGTGGATTCCGCATCGAGCCGGCCGAGATCGAGGGGGCACTGCTGAAGAGCGAGATGGTGCAGGGTACCGTTGTGCTGCCCGTCCATCGTCCAGGAAAGGAGACCTATATTATGGCCTTTGTAATTCCCAAACATGATGGTGCATTTTCTCTGGAACAGCTCGACGAATATCTGCGCCGCCGGCTACCGGCGTACATGATGCCCCGGTTGGAGGCCGTCGCCTCGCTACCCTTCACTGTCCACGGCAAGATTGACCGTGTAGCGGTCATGAATAAGCACCTGGAGGAGGCAAAGAGGGCCGAACAGCAAGTTCTTGTATCCTCTAACGCCAAGGATACCGGAGACAGTGTAACCTGGTTACGTACATTGTGGACATCAGTGCTCGGCATCAGCAATATTGATGACAAGTCCAATTTCTTCCACTTGGGAGGCAGCTCACTACAGGCGGCCGCGCTGCTGGTCCACATTCGTCGGCGCTTCGGCATGACCTTGACCATGCAGCAAATCCATGACTGTCCCACTCTTCTTGGCCTCGCCAGTTTGATCGATGCTGGTCATGCCAAAAGCAAAGTAGACCACAGCCGGCTCGGCCTCTTCATCGCCGACTCTCAATTAGCGCAGGACATCCCTGTTCTGTCCAACAAAGCTCCAGATTGGAGAAGCCCCTCGGAGGGTCGGGTATTCCTGACCGGAGCCACCGGATTTCTAGGGACGTACTTCCTACGTGAGTTGATCGATCGCCCAGATGTCAAATCAGTTCGGTGTCTGGTTCGTGCGTCGGACGCGCATTCCGCCCGTGCACGGCTTCTCGGAGCTCTGGATAAGTACGGACTGGGATGGGAGGACAATCTGGATAAAGTGACCGCCATTGCCGGAGATCTGGGTAAGGAACTGTTTGGACTGTCCGAAGCCGAATTTGAAGATCTAGCTCTCTGGACGAGCGTCATCTTTCACATCGGCGCACATGTGAACTACGTCCAACCGTACGAGAAGCATCGTAACACTAATGTCTATGGAACCTTGAACTGCATTAAGCTTGCGACGACCGGACGGACCAAGGCACTGCATTACACGTCGACAGCCGCCGTCACAGGCCCAGTATCGCACTTCACAGGTGCAGACCACATCCCGGAGGATGTAGACCTTGGTGAGTTCCAGGGGTGGCTGCCATATGACATCGGTTACACACAGAGCAAGTGGGTCTCGGAGCAATTGATTCACTCCATGATTGCAAAGGGCCTACCAGCGATTGTATTCCGACCGGGATTCATCATGGGTGACACCCTTCGAGGCAAGGGCAACTGCGATGACTTCATGTGCCGGGTGTTCATCGGGTCTATCAAATTGGGATATCGTCCCATTCTCCCGAACCAAAGCAAGATTATGATTCCTGTTGACTTTATCACCACCGCTCTACTGCATATCACCTCGAACGCCAACAACTTTGGACGGACTTTCCACCTAGTGCCGCAGACACGTGAGGAGGACACGGATATTGAAACCTCCTGGGAAATGCTCAAGGAGCTAGGGTATGACCTGAAAGCAGTGGAGTACAAAGATTGGTTGGAGATCCTATCAAAGGACAGCGATCTGCTTACCAACCCATTGCTCCCTATGTTACCGGTACTGCAGGAGCCAGTCCGGAAGCATTTGACTCGATGGGAGCTTTACGAGGACATGGCCACATACGATGTGACAAATACCAGACAGTCGCTCGCAGATTATGGAAACCTGAAGTCCGGCATTGGGCTGGAGGACTTACGTCGACATGTTGAGGACTGGGTCACTCGTGGACTGGTGCCTGCGAGAAACTAGGATCTCTCAATAGATGGTATGTTGGGCTCATGTGTAGAGATAATTACCTTTTTCCAGCTTGAATATCGTCTGGTTTCAGAACCAAAATGGCAGACTTAGGGACCAATTCATATCACAATAGCTACTAGACAGTGATGGAAAGCGAGTTGCGTAGGGAACTTAAAGCTATGGTGCTCCATGCGTTCGAACAACCTCTTCCGTGTAGCAACGCCGTTGATAGCAACTTGGATGACCTAAGGAAAGCACTCTCTGATTGCAACTGGAGTGGTATACATGGCGGGTTCACACTGTATACATTATTTACCACTTGAATTGTACTATTTCTTTCGCTACAAATACGTAGTTATGTAGAACGAAGAGCGTATGATGGAGTGGCATGTAGAAACAACCCCGACAATGCATAGTGACATTACCTGCAACTGGAGTTAGGACCAAAGGAAAAATGGGGAAGTCTGCACTAATAATACCGTTGGCCTTCTTGCTACCGCTTGATCACCGCCATGGCAGCGCGACAGAGTCCTATACCACTTCCCTTCAGGCTAGAGGCTGATCCTCGAAGAATACTAGGCATCGCAATTCCAGGCTCTCGCGAGCCTCCTGTACACCCTGCGTTCTCGGATCCACAAAGGCTGTATGAGGCGTTCTTCTAGCCGTCTGACCATCATCCTTCGAATCGTAGCATTTGATCAACACCACCTCGTCCGGCTTCATGTCGGACATATAATACCACTTCTGGCCAGGTGCATACTTGCCGTAAAGCATACCAAAACCACTACCCTTTGTCGCCCCATCATAGTCTTTGTTTTTCTCCCTGCCAGGAACCCGCCCATAGATCTCAAGGAGATCATCATCATGGAAGGAACGTGCATCCGATACAGCCAATGGGTCCCGGGGAACCACCTTGAGTGGGCGCCATATATTGACGATAGCCCAACGGGTTTTGAACAATCGCTCAGCTTCCAGGGCAGTCATGTTGTCCTTTACGACTTCGAGAGCCCCGGGCTCTGACTGATCCACATGGACATGCCGCGCGGGCACCATCACACTGGTCGCCTTCGTGTCCGGGTCGGCCGAATCAGCCATTGCTTCTACCCTTTCATAGGGAGCTGTGCGTGTGATGTGCGAAAAGACGTGGGCGCGGGTCGCACCAGTTCTTTATGTATGAAATCAGCAACATTCTTGTGGGTGTATCATAGAGATCGACATTAAAAGGGGCATTTGTGAATGGAGAAAAACTAAAAGGGTATACTTACACGTTCTTGAGAATGTCCTCTGCTTCGGGGTACATATATCTTTTCACAGAAGCTTCCTCGAAGGACGCAACATGCTGACTGACATGTTTGATGAACTGAAAGCCGTGGATGTCCAGGGCAAATGCTCGCTCTTGGCCACGCACATCCTCGATTAGGGCAGGTCGACTATCGATGGGTCGGCGATATGCGCCAATCGTGCCCAGTATAAGCTCCCTTTGTACAGGACCTGTGGCAGGCCAGTAATTCAAGAAGGTCTGAACTACCTGACGGGGGCGCATGGTTGTCAATGGATGTAACAGCTTAGGGAAACCAATTTGAGATTCTAAGGCCGATGTGCAGCTTAGACAGCCTTGGGGAACGGGAGCCTAAGTTTCAGTGATTTGAGATGAGCTGTGTTGCTCGCTTGCCGTTATTTATGAACGATGCCAGTTTGACTATATGGAATACTTGGAGGCCCGGCGCAGGCCTCTGACAACCCAAACCAAGGGTGACCAGCAATACAAGTCTTTTGTCATGATAGTACGACCGATGGCGACCGTGGGCTCTCCACCGAGACGCCGAGTTTGCTATCAGGCACCTTTGAGATGTAACGTGCAAGGATAAAGGTGCATAAATACGAGATGGCAGATGTAACAAGAGGGTGCTGAGCACTGATCGTCGCTCCGAGGATACCGGGCTTCGTCCAAAGCGCAGCACACCACAGCCAGCCTCTTCCAATGCATATCCATGTTTGACCAACGGGTGGTGGCAAATGACAGTATCGCACAGGGACTGTGTTGAAAGGCCTCGGAGGCATGACATGCAGAAGATGATCATCGGACAAGTCTCCTTGGCATGTTCTATTGCGTCAATGGCTGTTGCTTGTGTAGGCATGATCGCCGGCTCGGGTGGATGTCTGTTCCATCACGCCGTCAGTGTGACTCGCTCTGCAGGGGAGGACGCTCTCTGCGACATTTGGTCGTATGTCCTGCATCGAACAGGTTATGTTGCTGTCTGGACCTGACTGACCTACATCATAAATGTCGTAGTGTATACTGTGTAATTCCACACACTCAGGTGGACATGTGTTGAGCAGATAATATGAGTTTGAAACAAAGAGCCAGGAGTCCCGGTTTCACACAACGGCTACCAGGCTCAGGAAAGCAATATGACCGTAAGTCTAAGGCATTCGGTTTGTCTCGGCTGTCGGGAGGGCGTGCTTGAACGGAGTCCGAGGTAGTAGTCAGTGGGGACATCTGTGAGGTGGTCTCTGAGGTTTGTTCCCCACCGCAGCGCATCAGACATTCTTCACGTATTCCGTGCGGACCAGGGCTCTAGTATCGGAAGAAAAGGGACGCCGAGCAGATGAACGCACATGGTGCCACTGTTGCGCACTCTATATATGCTAGGGTTGACCTGCTGCTGCCCCGAGCTTCCCTTTTCTATTGCATAGTACTTTTGCCAAGCGTTGGTCTGGTAACTCGATGCGTATACCATCGCTGGCTTGACAAGACTATATATTGCTTGGGCTAAGCACCGAACAAGCAGAGGGAAGCGGTTCCTCCCGGAAAGGCTCCGCGAGATTGTGGTTGCAGAGCTGCAGCTCAATACGAGGTGCCCCCGAGCCAAGGTGATGATACGAGGCCGGCCGTTCAGTGGCGGACGAGCTGTAGTCAATTGGTCCACTGCAATGCGCTCAGAACTTTCGGCAGTCCGTACTTTCACCTCCATCTTGTACTTTTTGGCCCTGCCTAGTTAGGGACCGATTGCCACTTTGGAGGGGAATAACGGAATCATTACACTCCTTCCGCTCGCAGGTCCCCTCGGGAATATGATATTGCCTACTGCTCTCTTCATGAAGCTTGGCAGCTGATGATTTCCCTTTTTTAGAAATGTGTAAGAAATCCTTTCGCGGCGCCAGCCGTTGACTGCGCTGCAATTTCTAATTTCGGCGCTGCCTTGCTTTATATATCTCCGGATGTCCACCCTTGACAGTTATCGAGAGGATCAAACGCGGATCTCTCGTTGTACACGGCTGTAATCGACATGGGCCCGCCTCACGAAGAGATACTAGCCCTCAAACGACGCAGGGAACAAAACCGCCTTGCACAAAGACGTCGCCGTACGTGTCAACGTGCCAATTGCTTCTATAACGCCCAGCTAACTCACCCAGGCGATAATGTTAGACGACGATTGAGAGACCTGGGCCTCGATGCTAACAGTCCGGTCTCCCCCAGTCAAACGTCAAAAGATCGTACAGTCACACTAAGTTCCCACCAGAACTTCAGAACAACCGATTCGTTATCATTTGACATCCCCATTGCTGGCACCGACATTGCGCCATATGATGCCTCTTTGAAAAGTCTAATACGGTTGGACAACCAGATCCCACTCACTGAAGTCTCACTCCCCGGATACGCCTCCTCTGCCTCACCATCCTCCGTGGGCCCACTCTCGGGCTCGACATCTCCCAGTCGGCAAACGTACGATGACTCAACAGACCCTACTTGGCTACAGTCTTTCTATGATACATCACCACTCACGATGCGCTTTGATGGCAGTAGCATGCCGTCCCGTGAGGCTGAAATCCCCATTACCCACGAAAACAATCTCCCTCGATCTCCAGATCTACCGAGTATGATGTGTGGCTTAAATGATGCATCGGATGACAGAGCCTGGGCGTTACCCTCGTCCACAGCCAGTGAACAGATGAGTTCCCAAAGTCTTCCATCAAGTCAAGTCCCACAGCATTGCAGAACGCCATTTCCGGGACAGGTGCGTCCGCGATGGACTACGGCGCTACATATGGCAGTCTCGCGGGGCAACTTCTCGGTGATGCGCCTTCTACTGAGCCATGGGGCGGACCCCAACGCAGTCAACAGCGAAGGGGCTACGGCTCTCCATGTTGGGGTCATGAATGGCAATTACACTATGGTGGCCGAGCTTCTCCAACGGGGGGCTGATCCCACCCTCACCAATGCGGCGGGCTGGCTTCCACTGCACCATGCGGTCCATGCGGGCGATGAGGGTTGCGTACGAGTGTTGCTTGAGGCCGACCAGCCTGTGGACTATCCATATCCCATTTTTGATTACTCTTGAAGGAAGGACACTGCGACCGGTTACACGATACACACGTTCACATCCCACCGACGAGTAGAAATGAGTATTTGCTTCATTCGTGACTTCTTCCCCCCTTCCTTTTTTCTTTTTTTTGTTGTTTCCCGTCTTCTGTTGAACGGATGAGACTTGGCTTTCCTCTCCTGTAACCCTTGCTTATGACGAATTCTTCCTGATGGATTCCAACCCCTGCTCCCTACTCCAACTCCATGCTTCGTCCTGGTTAAATAGATCCCCGGCGCTACAACGAACTGAGTTCATTTGATTGCTGCCTTCCACGAGAGCGATTCGCTTAGTCTCGGGTCCAGACCCTTTGGCTTCCCCCACTGGGGTCCTTGCAGGATTCCTTTTGTCACGCCAAGGCTCGGTGGTTGGAATGCCTCCGAGGCGCCGACCATCTTATCTGATACACGCCACACGTAGCAACGGTCCAAGGATACTCTCGCCAGGGAGATCCCCCTCTGGCCAGGAAATACATTGGCTTGGGTGACGTAATACCGACTAGATATGGTCGTATTACTAACATACACCTTAAGTGTAACCTGTACCCTACCGACATCAGATCAGTGCACGCCAGCGCTGCGGGAGATCCGCAAAGATCGACTTTTAGTCCCTCGGATATTAAGTAGGGGTATTTCGATATGACACATACATAAAGATGATCAAAATCTAGACACGAACATCTAGGAAGATTTTGGTGTTGAGATAGTATGTACCTCTAACACGTGTTTGCGATGCCCGCGCTCACTTCTGGCATTGGAGTCAGGTTGGGGCTACCGACAGTCATGAAATATATAGCGAAACAGAACCGGTTGAATTTCTTGTATCGTCTATCGATGAGGAACAGGGAGGGGGGATTATATACTTCAAGATGTGAACCAAGTGTTCTAAATACGTTGTGATATATGTATATATAGTCTTCATGTATGGTAATTATCGCCTCTCCATGGTCTCACTCGCCATCTTCCGTGCTTTCAGCCTGAACATCAAGAGGTGGATATGGCTCTCCGTCTTCCCCTTGCGAGGTAGCCAACAGTCTTCCAGCACCTTTACTCTATTGGTGGGGAGCTGGGATATGTGGATTCTACCTGAACGGCTCAAAGGTACATGCGATGTGTTTGGTGACGACAGACTCAGTTACTAAGATTCACATTGGATATGGTCATTATTCACTATCCAGTCCGGTCAACCTACAACCCACACAGGTTTACCCTTCTCATTCCGAATGTGCTCACCCACATTGATGGCCTGGCACTGACTATAGTCTTTTGCGACGGTTTCGAGGTCGCCGGTCAACCAAGGGACACTGTCTGAAAATTTGAGCCCAATGCCCCGAGCGCTTGCGGTGAATGTGTTCGATTCCGTGGTAAACGGACCTATACATATTTGTATCAGAAAGTCATAATTCAGGGTACTTACAATAACGAGATTTACCGTTAGACATTCCGACCCCGTCGTCGAGGTCAAGCTCGTGCGTTGCGGCGGTTGAGGAAATAAGAAGATCATTATCTCACTATCATCCTCTACATGCTGCTATTTGTAATTCTCTATTCCCTTGTCTTAACAGTGGAAGCCCTGATGTCATTATCTACGATATATGATTGTCATACTCTATGTTTAGAGGTGCATATTTGGCATTATCGATATAACATATAATGCAGCTGTTCATTTCAAAGCTATACAAATGCAAGTTAGGGGAGGATGTTCAGAGGCATGCATTACGGGTGGGACCTTGGCAATTACAGGCTGATGATTACGCATTGGGAGCAGATATTTTCTCTATCGACATGATCCACATCTCGCCTAGTCAGAGTCGGAGTCATAGCTAGGACCCTCCTGGGTCTTAGGCTTCAGAGGCTGAATGGCATTAATGGCATCCCACAGCGTAGCGCCCATGACGGGTCCGATCTGCCAGTCATGAAACCACGGCATGTTGGAGGTGCGAGTGACCAGATTATCACCCGTGCCACTGCTAACAGGGACAATTGCATATCGGACGTTCTCATCTCGCCCGTCGGGGCCATCACGCAATACTGGGGCGTATGTTCGAGAGAGCTGCCGGAAACGATCATTGCTCCATCCAGTAGCCTCCATGTTGTTAATTGCAATCACGGTCTGACTACTTCCGTTTAGTTGCTCAGACGCATAACCCTCACTTTGTCTGGCCCGCCTGGGAGCATGCCCCGTATGATAGTGGTGCTCAAAGGGGATGCCACAATGGCCACCGATGAATCCCTCTTGACACATAGGTAGGTTGTTAGATGCCACTCTAGTTGATTGACACCTTGGATTACCGATGGCGGCATTGCTCTATGGAAGGATACCACCCCAAACCGGTCATGAAGGTCATGAAGGACGGAGACGCGTGCGGCGAAATGGTGTCTGAACAGTGACGTTCTTTATTATATAGTCGGTCAGATTGGATGAAAGAGCAGTCCATAGCATGGCTAAACAACACGGCTATTATGCAACCGCCTACTGGGCGGATTATTACAATACAATTTGTCATGAAGCTGGTGTACAAATACTAGAAATCATTTCAAGCTAGACAAGCTAGGAGCAGAGCATTGCGTATGGTAGGCAATCACAGCCACGATTCTCAAACTCAGCATTATAGTAATATACCCTGACGACCAAGCCCCGTCACATCAGAGCCCCAACTCCCCGGTGTCTTCCTGCTTCACTGCTTTGGCGAGATCCCGAACTCTTCATTTGCAGCGATCGCAGGCGTTGGGTTTGTTGTTTTGTTATAGGAGTTTTCGGTGAACGTGTTTCCCGTACCCTCAAGCTCCAAAACGCGCTCGGCGTCCTCACTCAGCATGTATTCCTCCTTGTCAATATGACGGAACATGAAGTAGAAAATCACCGTGAGAACACCACCCACGATGGAGGGACCGCCGAAGACCCAGGTCAGGTAAGGATCCCTGACAACGGCGGAGCATGCGAGCCCTATGGCATAAGCCACTGCGGTGTTGAGCAGGTTGACGGCCGAGACTACTCCACGCATGTTCTTGGGGGCGCGGGAGTAGGCGATACCGTAGGCCGGGACATTGACGAACAGCTCGGAGATACCACCGAGTGCATATGGGATGGCCATCCACTGACATTTTGTTAACAATCACCAACTCCTGGGGTCGAATGCAAGGATGGATGGAGACAAGAAGACATACCCAAATGCTGATTGGTGCCACCAAAGAAACCCCGTCGGCATCCACGCATGTGTCAGAAGAACCGTACTTACCACAAGGTCCCAGTTTGTAGGCATAGTAGTTGAGAACGGTGTACCCTACGCCGCCGATGGAAGACAGGGCCAGTCCCGTGGTGATCCGAGCCACAGGGCCATATCGAATGTGGAGCCGACGAAGCAACGGATAGAGCATGTAGTTGAGGATGGGAGCGAACACGATGATACTCAGAGCATTGAAGTTGCTGATCACATCGTTGGGCACGCCGTTGGTCGTCAACATGGTGGACAAAAAGCTTGCCGCGTTACCCAACCCGTTGTCATTGAGGAACTGGATCGGGAAGAAACAGAAAATTCCTGTCGCCTGGAATGCGCGGCGGACATCCTCCACAAATTGGTCGTTCCAATGAGTCTTAAAGCGCTCGCCGTTCGCTGCAATTACTGACGGCTTGGCCGCATCCCAGAAGCCATGGCGTCCAACGCGGAAGATGCCGCCGCCAGCAAGGCAGATGCGCAGTACACGAACGACATTGAGGAGGTCGCTGCCGCCGGGCGGGTGTAAAACAAGACGTTTCCGCAGCCAGAACTAGCACCAGATTAGTCTTGGTAGTAGGGCAGTTATAGGGTCTTGAATCATGACATACCAGGAGGGCTGGCAACGGAAGATACAAAAACAGCGGCAGGATAAAGGCCAACCACCACCCGACGTATTTCTCGGCATAGGAGGTTGCGACTTGCATGAAGCCACCGATGTTGATAAGCAGATAGAACCACAACATAGCCCGCTCCGTCGTGACCTCAGGGTCGACGATAACCTTCTCGCCACTGGACAGCAGCTTGGTCCTGGCCTTGGTAGTGGGCATCTGATCCAACAGCAGAGGGGACACATTGGGCTTGAACATGGCTGCGATTATTAGTGCTGAACCTCAGCAACCGCAGAAGAGGAGAGAACCTACCGGCACCGACCGACAGCATGTACAAGGAAATGAAGAAGGGCGCTTTCGCACCCCCATTAGCAAGTAGCGTTGGAGCGGCCGCCCCAACCATCAGGACATGAGCGACCCCAAAGACGAAGACACCCCAGAAGATCATCTTGAAGCGGCCCGTATGAGCGTCGGATAGATAGCCGAACAGCATGGGAAGGACATACGCCAGCATACTGAACGACTGGTTGACGGCGTTTGCCTTCACAGTGCCCATGCCCAGGGCGCCCGCCGTCTGTTGTGTTCCCCGTGGCGGTGCACCGTAGCCATTCCCACCCACTGGCATTGGACGATTGACGAAGTTCGAGATGAGGCCCGAAACACCCAGGTACGAAGCTCGCTCGGAGAATTCGACCACACAGATGAGATAGGCTACCAGGGGGAGATTACCCGGCACACGTCGCAGCGTCGACAACTCTTCCTCGGTGGGCTCGTTCTCATCGTACTCTCCCGCTGTCGGCGACGTTTCCTCTACCACGGGAATGTCGACCTTTTCGTCATAACGCTCTTTGGAAGCTGGATGTCTGTTAACCATCTGGTCACGGGAAAGGATTCAGCTGGACATGATCCAGATCGAACGCCCAAACGTACCCATTGTGTGGAATTGCCTCTACAGGAGCAACATACAAGAGGCAAATGAAAGAAAATAAGGGGGGGAGGGGGGCAAGCGATCGAGGCTGGAACGGATCAGCGGTAGCCTGGCCTCTTTAAAGCACTCATTCCCTCTGGTTTCCCTTTGTTGGCCACGATGCAACTCGAGATATATTAATCAAAGCGGGGTGACCGGCCACATCCAATGACGGAGAGGGTAATCCGGCACAAGATATTGACTATAGTGAACGGAGATAGCAGAGGGCCTATCATGCAACGAGAAGAAAGATAAGCTTGCCATCAGGAGGCGCCTTAGCATGTGTAGCTAAGCACTACGACTAAGGTAGTTAGGGCTTGGCGCGGATGGCGTTATCCAGCTGGTTCATCCCACACGGTCTGCGAGATAACGATAGTGTACCATGTGGGCCTCAATATAGCCCGATGTAACCCTGCCTCCAAGCCATATGTTCGGAGTCCGGTGGGTCTGTGGGTATGGATGGCATCGCTTTTATTTCTCCCCGAGCATAGGCAACTGACTTTATGCATTGGCAGAGCTACTGTGTACATCCCAATACAGTGGTCTTTGAGATTTACATTGCATGCATAGAAGACTGGAAGTATTGCCGCTCCAAGTCGGCCCAGCAACCCACATGGAACGCATCGAGAATACATTCCATTCTAGAGCCAGTACGGAGTAGATCATCCGTTGTATACTGAAGTTGTGCTTCGTGTGGTCACGTGCTCCACCCCCCACTTCGCCTCAGAGGCTTGATATACTCTCCATACATTCATGGCAAGCACGACGATACAAGGCGAGTCTCATTCACTCAACGTTCCCTTTTCCACCCCACCTCATCCGGTCATACACGGCCCTACTCAAACGCGATAGAGAAGGAATACAAGAACACAAAGATCCACGTCCGGGGCCGAGCTTGGCAAGAGCTTGGCGAGATGTTCCCCGATCCGGAATGGTGGGAGACATGAGGCTATTCAAAGCCGTTGGACCTCTCCAGCCAGTGCGAGATCTTCACTTGGGGACGCCTTTACCATGCATACGAGCACCACGGTGACCAATGAGGAACCGTGACGTTTTGCTCAGCCACTTCATCGCCCTCATTTAAGGTTTCGGCAAACACGAGAGGCAAGAGAAACCTCATCGGCCCCGTCATCACAGCACATATTCGCGACCTGATCCATATCCCTCTTCTCCGTCGTGCTGGAGCCTGGACTACCGTCGTTGCGGATATCCCACCGAGTCTCAAGGATGTACAAACGAAGCGTTTTCACCAACATCACCCCCCTCCCATCCTATATCACGCGGGAGACGGTTGTAGAAGCTCTCCACAATCACTCGGAAATGATTGAACTGAACCCGTTGGTGATCCGTCACCAACCCTGTCGCCCGCCGGCCTTTGCGCCTGCGGATGAATTCCATTGTACTTGGTACGAGATGACCGACCGAATCTCGTATCTACCAGGCGGGCTGGTACAGGGCAATGTGTCCTACGCAGGCTGCTTTTACGACCTCCCGCGAGGCCTCCAGACGCATGTCTATGCCCCAACGGGCTTGGACATCCGAGAGAAATGGTCTGTATGTGGCAATATGCCGGGAGAGCCGCGAGAGCCCGTCGAACTAGGCATTCCCGATGCCCCCCGTGAAGGGCTGTACCTGCGGGAAGACGTGAACATGCGGTCGCAGATTTGGGCCACAGGGTTTGTGAAACGGACACTCAAAAAGGCCCATGCGGTGCTGGTGGACCGGTTGGTCATCAAAGCGGATCTGGAAAAGCAGCGGAAGGATTCGATGTCAGGATGTGCCTCCGACTCATTGGTCCAAAGGCCGACAAGTCTGTCTCACGATCAAAAGTCAACGCAAGGGGAGGATCCGATCTCGCCGCACCAGAATCGCTGGTCAAGGACCAGTGACATTGCCGAAGTTCCTGGCTCGTTGCAAGCGGGACAGCGACTCCATCAGCGACCAGATCACTCTGTGTATGAACTTGAATAGGGACGACCGTATGATTGCCGGTTAACTTTTCTTTTCTTTTTTTCGTTTCTTTTCGTTTCTTGTCTTTTTTCTCTTTTTACAGCGCATACACCCCTGGTGCATCTGGTAAGGTAGTCTACATGTTTCTTCTGATGTCTGTTGCTGTCATGAATTAGTACGAATATAATACTCCTGCAACACTCCAGCTGCATAACCATATTGAAGGCCTTGAAATCACAGTCAGCACTTAGACTATGCAGTGAACTAGAGTTTTGAAGTACTTATTTAGACGGGCTGGTGGCTGAGAATGTTGTATGCGAAAAATGTGTTTTAGGCCGTGGCGTTCCAAGTCTCGCTCCAGTGCACATCCCTCGCGACCATGATTCCTTCATGCCAGCTATGCTTCACGGCCTCTACAGCGGTTTAACAGACAATCGATTGGTCGGCACCAAACAAAATGGTCGGCTGGCAAGCTCCTCGCCGGCTAACCAGTCAGTTTATGACACAAGCGAAGGCTCACGATGCTTATGCCTTAGGCTGTTACCAAGAAGAAACCGAGCTCAACAATGTTTTATTATGGATCTACCGTGTACTGTATCCGATGAATGTCGAAGTCCATTTTCACAGCCACATCAGATGCTCCCGCAAGGAAAGAATCAACGTCCCTCGTCTCCTTCCACCGCGTCTAATCGTTGAGCTAGCACTTGGCAAGGCCAGTCGCCTTCCAGGTTCAAACGTTCCAATCGCTTGAAACCTTGAGATTCATAATATTGGACCAATTTGCCGTCGCCACCTGCGTAGCAATCCACCCGTAGTAATGAGACTCCAGCGCTGTTGGCAGCATGGCGTGCATGGTCCAAAAGACGTTTGCCAATCCCGTTGCCAGCACATTGTCGATCCGTGACTAACAGCCGCACATAAAGCTCAGGCTCCGAGACAGATGGCACGTAAGGCATTTTGTCTCCAATGGCAAGCGCTCCTACGACGACACCCGGCGTGTCTCCGTTCACGGTTTGGGCGTTCGTATCGGAGAGTCGATTTTGGTCCCGCACAGGTGTATCGTCAGCCACCTTGATAGCGAGCCACAGACCATGGCCAGTGGTTGCAAATTCTCTGAGTCGTTCGGGGTTTTTTGGATTCTCGGAAAACGGTGCTGCTCCCCACTGCCCGATTCTGTCCTGCGATACCAGCCATTTGACTGCAGTATCTAGGAGATGGAGCACGGCCGGGACAGAATCAACTGTTGCCCGTACGATCGCGATGTCGTGGGAACCATTGAGAGTTGTGCTTTAAACCCGTTTAGTGAGTCTCTGTGCATGCCCTTTTGCTTTTGTTCTTCCTTTGATATTGTCCCCTTCGGATCCACCTCTTCTTCGGTAGGTCGGCGCTTCGGACAATCAGACTTACTTTGATGCCATTTATTCCAGTAGTTTCGCTTTCAAGAGAGATAGATGGCTGTCAATCACCGTCTGATGTTGACTGCCATTTCTTTCCTCATCGTCGTCGTTTTGAGGATGGCGTGGGCAGGGCTCGTCCGTCCATGTGATGCTCACGTGGGACCAGAAACGAATCTGCCTATTCCTTCTTCCTTCTGCCCCCAGTGCGTCTGTCAGGGCCAATCGTGCTCGATTGGATGTGTCATGGTTTCGCTCGGCGGAGGTCCGTGACTCACGGCGATGGGACCGCCGTCGGTAGCCCGTCGACCCAGTGGGGCAGTTCGTGGAAAGAAAACCAACCCTCATCCTCATCGACCGTCAAAACCCGTTGACCCAATTTAAAGTTGCGTATTCGGTACTTGTCGTGAAAGGCTAGAAGTTCTAGTCAAACTAGTTGGAACTCAAATTTTGAACACTGTATTACGTGACTCATCTCTATTACATATTTGTTGCTTTGCTCTGGAGTAAGGGGTATAGTAGTAACCGGTATGGTAGGGGGGAATATATATAATTGTATCAGCACAGTGTCGTGTTGGGCACAAGGAGATGTATAACGATTGTATATATTTATTTATTTATTTTTTTTTTTTTAAAAAAAAATCCATGACTGATGTGAAAGACATGCTTTATTACTATATGAAAAACCGTATATCCATTTTATTAATCCTACAAAAACCTCGATGTGGTAATGGATACCATGTAAGCCCACGGGGAGCAAGAGATTCACCATGCTCTGAATAAACCCTAGGTGCCTGAACCGTTGTCGCCGCGACGCCGCAGGGTGTATGTGATCCCACGAAGCAGAACTTCCAGTGATTATGTCGCCTATCGGCTGTAATAAACATTTACATACCTCCTTCACAGCTTACTCCCCCGGGCGGCCAGCCGTTCAACTTCCGCGAATTGGTAATAATAGTCCAGGCACTGAGGATTGAGCAGGGTACCGGATGGTTTGATTTTCTTTCCGGAGACAATCTGCTTCACGGGAAGCTCAACCTTCTTCCCATTGACGGTGGTCTAAGTGTGAATCGTCAGTGTTGCTCATGGGACTCGCTGCTAGTCAGGCCTCTTGCTTACCGGAATTTCAGGAGTGTCGAAGATGAACGTCGGGACATGACGACTACTGAGCTTCTGACGAATCGCAGCCTTCACTCGACCAACCAATTCCGGGGTAAAGACCACCCCCGGCTTGAGGAGCAAAAACAACACGACCCGCTCGTCTGTGTCGGACGGTCTGCGCTGGCCGACACAGATCGAGTCCACGACCTCACTCGGAAATTCACTTTCAATGACCTGGTATATCTCCGAGGAGCCGAATCGAACGCCAGACGGGTTCAGGACCCCGTCTGCCCGGCCGTGGAAGAACAACTGCTTGGTGACCGGGTGGACTGACACAAAGTCACCGTGGGTCCAGACATCTGGCATTCTTGGTTAGTATACTATACCGATACTCACAAGCGACCAATTGCTCATATCGAGGGGGGAAGAACATACTGTCGAAGCGCGCGAAGTAGGCACCGTGATACCGTTTGTGTCCGTTCGGACCCCAAAAGCAAGCAGGCATGTTGGGAAACGCGGCGGTGGCCACAAGCTCACCGGCAGCCCCTGGCTCTACCGGGACCCCTTGAACACCCGCACCCTCGATGCTGGGATCGTAGACATCAACTGGAATCCCGAGGCTCATTCCGGCACAACCACCCACATAGACAGGAAGAAGCGAATTGCCGATGCCAAAGCACCCGGCGAGATCGGTCCCCCCCGAAATATTGTTGAGACGCACGTGCGGTGGGAAGCCCTGGTCGTAGAACCACTCAAAGAGAGACTCCGGGAGGACCATTCCAGTGCTGGTGACCATTGTCAACGAGCTCAGATTCGCGATCTGTCTCGGTTGGATGTTCGCCTTTTGGAGCTCGTACATGTATCGTGGAGAGGTGCCGAAGTGGGTGACCCTGGCCACCATGTCAGTGGAGTTTCTTGCGGTAGGTGGTAGCTATACGTCTTACCTCTGCTGTTCCGCGAGCTTAATCAGTGAGGAAAGATGCGGGAGAAAGGGACTGCCATCGTAGAGGATGACCCGGGATCCGAACAGTAGGGTTTGGATGGCCGATAGATACATGATCCAGCCGGTTGTGGTATATTGCAAGACGACACTGGCCTCGTCCAGTTCCATATGCAATTGCCCCTCCTTGTAGGCATTGAGGAGTACTCCTCCAACCGAATGCGCAATACATTTCGGCTGGCCGGTGGTCCCAGACGAATACACAATAAGGAAAGGATCACAGAATGCCATTCGCTCGAATTCTAGGGTGTTACTAGTTGATTGGGCTAAAAACGCCGCAATGGGCTGCGCCTTCGGCACATGGTTGACATCTAATGGCCGAGAAGCAAAGCGCGATTGGGAGACAATTCCCTGAAACTCACCCACGGACTGCATGCCCTTGACAACCGCCGTCATCTTTGATCGCAGGTCGATTGTCTTGCCATTATACACGGCCTGGTCGTCCATAAATAACAGGCGAGGGCGAATCTGTAACAGTCGGTCCAAGATCCCCTTCACGCCCATGTCCGTTGAGCTAGAGGAGAAAATGGCACCCAGCGCCGTGGTAGCCAAGAAGACTAGCAACGTGTCGATGCTGTTGCTGGCGCAGATCGCGATGCGATCGCCCTTCTTGACCCCATGTGCTTTCATTGCTTGCATTAACCGACCCGTTCGACTTCGGAGTGCTTTCCACGTAAGAGGCACGGCGGCTGTGCCCTCGCGGACCTCAACCACGGCGATCTTCTCGTCTTCCTTGCCTGTCGTGGATCTTCCATCCCCGGACGCCGAGAAAAGTAGGTTCTCCGCAAAGTTCAGCTGAATCCCCGAAAACCAGTGAGGAATGCTATCCATCCGGGCGGATTCATTGACAACGGAGGCATAACTCCCCTCGTGAATAAGATTGGCGTATTTCCAACAGAAGTCCCAGAAGGTGGCTCGCTGGGTAATGGAAAAGTTATGGAGATCATGGTATCCCTATCTTCAGTTAAATATCGCGGGCTGAAAAACACAGCCAATTCATCTACCGACCTGGAAGTGTTGCCCAGTGTGCTTCTCCAGAGCCCGTCGGAATTGCCCCATCTGGGTGGACTCTGGGTCTGGATGCTCCCAGAGCTTGCGTGGAGATGCTTGAGGGGCCATTGAGTGATGATTATGCAAAATGCGTCGACGCTGTTTCACCGGACATAGGAATCCTACGATGTATGGCGTATGTGTCTTATATGGGGCCATACCTGGGGAAATAAGCACCCATGTGGGACCTATTTCGTGGCTCCGAGGGCGCTCGGATTGGCAGGATCTACACCGGCAGTTGCGATAGAAGCACCTGAGAGACACATCCGTCCTCTTTGGACAACATCGCCTCCAGTCGGTGGGCCACTGTCTCCGGGCCAATCCTGCCAATACACGCCACACAGGCGAGCATTCTCGGAGTGTACTCGCCGCCAGGATATTCCCGAGGTCGTTTGTCGGTGGCCCGTTGAGGGTCCCACGCGAATCGATAGGCCCCACAGATCGCCAAAAGAATTAAGAGTTGCGCATCAAGTATAAGTTCGACCCTTCTGAACGGTATAGTCGGCGCATCGAATTCTGTTCAGCTTGCCTTTCTGTTTGTTCACTTGCATCCTCAACATACCTCACGGCCAAATGGCGGCATTCAAACACCTTGTCCGGTTTGCAATCGGCGAGCAACAGTACTATGGAGAACTCATTAGGACCGACAACAACCGGTTTATTGTGCAACAGTTCGAGGGAAACCCCTTCGATGGACTGGTATTGACAGACAAGGTCCACACCGTGAGCAGTGTAGGTATACGATTACGTCCAGGGCTCGCACGGGAACACCATCATTGATATCTCTGCAGCTCCTATCCCCAATCGAAAATACTCCCCTCGTCATCTGTATCGGGCTCAACTACAAGGAACATGCCAAAGAAGCCAATGTAGGTTTTAGCTAGCAGCAATCTGTCCATACGAACCCCCTCGAGCCACACGTTGTGAGTAGTAACTAACAGAGCACACTCTGCAGCTGACTGTCCCAACCTATCCTCCGGTGTTCACCAAGCCTGCCGATGCCCTCACGGGTCCCTTCGAGCCCATTCCTATCCATCCCGACGCTCAATCACATCTCGACTACGAAGGTGAACTGACCGTCGTTATCGGCAAGGATGCCAAAAACATCGCGGCCGAGAACGCCTTAGACTACGTCCTCGGTTACACCGCTGGAAACGATCTCTCTGCTCGCAACTTCCAGATTCCGGAGGCGTCTGCGGGCCAGTTCTGTTATGCCAAGTCCTTCGACAAGTTCGCACCGATCGGACATGCTCTCATCGCCCCGCAGGAGATCAACGATCCCCAGGGACTCGGTTTGGTCACGAGAGTGAACGGCGTGGTAAAGCAAAGTACCAATACCAGTGATATGATCTGGGGGGTGAGAGAAATTGTCAGTCATTTGTCAAGGGGCACGACTCTGAGGAAGGGTACCGTTATTATGACGGGAACGCCATCGGGCGTAGGGTTCTTTCGGAAGGAGTTTTTGAAAGATGGCGACGTGGTTGAAGTGGACCTCGGGGGTGTGGCGAAGGTGCAGAATACGATTAGCTATCAGTAGTTTCACTAGAGGTGCCCAAGAGAACCTCTCCCAATTTATGATGCAGGATCCTAGAGTTCAGGCAGCCCAGATCATAACGATACATTTGTATGGCCAGTTCAGTTCTTGAACACGTACTCCACGTTGGGTGCTTAGGAAATGGGGCTTAGCTAGCACGTGGGACCTATGGATTCCCGCCGTATCATGGAGTCTCTTGCCAGCGGCCACGCGAGGAAGAGAGACAGCCCAGTTGGATACCCCGTGCTCCTCTACCGTTCTATGGTACATGTATAGATCCCACAGTCGTTAAAGGCAGTAACCAAGGAGATGGTGCGGGGAAGGAAACGCTGCCTCCTTGCAACAACCATATGAGTCGAGGGATCTACATATTTCCTGACTATGTGGCCATACCAAGGAACAATCTTATTTTATCAATGAACAATGACAGCAATACCCCTATCGGATACCTAGGCATACGCCCACGATACCCTCCATCCTACCCAGGCAGCCCTCATCTACCTTTCTCACCTCCTAGCAATGACCAATCACCCTGGTATGTTGTTGCCACTCAGCCGAGTTGTTCCAGATCAAGGTGCGCTATGTGAAGTGTATCTAGAGGTGGGCACAGTAGCTGGGGCCAATCTGGCTGTGATCACCTGTGACAAGTCTATCTTCACTAGTGACGGAGCGGAACCGTGGCCTGAGGGCGACACTGAATGGGATCGAAACAATGTAAGAATAACGGATCGGCGCCTGATGTGTGGTTCACATTGGCTTCAGTCATATCGCTTTATCGACTAATCTTCAGTACACAACCGCTCAAGAGTTATGCGCAGCTTGGTGACGGCCGCCGAACCTATATCAGCCAAATCATCTCTATGATGGAGATGGGTGAGCCGATCCTTTAGATCTGACGCCATTTTCACATCGAGTGGCATCTGACGAACCAGCATGACATCTGCCGGCTGTCAATTGAAGCTAAGATGACCACTGAGTATGCTTTACATTCTGCCACGGGTACCAAAACAGATGAATCGAGAATATATCGGATTCTGTACGGTTTGTGAACATCAGGGTATGGGAAGAATTTGATCCAGCGTCTGTCCACGTCGATGGCGCCAACAGAGACGAACAAGGAAAATCAAAATAGATCTGGCAAATTCTCCACGAACGCCAGTAGAGTGGCTGAAAGGTTCTGAGCTATTTTCCAATGGCTTATCTTCCCTAGCAGGTCGATGATTATGAAAAGGGGGCCAGATTCCAGTCTTCCCAGTTGAATTCCACGAGTCACTTCACAGAAGAGTTTCGTCTGGTTGATCCCTAACATTCTCAATTCCGGGAAATCTAAATCTTCAGAATCGCCATCGATCGGAGGTTCGTTGATCCGGAACTGAGTAAAAGATGCCCATGCGATGCCACAATAGTACAATGCCATAGGCACATGGACCGCTGGCTCCGCACCCACCGCAATGGACTGGAAGTGTCTCTGAACCAAGGCTGCGTGAAGGAGCGTGCGTTTCGCATCCACTGACCTTACCCAGGCCTCTGCGTACGGACGCTTTTGTTGCGATACCGTCTCGCCCTCTCGTCCGCATGCACATTCCAGGTCGTCAAAACGGGTATATAGGTGCATGAAGGTCGAGTGCCAGAGGATCATGAGGCAGAAGGGGTCCTGGGTCCTGTTGGCGTGCAGCGTGCTTCGTGGGTCGTGGTTGACGCGCCTTAGATACCACTGGGTCAATAATTTCTGGCAGTTTTGAACAATGGCCGGCCGAGTACCCCCAGAATCGCGATTCTCGTGGGCTAACGCACCGATGGATTCTAGGGTCGCATAGGACTCGAAATCATCGCCTTGTCCTGTTTCGACCGATAGTGAAAGTGGATCCGTGTCGGCTGGAGATGGTGGGATGTGAACCGGTGTCCGTATGGATATCAGCTCCCGTTTCCAGGCGGCCGCATTGGGCGCCATGAACACGTTTGGGGGAGATAATTTTGGCACCTTTTCAACTCCGTGCCGGAGAATCGGTTCGTGATTGTGGAGCTTAGCCACTTCCACATCATGAATGTAGATGCCTAGAACAATACTAGACAAGGAATCATTAATTTCGAGACTTATGGTTGGTCGCTACGCTCGTACCGTTTCTTCTCCTCATTTCGCGCCCAGGATCTCCATGCTCCTTCCAGTTCCTCGTAGTTATCATCTATATTGATCAGATGTGCTCTGGGATCATCCGCCAGATTAAATAGCCTCGCTTTGCGTGCCCACTGTCTGAGTCAGTCCGCGAATTCTCTCGCTGGGTCCGAAGGACTCACTGCCACTATACTCCCATGAAAGATGTCGATTCCAGTCAAGTCCTTCGGTCTCTGGATACCGATTAGTAGAGTTGAGCCCTAGCTGAAGAACGGGACCCTGTAACATACCCCAACCAGGAGGCCAAAGGTTTGACCTATTAACGCCGCCTGTAAAGAAATAATCGATAAACCCTTCCTCGCGGAGATATGAGTCTCCCACTGCAATGTCCGTCAGAACCTACGCCGCGACAGACATCATGAAAATGGCATATGGACATACGGAGGCCAAAATTGCTTTCTGCATCCGTTCAAACATGCTTATGCCATGGGTCATTGCCCGCTCCGACCCAAGAAACAGACTCCCGATCGAGCAGATGGAGAGGAGCAGAATGGCATTGTTCTGGGAGGGTTGAAATGTTGGCACATGAAGCAAAGGAAATATGGACTGGAAGTGTGTAAAATAGGCCTGGAGACAAAGGTTCTGTTGGGACTGTCAGGAAATGAAGTCCTTCTCATGGAGAGGCACTTACCAGGAATCCCGTGGAGGGTAGAATTCCCGGTTGGATCCGTTGTCTGAGGCTCTCAGCAAGTCTCTGTCGGTACGATTCGTCGGCAAAAATGCGGATCTGGCCTGGGTCATTGGTGCTTGGATCGCCCCGATCTGGTGTTGTCTGGCCGGACGATATCGCTGTTTCGGAGAAGGTATGCCATCTTCGCTGAACTGGCCCCGGTGCGCCACCCCCGGTGCGGGCAGCGTCGTGTGCACGGAGCTCCGTCGATTCCAGCAATGACTGATTCAGCGCATCCAGGTCGAAATCTGCTCCTGTTAACCACGATGTCCAGTCCAGATCCCCCGGCCCGTCCCATATGACCGGCCAGGGGCCATTGCAAGCCGGGACGGGATCGTCCATCGCCGTGGAGGCAAAATGGGCCATGGGAACATCCGGTCCGCCGGTGGTTGGGCCCTCTTCGGCGGCCATGTCGTCGGGATACGGTCCAAACGGGGGTGTTAACCCCGATCCTGTGTTGTGATCCGGACGTACCTGCAGCTCTAGCGCCAGCTGCTCTTGTATGGGAGCCGTTTGTTGAACACCGGCCATCGCGGATGTTTGCATGAACCCACTCGGGTGCTCATTCGGGCCCAGCGAGGAGGTACCTCCCATGGTGATTCTCGTAGCCTCGTTCATTGGTCCACTCGGCTGAGTCTGACCATGCTGCAATCTCGTATGGCGTAATAAGGAGTCCCTATTGAGTACCCATTAACCGGACTCATCTCGAGCCACAGAGGGTAGGCGTACTGTCTGACATAGACCTTGCCACAGCGCTCGCACGTAAACGGCCTCTCTTTGGTGTGCGAGCGGAAATGGCGGGCCAGGTGCTCCGCCTTTTTAAACGACTGAGAACAAATCGAACAAATTCTTTCCTCCTGGGAGGTTTTGCGTCGGCGACACCTCTCGCGGTTCGCATGGGGTGGCATTGCACTTTGCGTCGGGATTTAATTAGGGACTACGGCGACGCGATGATCGATTAGTTTCCCTTAGAGCCCGGCAAAGGGGGTTTGCAGTAGTTCGTCGGGTAGTAGTCAGCCCAAGGCAAAAAGAAAGACCCAATGTTACGGGGGGGGTGGAAAGTACGGGTGCATCACGGTGGGTCCCGTGCCACCGCTAGTACTGAAGTGGTCCCCCGCGCGGGCGCATCCTCGGTAACATACATACCGGAGACTAGTACTACTCCTCGTAGTACTAGTACTCAGTAGTGCTCCCGAGGTAGTACTACTACGGTATAGTGCGCCGTATTCAAGTACAGTACACAGTACGCGGTACACCGTCACCCGTCTCACCGCCCAACAGCCACGTGACAAGGGGGGCCATCCAGGGTCCATTGATTTGTTGGATTACGGGAACGGGAAAAGACCGAATCAATCCCTGGGCCACTCCTGCGTACGATCCAACTCGGTTGGGAGTTACAATGGAATCAACCAATTTCATCTTTTGTAAATTACAAGCTGCAGTGACTCGATCTGCTGGACAATATTCATAGAGTTTCATACTTGGAGAATACATGCTCCAAGTCCGCAAACTCCCGGAGGATGGTCGCCTTGCGCTTCTCGGAGCGGGGGACGATGCGACAAGGAAATGGGTTGGCCGAGATGATGAACCCTTCGCTGTATGCAGTCCTCGGATTGATATCGGTCTCAATCGGCTGGCCACTGGGGTCCACCGCCTTCTGGAACTCAAACGCCCACAGGAGCTTGCAAATGCCCAGGAAAATGTTCCGCTCCCCCAGGTGCATGCCGGGACACACGCGGCGCCCATTCCCATAGGCGTAGTGATCTCGAGCCTCAGGATCACTGGCAGTGAAATATTCAGAGGCCAGCTTGGTATAGCCCGCGTAATGCTCGGGATCAAAGACATCGGGATTGGCATACCGCTTGTCGTCATGATGCAACTCCCACATATTAATCATCACGGTTGCTCCTTTGGGCAACAGCTTGCCGTCGATCCATTGATCTGATCTTTCGTCAGTGACCATCCCAAATGCCAGAGAGGAACATGGAGTGCTTCCTTACCCTCCGTCAGAACACGAGGTATACCCAGACCACCCACCGGACGCCACCTCTGCGCCTCCTTCACCACCTGGGTGACATACGGCAGGTTGGCAAAGTCGGACCAGACCGGGGTCCGGGTCTCGTCCACGACGCGGTCAATCTCTTGTTGCGCTTTCTTTTGGATCTCGGGCCACTGGACCAAAGCATGTATGCAGGTGTTGATCACCGAAGAAGAGGTATCCGATCCCCCTTCCAATGCCACCCCCCCGAGAAAATACAGCTGGTGGTCGTTGAGACCCAACTTCCCGTTTTGGTCCAACACGTTATCCATGAAACACCCGCGGCTACCAGCCGTCTTCCAACGATGCATGACATGTCTCACAATCTCCCCGTAGAGATCCACCATTTCCCGCTGGACCTCCGCGGTTCGGCTTTTCCAGTTCCCGAGCAATCGTTCGGGGATATATTGAAGAAGCGGGAACACATCGACCGGAGGGGTGGATCCAATCTCCATGATTTTCGACCAGTGGTCCATTAACTGGTAGAGCTTTTGCATGTGGGCGGTATCAAAGGACGGCGTTCGTATACCGAAAACTACCAGGACGGCACAGGTCAGCTCATGGAGACATCGCACGTTGATGATCATCACACTCACGCAGGCTCATGATAATACTGTTGCTAAAGCGTTTGGCGTGGAGCATATACTGATCGGGATAGACAATAAAGTCTCGTAGCATCTGGACCGCCTCCGCGTTTTGGGTTTCGATGTGTACCTTGTCACACCGAGAGGACATGAATTCTTGGTGGAGCAACCGTCGGAACAGTTTCCATTCTGCCCCGGCGTCCATGAAGAGCAGATGATCCCCACCGGTGATGGTGTCAGCCACTAATAAGTCGGGCCGTTTGCTGGAGATGGAGCTGTTTTTATCGAGCACCTCTTTGATAATTCTCCGATCGCTGAGAATGATCAACGTGTTGGAGCCGATTTTCAGAGAGAACATGCCACCATATTTCTTAGCTAGCTCAATAAAACTGTGGAGACCCGTTAGCGCTCCGTCCGTTGGACAAGTGTATCATCTCTTTGGTGACCAGTCCTTACGTGAAATGTGCTCCCTTGCGTGGTATCAAATGGGCATTCCCGATGATTGGCACCGTTGGTGGCCCTGCAACGATCTAGGATGAGCAGTTGATCGCACGACCGGAAGGCAGCAAGACATAACTGACCAGGTGGAAGATTTTTCTCTCGTCGGCCCAGGAAGAGAAGCGCATAAAGGATGGCGAGAGGAGCTACCCCAAGCACCATTTTGAGGATTAGGAAAGCCATGGCGTGGAGAGAATGTCTGATGGACGAGGCAGGGTCTGCGTTCTGTGTAGGTTGAGGGCACACGACTGCATGCTTCAAGAAAGCATTACGAGAACCACTTCGACCTTAGGGACCCATTTTGCGCTAATTTATGTACTCGGTACATCCCCAGGGGGTTGAAGATCATGAATCCACATCCCCGCAAGTTCACCCGCACGGCATCTTCCCGAACAGGAAGTTCGCCGTCCCCACGGCCGTTGGCAGTTTTTCGGGACGCTCTCTACCAATCGGTGGCGAGGCATTTCGTAACGCCCTCCACATGCTTTAGAGCCGGGTGATTGCCGTTTTCATGGAATGTAGATCGAATGAACATGGGGTAGCAGGAGGATTCGGCGTTTTCGTGGCAAAACCCGCGGCCACCTATTAATACCGAGGGGACTACATACAGGGTCATAACAAATGACTTCACAACTTGCGTAAAGCATTCACACTCTCACTGAGTCTCTTTCTCTCGCTCTCTTGCTACGCTTTCAGCTCAGAGGCATAAGGTACCAACCGATTCTGCACATTGTGCTACGTTGGAGGTGTGGCGTGCCCGGGGCTGACCGCAAGTTACAGATCGTCTTAGGTGTCATTCAGCCATGGATAACCTGATGGGATCCTCGACCAATGACGAACCATCGCCATCCCTTCTGGCGGAGGGCCCTGTGCTCGTGGTCGGTGCAGGTCCTATTGGATTGCTTACCGCTTATCAGCTAGCCAAGCGTGGGATTCGCACCATCTTAGTCGAGCGCAACCACGACACGACGAGATGGCCGAAGATGGATATCACTAACCCGCGTTCAATGGAATTATTGAACCATATTGGGCTCGCAGAGGATCTCAAAAAATTAGGTTTGCTAGCTCCCTCCAATGATCCCCTCCACCAGTGGATTCTCTCTAATGCGGTCCCCCCAGGAGTCGAGGAGAGATTTTCTTTGGATTGCCTGTTTTCCACCGGACTTTCGGATGGAGGCGAGGTGTTAGCCAAATGGGTATTTGCAGCATTTCCGGGGAGACCAGGACGCACGAAAACTAACCTCAGAGGGTAGGATTTACCATCGCCATCGGAAATGCGCCGACGGATTCATGAAAGGAATGACGGATCCATGCCCAGCCAAGCATGGCTCCGATGCTCCCAGATACTGTTCGAAGCCTGGCTCAAACCAATCGTGGAAGCGCATCCATTGGTGAAGTGCTTCTCTGGGATGAAGTTTGAGCGTCTCTCAGAGCATGCGGACCACGTGCAATCGACGATCACGCATGTGGATACAGGTGTAGCGCATCTCGTTCGATCCCAGTATGTCATCGGCTGTGATGGTGCCGGAAGTCGGGTGAGAAAATCAGCAGACATCAATCTCACTGGGGCGCCGATGTAAGTGTGAGATCGGGTAGTGAGGGATGCTCGCAATGACTAACAGAACTGGGTCTGCAGTGGCAACCGAAATTTACTCGTTCACTTCAAGTCCTCGGATTTAGGCATTCTACATCGTCAGGGCCAATTCTGGCATTTGTTCCTGTCGACGGGGGCTTGCGTCATCAACCAGGACGAGAAGGATACCTGGACGATCCACATGCCCCTGGCACCTGAGGTGGACTTAGAGACTCTGAATGCTGAGGAAATGGTGTTTGCGGCTCTGGGAGATGCGGGCGAGCCCCAACGATTTACAATTGACAAAATACTCGTCACCAGCGCGTGGCATGCCAATCTGTCCGTTGCGGACAACTACTCGACCAAGAGCAGGAGGGTACTTTTGGCTGGGGATTCAGGTAGTTCACCGGATTCGATCTTGTGCATCGGAGACTGACAGACACCATAGCTCACCAGAATATTCCATTTGGGGGGTACGGGATGAACACGGGACTGGGGGATGCCTACGATCTCGGCTGGAAATTAGCAATGGTACTCCAGGGACAATGCGGAGAAAAGTTACTCGAATCATACGAGATTGAACGACGCCCCGTGGCCATTCGAAATGTCGCGATGTCAGGCACCAACGTAGAGATGCACATGAAATACGTCAGTTGGGTCCGCGACGAGCCCGTGGGCACGGTACGGAGTGAAACGCCTGCTGGAAAACACCTGCGGGAGCGAATTCGATCGCACGTCCTCGCTCACGACGGCGAAAATAAATATCTCGGCATCGAAATGGGCTATCGACACACGGCGTCCCCCGTTATTGTTCCGGATGGCGATCCCAAGGAACAGCCGATTTGGACGGCGAGAGACTACTTTCCTTCAACTTGGCCTGGTGCTCGTGCTCCCCACGTGTATCTCAATGACGACGTGACCTCGATCTTCGATCGTTTTGGGTTCGATTTCACAGTGGTAGACTTTACCGAGGAGGGACATGTGGGTGAAGAGTTCTCTGTCATTGCCTCTGGCTTGGGAATACCACTTTCTGTACTCCATCTCCCCCAAGAGAAGCATGCACGACAGGTCTGGGAGCGTGATGTCGTACTGGTCCGCCCAGATCATCATGTCTCCTGGCGAAGCATCCGTCGAAACCCCCAAGCCGCGTGGAGATTGAAAACGCCCTTTTGATCAGCAGCGGTAGACGATAAGCAATCGTGATAGCTGAAGAATGTAGAACCTTCATGCAAGCTACCAGCTAACGAAGTTTTATTTCGAATCAAAACACGTATCGGACAGGAAAACCTTCTCTGACAACCTCGCCAAACTGACCCTTGCAACAAGGTCCACTATAACCTCCCGTCGCCGCCCTGGTGGCCACAAGGCCGTTCTTATGAGTTCATGCATGTCTATTATCGGTACCTGACGACGTCTCATGCCGAGTTCTAGTGCCTGGCGGTAGTACACACGGATTTAGATTCTTTCAGAGGGCTAGATTATTATTTGATGAATACAAACTACTTTTAGTCAACAAAGTCGTATATGGAAACCGTGGTATTCGACCACGAGTAGCGTTGCCAGTCCATTTGAATCCCCACAGGAAATAGATATGCAAAGGGTCTTTGATCGTGCCGATTGGGCCAGAGCCAATACCATTGGGTGTCGAATCTTATCATCTGTCTCCATCCAGCCCAGCTTTGAGCTTTGGCTTACATATTGAACACCGATACCGCTTCTGCCTTGAGCTATGGACTGACTTGTTATTACATAGTGAGGAATGCTGTTGACGCAATTATATGTTGCAAAGCCATTTTCGATAGGGCCCACTCGATGTGGAAGCGATAATGGCAGGCATAGATACGCAGCGTAAAAGGTCCCGACCCATGCAGTTTGACAGTCTTCTGTGCATTCAATCTAGTTATGAATCACATCATATAGTCGGCTAAAGACAAATTGATCTCGCACGGCTCAGCAATTAACTGGCCCAGCCAAGTGCATGTTTTGCGTGATATGTCATTTCATTCATTATGTATATTCTCCTCGTAAGCACAACTGTTCTTGGCCTATCGGGCAAATGATGTGATGGAAAATCTCAAGTAAAAGATGTAGATGTTGTTCTGTGGTGTATCGCAACTACTTCAGCTGACGGCTTATACAGGTCGTAGGAGTGCTCTCCACTGGGGCACGAATTTCCCTCTCCAACACCCGTCCGGAGTGCCGCTCCTCTCTCGGTTCGAGTTTTTAGTAAATTCAATAACCTCTGAAGTGACGGGCAGTCAGTCTCATCTCAGGCCTGCGCAATGAACCAACTGATACATACCCAAAAGCGCCTTTCCTATAGGCCAGTGCCTTCCAACGCTGCACAAAACCAGGCTGGTATGCTCGCCATACAGACAAGATAACTGAGCCTTCAAACTTGGCCCGTAAACCTCAGGAATATGGACGGCTCCCAGTCCGACTACTGCACAGAATATCAAAGGAGAACATACAGATAGAGCCTGAGGCGAGAGGAGTCGCATCAACTGATGGACATCGACAATCGTCGATACACACGTTCGAGCTGGCTTGTGACCATGGATTTGGTATTGAACTCCGGCTGCCATTCTCAACTTCTCGTGGAGTTCGAAGTTAATCCGACTGCGAGCCCTAGATCCCAGAATGTTAGCGGCGCGACATCTTCCCAATTCTACTCGAAGTTCCATACCAATTGAGTGCAATCAGCGAGCAAGCCATCCAGTTGTATTTTACCACATTCGACTGCCAGATTGCTTTCGATAATGGGAGGTCATAGAATGGCGATGGCAAGGCCAGGAATGCACATGAAATCGTATCTTCCGCTTTTTGCAGCTCTTGAACCGACGCTCCAGACAAGATCGTATCGGCTGTCCGTCTGAGTACGGCCAAGCACACTAGGAACCATGCCCGTTCACACTGGTTCGATGAGCCAATGATACCCTGCCATGGCATTTCACTAGCTGAGCCGAGCGACACAGACCGCGCTTGGGATTTGTTGGTCCAATCGTTGTCTGAAACCGGAAGTAAAACCCGGACTACCCGACTGTCAATCCCGTAGGGTCTTGAGGCAACCGTGGATGAGAATGTATCCATCTCCCATACCATCCACCAAGCCCGGCGCTTCTCCTCCAGGGAGGCCCACCGGTGTTGAAACCCATCCTGCCCGTTGAGTGCCTCGGAATCAATCTTGTCGGCATCCATCGTATGTAGGTCCAGGTCATACGCGAGACGCACACAAGTTCCCGTTAGATTCCAGGCAGTCTCCGAAGGGCCAGATTGTAGAAAGTTAAAGGTCAACAGGATGAGACCTTGCAGACACTGCAGATTCCGGACTGAATGACTCCAGTCCTTCTGTATGAACTCCCACAAGTCCATCGCCTGCTTCACAAACTGCTGGTCTCGGCAATGGGGGTCTAGACCGGCAAACCGGTCCGATGAACTGTACCGGGCAGAAAGAGCAAACATACCGTTGAGAACCATCAGGGCGACTGGAGACAATCTGCAAAATTGGTCATCTCGACAGGTACCGCTCGGCCGGTAATCCTCGTCGAACCTTTCCCGCATGAACAGTGGGCAAATCCCCTGGACCTTTTCGAAATACAAGTCAATCAATTCGTCCGCAAGGTCCGGAGTGATTGACGAATTATCGTGGTTGTCAGTTCCGAATTCCATGGGGCTTGGCTCCACTGGAGTTGGAAAGCATTCCTGGATCATTGATTTGAGCCCAGGCGCTGCTCCAACAGACCCGAATGCAGCCATGGGTTCTAGAGACCCTCTTGGTTCGTCATCTATACTCTTTAAATCGCAAAGGATAGCGTCGAGATCATCCAGTGCATCGAACCCCTCCAGTCCGAAGAGGCCGTGGCTCGTGTTGAGCCCGTTTTCTGTCGACTCCAGAATGTCTACGGAGGAACTGCTGGCGGCTGGGGACAGCCTGCGTACCCGCTGTCTCTGTTGTTTCCGATAGGTACAGGTGCTGCCTGTATTGGCGCAAAGAGAGCATCTCGGATGGCGCGAGTCACAGCGCGTCTTCTTTCTGCGACACTCGTTGCAGGCGCGGCGTGACAACGGCCGCCCTGACGAGCTCATCGAGCATGGCGTATAGTGGAAGTCTGACAGGATACCAAAGCTACTGGGAGTGTCCATTGTCGGCAACGCGTCTCCATCGACGGGGTAGGTGTAAGGGGGTGGGAAGTCAAGATGACGCTCCATCCGCCCCCAGATAATAACCTCATGTGGGGACTATTGCAGCGCGCCAGTTCCCACACGGCCCCACCCCCGCCACGACCATCTCACCTTTGATGCGTCTGCTCCAGTGGCCACATTCTGAAATCGAGTTTACAGTTGTGTTTATTGGCGGCCAGCGCTCTCTCTACCCCAGGTTTTCCAACCGTTGATCGGTTGGCAGTGGCCTTGGCGTCGTATTTTACGAAGGCGAGGATTGCATCCTTGGTTGCCTCCCCGATATACTGCCATACTCTCTCACCTTTGCGTTGCGAGCTTATGTATGCATGATCGTACTTTGTAAAAGGGGTAAATACAATGTCATGGCATTTGGAGTTTTAGTCGAGCATGACACCCGCTTCGTCGCGTCGTTTCCAATGACTGCTTCCCGCAGCCATTTTTGACTCTAGCCAAGCTAGATGCCTTGTTTCAACCAGGATAACGCCTGTCTGGCCGCAGTCCGGATCTTACACTCTTCTCTTACCAGATGAACAGTGGGGCCATCTCCAGCAACCCTACTCTCAACAGCACAATCGACAACTGTCGCGTCAGTGTTTGATATAGCGAAGATCGGTACTGCAGCTTCTCCTATGATGACCAGGGACGTGAGGCTCTTCAAATTAGCCCTCGCCGATCTGGTCCTTCTGGCGACTCTTGTTTCGTGCTTACCCAGCTACCCCTTTTGCTCGTCTTTGTCTTCATCCTGGTATGAGATAGGTACTCACCTGCGAGATTCCCTTCAGAGTTCATCAGCGGGGTTGGTATTGCTCGCCAGTTCCAGTGAACGCGTGTGCCCAGTTGCCATTTCCCCCGATTGACGTAGAACGTATCCCTCTTTCATTTTGCTGCTGGTGGTGCTGGCACAGAGGCGGTTATCGGCCGTGGAGGGCCTGCGCCAAGCACAACCTCACGCGTCTGGGCCTAGTGGGACCAGGAGTCTGTAGACCCCGTGTCAGTCTATGCAAATATTGTCACCATGAATCAATCATCAACACATGCGGAAGAGCTGGGGGGAAGTTTGACCAGGGGACTGAACGGTGGATCAGCCGGTGAACGAATAGAGGCATGGACTCTCTCATAAAACCGAATAGGACACCGTTGTCCGGGTACATCGGCATGTATGCAGGAGAGAGATTTCACGCGCGTCCTGTCGCCGGGCGCCGGCACGGTGGAGTCGGCAGGTTTCCTCCTTGGACGAGGTCGAATGCACATCTCCCGGCGATTGCCTGAAGGGGCAATTCCCGGGGTCCACTCCGCGGTTTTCTTGGCTCACAGCTTCACATACCCGACTGTGCACTGCGTCGTAGCAATTATGTCGCACGGGTGGATCCATGAAATCCCATTGCCGGCGCCATAGGCAGATCGAGATGGCCAAGAAAGCTTCTCCAGTGGGGCCGTGCAGCCGGCAGGGCTCCAACTTGATGACGCACCCCCCCGACTTTTCCGTTCCAACTTCCCTCCAGACGGTGCGCGAATATATAAGAGTTGATTCTAATCTCACCCCTGGTAAGGTCTCTCTCGTCACTTCATCCTGATCTTCTTCTTCATATTCATCTTCCCAGCTAAGAATCCTCGCCATGGCACGACGCATTGACGTTCATCATCATTATCTTCCCCCTGCCTACCTCAAAGGTGCGTTCCCTGGAGGCACATATTGCAGTTTCAATAAGGCTGATTCATTGAAAAGCTCTCGAGGCGGCTGGCGGCGATCCCTCTGGATTTCCCACCCCATCGTGGTCCATTGATGCTGACCAACAGCTTTGCAATGACTGTGGCATTGAAACGGCCATCTTATCAGTCACTGCACCGGGTGCAGGTATCTTAAAAGGGGCCGAGTCTGCCCGGCTGGCGAGAGAATGCAACGAGTTTGGCAAGGCCCTAAAGGATGAATTCCCTCAGAAATATGGGTTTTTTGCTGCGCTGCCCGATATTCTCGATACGCACGCGGCTTTGGAAGAGATTCGATATGCCCTCGATGAGCTGCAAGCCGACGGAGTAACCCTTTTCACCCGCTATGGAGATGCCAACTACTACCTCGGTCACCCTGATATCCGCCCGATCTGGGAGGAGCTTGATCGGCGCGCCGCAGTGGTCTTTGTCCATCCAACTCATGCCGTGGATACGAACCTCGTCAACAGGATGCTTCCACAGCCTTTTATCGACTATCCGCACGAGACCACTCGAACCGCGGTCGATCTGATCACGACGGATACGGTCCGCACGTACAACAACTGCAAAATTATTCTCTCTCACGGCGGAGGTACCTTGCCTTATCTGGCTCTGCGTCCAGCGATTGCCTTGAAGGACACCAGGCTCTCGGGCATGACACGCGAGCACTTTCTGGAAAATGCACGAATGTTTTACTATGACCTGGCGCTGACGGATGCAACCTTTGCTCTGCCACTTCTGCAAAAATTCGCTTCACCGGATCACATCCTCTATGGGAGTGATTTTCCATATGCACCCACCACTTCCATCAAGTTTTTCAGTAAGGACCTGGCTGAAGCCAATATTTCGGAGGAAGCAGCGGACAAAATGAATTATGGTAACGCGCTGAAGTTGTTCCCTCGCCTGCGCACTGTGTGAAATCGGGTTGAGCGTTATGATTTGGCAATTTCGCACGGGTGACAGGAAGAGCATTGACGGATGGCCGTTGGGTTTATTCCGTATGAACGCTTCCAATATATATGATCAATGTTTCCGTAACTATAAGCTAGGCCGGCCCATTTCTCTCTGATGCTCTCGTATTTCATGTGAGCCATAGGTGTAGCACTGGTTCTATAATACACCCACCTTAGGGATCCACAGGTGTTGTCCCCCTCGATATGGTCCGGCTCAACACCAACACACACGAAGCACGCCCACGTATGGCCGCAGTAATACAAGTGCATCGCTACCCAGATAGCCGGCTCAGAATCAGTCGCGAGTGACACAAAGCTCTTCTGAGGGAGGAGAGCAGGGAGGAGGCAGTGCTTGGCATTGGTGGAATGCACCCCGGCTCCGGCATAGGCCGTGTGTTTCTGTCGCATGTCATATTCCTCGCGGCCGACGGCATATGGCAGAGCCTGGATACCAGCGTGGAGTTGAATTTAAACACGGGGGCATAGCATCATCGAACAGTGCCAACCTGTTTCGTCTTGCATCAACGGGGGCGGGGGTATGTACGATGCTGTGAGGAGGTCCTGCTCTTTGGATATTGATATACAGATCACAATGTAGGTAGACATGTGGATATGGATGTAGAGTTCGAGAGAGTGTCGATGGAGTGCTGGCCGTGCGCGAGCAAGAGCGCTTATAGACTTGAGCACCCCAATGAGTTCTGAATGGCGCAGCATCATACCACAGCGCTTGGGTCACACTCCGGGGCATACAGACAAGGTCTTATAGCGCAAAAGGGACCGCTCCATCGGCACATGGCTTGGGGCTGCATGTTTGGGTCCCGCCTGCAGGCTCCGTTTCAACCTTTCTGAAATCACTCGTCGTTGCGGAGCTTTTTTACGTCATGACGACGGCTTCTATCAAAGTCTCCATTCTTCTGTCCTATCGGCAGATCTTTCTAGTTGAATAGGTCCAGAAAGTGACAATAACGGCGGCGCCTGTGATTTTTGCGTGGGCTCTGGCTTGTGTATGTGATTTGGGGTCGTTCCGGTTCCGTCACAGTATCTTGCACTAATCACCGGGATGCATAGATTCTTGTTGTCTGCCTCCTATGCATCCCCCTGCGAGGCTACTGGGATAAGTCGGTTCCCGCTCAATGCGGTGTTAACGAGAAGGATTACTTTCTTGGAAAGTCCATCCCCGACACTATCACCGACGTGTTCATGTTGGTGATTCCACTATATCCAATTTGGCAACTCCACATCACGCGCATTCAGAAGATGATACTCACTCTGACCTTCCTAATTGGAGGCCTGTACGTTCTTTGTCCTGTAGTGGGGCCATGGCCGGGGTGTTACTCTACTGACTAGTATGAATGCTAGCGTCACTATTATATCCATTATCCGGCTTGTCTGCTTACTACACATCGATCTCACCTCCGACGACATTCCGTGGAACTTTGTGTCTTACCTGATTTGGACCTGTGTGGAGTTGAGTGTTGGCACGATTGCTGGTAAGCGCTTCCCAGCCCCAGACCAAGCCGGGATAACGCCCGGGACCACCTTTAACGCCACCAACCCCTTAAGCTTGTCTACCTTGCCTTCGCCCCATCTACACACACCTTCGAGTCAAAATAAGGCTCTCAGCCATGCCCAATAGTTCGCCAAAGCCGAGTCAGTGGAACCATCGACAGCCTGGCTCGCCTAGTCGCCTGCGGCAGCTCTCTCCCGAGCAGGATGAATATGGCGATCAAGTGCCCATGCGGGCGGGGAACAAGGCTCAAGAAGGTTTCCTCGTTTAAACAATCTTGGCACTCGACAGCCGCCAAATATAACATTCCAATTAAGACCGCTGTGTCAGAAGTTGCCAAGGGTGGATTATTACGGGCTGTATGTGCATGCACAGGCAATGCAGCTGCGGTGGGGTTACAAGTTAGTAGTGTAACTACTAGTAGTTCACAGTAAGACAGGCAAGCTGTCCATGCCGATAGATATGACCTGTTCGCCAAAATCTTCAAATTAAGGGTCAACGTAGATAACCATAATATCGAGTATTATATAACTCCTTGCGGATTCACTAGTTATTTGGCAGCTACTATTATTCTACTGGTGTCTATCTTGCCTGTCTGCGTTTGGTACACCACACTTGACAAGGGTCTGTGACCGCCACGTTTAACTACCCTGGAAGCAGTGCTGTCCCGCCCTGCATTAGGCCTAAGTGGTACCCTACACATACAAAGAGACCCAAGAAGTTGGAACCGCCCCCCACGGCTGTCAATAGAGGTGCGAGCGTGCTATCGGACCCCTGTGATATTCGTAGCAGAGCTCATTCGGGTGCGTGTTCAGTCTTCTGGGCGGCACCAGACTCTCCCTGGCATAATGTACAATCCATTTACTTTTTCCATGAAGATTTAATGTCCCGTGGGAACCCTTCCAATGCGCCCACGTTCATTTTAAAGTGTGACTCCCCTTCGGTTGGTTCTTATCACTTGTTGCTCATCAAAGCACTCCTCGGCCATGTCTGCTCCCTCCGCTACCACCTACCTGCTGAAGCGCGATCGAGTCGAAGTAATCAGGTATTAAAATCTCAGACCTGCTCATTCGTGAAGCCACACTAATTGAACCCCACCCTACCTCACCCAGACTTGGATTGCAGCGTCTGTTATGGCAATTACACACCAAACATCTCCTCCACCCTGGTATCCCCATCAAAGATGGGATGGAAATTGCCGATATCGGTGCAGGAACAGGGTAATTAGTCATTTCAGCTCTAGACAGCATCAAACGCTAAGCCATATCACCACTTCCTGTAGGATCTGGGCTACCGAGCTAGCCACCCAGCTTCCCCCCTCGGCTCGTGTCACGGCATATGATATTACTGACACTCACTTTCCCGCCCCAGAGTACTGGCCTTCCAATCTCAAATTCGAGAAGCTAGACTCCCTCGGTGCCCCCTCACCGTCTCTAGTCTGCCAATTCGACGTAGTACACCTGCGCATGTGGGCCTTTAATATTCGTGACAACGACCCAGGCCAGCTGATACGCAATGCCGCCAAGTTGCTTAGTTAGTCATTCTTCATGTTGTGATAGATTGCAACCAGACAGATTAACCATGTCAATGGAACAGAGCCCGGCGGTTACCTTCAATGGGAGGATGCCCGATTTGGTAGGAATGTGGTTAGAGGCGACGCCGTCCTTGAGGTACGACAGGTGATGCAGCGTATGAGCAACGCCTCGAAACATAACTTCCAGTAAGTTGAGACACTCTCCTGTAGCCCTAGACCTTCCACATCCTGTAAGTGAGACTTCAATTGGTATGAAGATTGGAAGTTGTGGCTTATTCACCGGTTCTTTCTGGACCGCCTTTAGGTGGCTGGACCAGCTTGACCTGCATGTGAAACGTGCAGAAGGGGCTTTGGACGTGATAGACTGCCAGTACAAGCCGTGGTCGACTCAGTCTATTCCGCTCTGTATGGATACCTTCATGGTAGCTTTGGAGAGCAGTGGCGCTGCGTTGGACTGCTTGAAGCAGGTCGATCCATCTGCTCCTACCTTGGATGAATGGGAGAATGCACTGGAGGCATTGCACAACGAGAGCCGTCATCCTGGCGGTAGTCAGCTTTATTGGCTTCCAGTTACGTTGCTGGCTAGGAAGAAGTAACTGATAACTTTGATCGGAGCGAATATCCGGAGCAAGGCATGGTTAGGAGGAAAGAGAGATGGACAGAGGGCGACTTTGTCAGTAGTAGCTCTCTAGTAGCGGGGATCGGTGATTAGCTGACCTTCGACAATATTCAAGCTACGTGACCATATGCCTCGTACGATCTGAGCTTTCAAGCTCTCATTGTAGGATGTGCTGCATCCTATACGGTAGTACCCGGAGGATACCCAGATTTTTCGCCTCTGTGTTCACTTAAACTTCCATTTTCAACATCTCTATATATCTCTATGCTCTCGAGTATATCGTACTTGATCTACTTTCTATTAGGTTCATTTATATATTTCTACAATTAAATCCTATCTAATAGTACAGGACTTCAGCAACCTACTAAAGTGAGGGTATCTTTTTGATCTTTATGGGCCTGGCCGCCTGGATACCCATCTGAACGCAACTTTCTTGAGAAGTTTTAAGACCACCCCTTATTTTCGTTCTTCAGACGCCGGCGTTGCTTGTGGTTCAGGATACCCAATCGCCATTTTCCGTTGACATGCAGCTTACCTAAGCCAGCCATTTACGGTTAGCGTCTCTTCTCCCATCATGCCGAGTGCCGGTGGGACCATATCAGTCTCCAACTCCAACATCTGCTTCTCTCATCCTTTTATACTGGGACATGGATCCACCTAGGAAACGCCAGAAAGTCTCCTTTGCATGTCAAAGATGTCGCCAACGCAAGCTCGGCGTGAGTCGGTTATGCGCTCTCAATGGTTCGGACATGCAGGCTAATCCCCGTAGTGTGATCAACAACGTCCTTGCCAGCTATGTGTGCGAGCCGGTGCAGCTTGCATATCACGTGGAGGTGCAGTTTCTGGACAGGCAGAGTCTGCCCAGGAAGCTCGAGATTCTATCGGAAGGCGCCACAGTGACATCCGCCGTGATTATCTTGAGGCCGCCATGCTCCCGGAGTCCAACATCGTGGATTTGAGTTGTCAGGTTCGTTTTGACATGCTTAACTTGTCATTATAACTACTCATTTGGTAGATGCTTGGAGATCAAGAAAAACGCCGCGGTTTGGCTCACGACACTTCAGCTCTGCCAGGAGGTATAAGCTCGACAGTTTCTGTCGCTACACGGTCGGTTCCATGGCGCGATTTAACAGGAGTGCCTTTACCACCGAAGACGGTGCTCGATAGGTTCATGACTGATTTCTTTAATTCTGTGGATTGGTTTATAATGGTATCCCTCCAAACATTATTTGTGGGCTATTACCTTGATGTTGATGGTCTTCTGGCAGGTCTTTTACGAGGAAGGCTTCCGGCAGCGGTACGAAAGTTTGATGGCCTCCACTCTTGTTCCAGAGGGAGAGAACAGTAATTTCCTTTGGCTTGTCCTGTTGGTCCTTGGCCTGGGTGCCCACTATGGGTCCTTGAATGCTCTGGATGCGGATGGTGAAAGCCTCAAACAGCTTTCTGGGGATCTCCTTATGCAGATTGAGCAAAGGCTTTTGGCTATCATTGATTTGCCGAATCTAGAGACAGTACAGATATGCGTGTTGCTGGGCAGCTTTCATCTTTTCAATGGCCGCCCCACTGCCGGCCTAGTAACCTTGGCGGGTGGACTCAAAATCGCCCAAGTTATTGGGCTTCATCACGAGTCAAAGTGGCGTGGGCTTTCTGACGTGTCACGCGAGTCTCGACGGCGCTCGTGGTGGGCATTGCAAGTTGCAGATAAGCATGTATCTTGGACCCTCATCAGCAATGCCATGGCTAACTACAGTGGTACCTACAGATACGCGGCTGTTTCCTTCGGAAGGCCATGCACAGTGGATGATTTTAACTGCGACGTTGCGTCTGTTAGTGATATTGAAACAAATAGCCATCCAACAAGTCGACAAGGGCCATTGTTAGAATACCACCAATGGAAGTTCAAGCTTTACCGCATCATGGGACCGTTTCTGGGCCGAAGGCTCCCGAATAGCCAGCTGGAAAGCCTCAGTGCCATTCATGCTCAACTTTCCTCCTGGAAGAGCCAGCTACCTGACAAACTACGGCTGGAGACATACAATGATAATCCTAACGGCGAATCACGAATCCTTGAAATGCAGGCACTAGCTCTCCAACTGACCTACGATAATCTCCAGATCATCCTCCACCGTAGCGCGGCGTTTGGTGTCCACAAACGTGGATCTCATTCAAATGAAGGTGCGAGCCCGGAAAACTCCTTCTCCCAACAGCAACTTCTGGAGTCCGCATTAAGAACCTCCCAGCTGCATCAGCATGCCCAGCTTTTACAAGCATGCCGCAAGACACACGCTGTGATGCACATTGGGATCTGCCTCTTCACATCCGGTGTCGTCCTCTGTGCGATCGCACTAGCGCAGCCCCTGTCGATAGCCAGCCAGAGGGCAAAAGAAGGCGTCATGCGCATCCTACGCTTGCAGGATGACAGTATATCCTCCCGGCATCTTCTTTCCATTCAGAGTGTCCAGATCCTGCGGGATTTAGTGACAGTCGTTATGCGCTCCGAGGAAAGGGCTATATTGGGCTACTCTTCCATGCCAGTAGGTATACCTGAGAGATCTGATGATGGCCGGTCAATATCAGTATTACCGCAGGCGGATTCCACCATCCCCGATCAGGCCTTGCTCGACAATGCCGGCGCATCCCAGTCTTTCTCAAATCCGGGACCTCTCAATCCTCTGCAACAAGGTCAGTGCGCTGTTACAACCTGCGATCTACGCCACTCTCTCATAGTCATACAGTCTTCAGGCAACATATAAACCAATCTCTCCCCGAAATTGACCCCTCTGGCTTGATCGACCCCAACAGTACCCAAGGATCGGTGGAAATGCAGCATCCAACCTCATCAGCAATGTTTTCATGGGATGGGAATGTATCCGCCCTAGTCGATGCTGGCCTTGTGGATGCAAGCCAGATGTGGCTGTGGTCAGATAATCTGGAGTATCAATCGTTCTCAGAACTCAGTAGCATATTCCCTTGAGGCACCAGTGATTTGGTGTTATAATAATCTGGATGCGCCCTACACATTGATCTATGCTGCAAGCATTTCCATTTGACGATACCAGCCTTTCTGTTGGTTTGTCTCAAGGTGGGGCAACCTCGGCGGTCTCCTTATGTGTGCCTTCATGGGTAAGAACTCCCTCGCTTCAATTTACTCCCTTGTAGTTGCCGAGAATTCCTCGGATCATCACGTAAGGCTAAACCAGACCCCTGTCCGATGGGGATAATATAGGGCCAGATGGATTTGACTCCACTCTCCTGGAGCCAATGGATGGGTCATTTGTGGGGCTCAGGTATCCTGTGGATTGCTGAAATGATATATCTCCCTGCCATATGACTGAGCTTGATCCTGGTCACGCGTATGCTTCACGATGTCTCTTCACGACCATTCCATTAGCAAAGACAGCAATTGTTGAAGAGCGTTCACCGTATCAATGGATCCATATGCAATGTTCAAAAGATGGGAAATACAATCAGGAACGAGCAACGGGGAATCTCCTGGTAAGAATACCATGGTTTAACTCCAGACACCAGGTAGATGACTAAGGTCCGTCGGAGAAGAACTAACGATGGTTCCTCATCGACAGCTCCATCGGAGCCTAGTCCTAAAACGGCCAAGGCCTTACCTCCATTTTCTCCGAACAGCACGACGACGTTTGTCAGAGTCCGCGCTGCCAGGGGCGTTGTGGTCCCGTTCAATACGTAGACTAATCCACCCTAGACCCGGCCAGGGCGAATTCCCACTGGTAGTCGAGTAATCCTCTGTCTACGGAGGAAGCCAAAGCCCAGAGGTTAAGCTCCCCTGACTCCGTCGGACACTGAATTCAATTACAAATTCGAGACTGAGCTACGATCTGTCTGGGTATCATGGACGGAGCTCAGCTAAAGCTGTCTGAGCTGACTCGCCTACAGTGATCCATAAATTGACGTTCTGACGGAGGGAAATGCCTACCCCACAGGCAACTCTGCAAATCTCCAGGGAATCATTAGTGCTGACACTGACCAAATCCTGCTCACAGCTTTGACTTTGGTTCCGGACCTCCGGTTCTCCCATTGTGGGCTTGAACGTCATTCCCACCCTTGGTTTGACATCGCACGCCCAGATACCCAATGACGCGTGGTCGTTGCCACCTGGGAACACGGACCTTCCCACCTGAGCCGAGAAGTAAACTGAATGTTGTCATGCGGTCACTTCGTCTTGACGTACATGTCCTGGACCTTCCCCAACTAGGTCTTACACTCGACACCAGGCCCCTCAGCTTGTTGCAGGAATTGTTCCGCCAGCAGTGACACCATAAACCACTGGTATCGAACGACATGACCACCCATTCTACACCACTATTTGAAGGCTGGCTGGGTCACGACCCAACCTCCGCAGATGGAAAGATGACATGGGCCCCTACACCCCTAAAGCATGGGAGGAAACCGACATCGACATCAAAATCACGCATTGCAGTGTTTGCAGCTCTGACCTAAGTACTCTGCGCAGCAGCTGGGTATGTGTTGCGTTAGGCTTCTTGCTGTTCTTTTGATCGAAGCGCCTGACCTACGCTCTATAGGCACCGGCCGAGTATCCCTGCTGCGTCGGACATGAGATCGTCGGTGTAGCTATGCGTGTCGGGTCAGCGGTTACCAATGGTATTTCTGTAGGTGATCGGGTAGCTGTTGGTCCGCAGAGTGACGCCTGTCTTGGTCGGCGAGGTGTATGTCAGGAGTGTGCGAGTGGGAGGGAGAATTACTGCCACATTCACCTAACCGGAACCTACAATGGTCGGTATCTGAGTGGTGACAAGTCCTTCGGTGGATTCGGACGGTACCATCGCGCGCCGTCACATTTTGTCTTCAGGGTTCCGGACGGGTTGCCATCGGCACATGCGGCGCCAATGATGTGTGCTGGTGTCACTACCTACTCTGCGTTGAAGAGGAACGGCTGTGGCCCAGGGAAGAATGTGGGAATCATTGGCATTGGAGGATTGGGACACTTTGGGATTCTGTGGGCGAAGGCACTCGGTGCAGAGAAGGTTGTGGCCATTTCCCGCAGGTCGAATAAACGAGAGGATGCTATTCGTCTGGGGGCGGACGAATATCTCGCTACGGAGGACGATGCGGACTGGGCCGGAGCTCATAAGATGACGCTGGATCTGCTTATATGTACAGTTTCTTCCTCACAGGTAGGGCATACGCAGTTCTACCCAAGAATCACGGAATCTATCCCCTGATGATACACCAGATGCCATTAGAAAGCTACCTCAGCTGCCTCCGCACCGACGGCTGTTTTGTCCAGATCGGCTTACCAGAAGACAAATTTCCTCCGTTCCGAGCAGGCCTACTGGCCTCACGCGCTGCGAAAGTCGCGGGCTCGTTCATCGGTGCACCGCACGAGATTCGAAAAATGCTGCAGCTGGCGGTCGACAAGCGTGTAGTTCCGTGGGTGACCGAGCGGCCGATGAAGGAGGCGAATGCGGCTATCGTTGATATGGCGCAAGGGAAGGCTCGATATCGATATGTCCTCGTCAATGAGGAAAGCTGATTTGGAACATTCAAGTCGAGACGATCAAACAGGAGCCAACGGGGTTTATGTGACTCAATCTGAAAAGTGCGTTCATTATATACCTTGGCGAGAAAACATAGTGTGACAGGTAATCTGGCTGATTTGCGTACGCAGCGGGAATGGCCGCAATTCTTGGAGTCTAGTCTCCATATTCTCCATCCTCGGTAAAGCGAAGGACCACCTCGGAGGCTTGCCAAGTCGGCCTCCGTCGGACTTAGTGCGCGTATTTAAAAGTGGATGTCAGCTAGTTAACTAGTTCGTTCGTTCTCGTGGTTACGTCATCCTTGTTATTTAATCCTCCCCGATCCACCACAAAAACCCATCTTTTAACCGGCGCGAATATTTCAACGTCTACGTAAACTGTGGGTGGCGTGCTTACCTGCTAACAACAAACAAGTCACTATGTCGGAAATGAGAGCAGTCGGTATGCTATCAATCCCCCAGCGCAACAATAACACTCAGGGCTATACTAAGGCCAACAGTGGTCAAGGGTGGCAGGGGCCCGGCGGATGCCATGTCCATCGAACAGATCCCAAAACCAACCCCCTCAGTGGGTCAGGCATTGATCAAGATCAAGGCTTTTGGACTGAACCGCATGGACCTGTTGCAGAGAGAGGGTCTGTACCCTCTTCCGCCGCAGGCCCCAGAGACCATGGGTGTCGAATTCTCCGGCACGGTGGAATCGGTCGCCGCTGGCACGGAAAGCGACTTCAAGGCGGGCGATGCTGTGTTCGGTCTTGCGTATGGAGGTTGTTATTGCCCTAGACTCCCCGTGGCGAACGTTTGTTTTTAACCTGTCGCAGGAGCGTATGCGGAGTACATCGTCGTCGATACAGGCATGCTGGTCCATAAACCCCGGGAGCTTTCATGGGAACAAGCTGCCTGCGTTCCAGAGGTGAGGCATGCATTGGACTGATAACAGAAAGCTCCGCTAACTCTGCAGACCTGGATCACTGCATCGCAAGCCCTCCACATCATCGGGCAATTTCAGCCCGGCCGCTCCGTACTTTGGCACGCCGGCGCCTCATCCGTCTCTATCTGCGGTATTCAACTCGCCAAAGCAGAGGGCGCCAAAGCCATCTATGCGACAGCTGGCTCCCAGGAAAAATGTGATTTTCTCGTTAAGGAACTTGGTGTGACAGCCGCCTTCAACTACAAGACCCAAGACTGGGCTGCGGAGATCAAGAAGGTCACGGATGGGGTGGGCGTTGATTTGATCGTTGACTTTGTCGGCGCAAACTACTTTCAGGGGAATCTGGACGTCGCGGCGCGCGATGGCCGCATTGTCATGCTAGGCTTGATGAGCGGGCGGAAGTTGCCGACTGGTGTGGACATTGGCGGACTGCTGTTTAAGCGACTTCGCGTCGAGGGCAGTACGCTTCGCAGTCGGGAGCTGGAATATCAGCGGAAGCTTAGAGATTCCATGGTGGAGCATGTTGTGCCGAGGCTGACGGATGGGACCTTCAAGGTGTTTGTTGAGAAGGTGTTTCCCTTTACCGAGATTGCCGAAGCTCATAAGCTGCTGGAGAGTAACCAGACGAGGGGCAAGTTGGCATGTGTCATATAAGCTCCTAGCACCTGTTGCCACCATTAAGTGAACTAGGCTTGCATTGCCAGATAAATGATAACGCCAATGAATCTGCATTAAAGAAATCCCCCCAGCACTGCTGCTTCACAGTAAAATACCCCAGCGCGTGGAGTGATATCATACGAGCATTAGTCCGATTGCAAACAGTCGAGAAATGCCCGGAGTGGTGGAAGGATTGTACAATATAAGGCGCTATGGAGCCGCCACACAGGCTGACAGATCGCCACCTGGCTGATGAGGCTAGGCTCTCCCTACATAGCCTTGTCCCTCAAATCATACCTCGGTAGCCCTGCTGGAGTACAAACGCCTGGTATTGGATTTAGTTGGCTATATGAACACGATACGGCCGTGGCAGATTAGAACCCGGCATCCGCCGTAATCGGCGGAAGGTACCTGCTGAGGTGATTAAGCTCCACCTAGAGCCCCGATTTGTTGTCCCTTGTGCACACGCGAATATAAATCGGACATCGCCTATTTCTCGGTCTTCTCTCAACTCACAGCTTGTTTATGACCCCTACTGCCATCACAACCTATGATGTCGCTTCGGAGCCAGCCGTTCACCAAGGTGCCAGAGAGCACAACAAAATCCAGCAAGACGACAATCGATATTGGTGGCTTTCACGTATACTTCTACGGGGCTGAAGAGCTATCCCCGCAACAGGCTGAAGATACAGTGGTTCTCTTCCATGTGCATGGCCGAACCAGGAGCTACACAGATGCTGAATTGTTCGCCCACCAGTTTCTCTTCCAATTGAAGCAAATGGGGAACTTCACTAAAGGCTTCGTGGTGGTAACTTTTGATAGCCGCAACCATGGAGAAAGATCGGCATGGTCCCCGCCTTAACTACTATCTGAAAGTCACTTCTAACTTCCATGATCCAGATCGACTCGGTAGCTGCGTAAGAACCCCAAACAAATTTAATCATTCTGATCTTGGGCTTTGTATTAATGACATGGATGAAGTCAGGACTGGAGCGGAGGAAACCAGAAACACGCGTGCGTCTCCACCCTAACCTTTTCCTTTCTTCTTGATAGATTCATAGACTTATACAATGCTAGACACGACATGCTTGCAATGATAGGTTCGCTGCCCTGCTCTGAACAAGTATATTATCTCACAATCTATCTGCAGATGGCAATGTGTTTGATATCCAAACCGTGATGAAGTATCTTAAAGTTTACACAGGAGATCAGTTCACAACAACCGAGTTTGTTATGTCAGGGCTATCACTTGGTGGTCATACTGCATGGGATGTACTCTCTAAGGTGGATGGCATCAAAGCCGCCATTATCATCGTGGGCTCCCCCAATTTGACGGACCTGCTCACCGAACGGCTCGGCGATGCAGTAGACAGCAAAGATGGCACTGGCTCAACGAAATGGCCCAAGTCAATTTCAGCAATGTACAAGGCTCGAGATCAATGTCTTGAGCAGATTAATGGCAAACATATCTTGATTTTGAATGGGGCCCTTGACATGCTTGTTCCAAGCAAGTTCACTCTGCCCTGGGTTGAGAGGCATGGCAGTCGGAATGATGTCTCCTTCAACGTTTTCGACAATACCGGGCATTGGCTGTCACTAGAGATGATGGATACTATTGTCGAGTGGGCTGCACGGAAGATCGCATAGAGTGTACGCAATTAAACGTGTCCCGTCGACTGTCATTCCAGGACTTATATATATGTGTTCTTGCCGCTTGTTTGAGTCTAGATATACTCAGGATCCCATAGTGTATGCAGCACAATACATTGATATTGAGTTGCTCTTTTGTTAATAACCCCAGGTCGATTTTACTAGTACGTTATAGTAGCGCATTTCAACAAAACTCACCACTGCGGCTTTCTATTAAAAAGAGAAGACAGAACTCATTCTAAGGTAGTCAGGACATAGATACTCTGAACACGTTAAATTAACTGTAGAACCGGCTAAAAAAACTGCTCTCTCTACTTCCATATAGTTTCGTTCAATCTAGAAGAATTGTCCTGTCAAGTTGCGCCACTATTCTTTCACCCTGGGAAAGCTCAAGCCGAGTGAAAGTACTTGTCACATAGGGACCATCAAACGCAACCGAGTTCCCATCAGTCAACATTTATTCCCGAGGTCTTATTGTATTGTATATTATCCCTGGGATGCTTCTCGGTATCCTGTGGGTCGAGAGGTCTGCCCGACAACTCCGTCGGAGTTTTGGAGGAAGGACCAGCTTGCCCGCACCATTTTGCTGCCACTGTTCGGAGAGCTCCGTCGGACTTGCCGGCGAAGGAGAATCGCACTATTCAGGTACCTGTGCATGCTGCATTCCACCCGGGTCAATTGAACTAAATTCGTTACACACCATGAACGCCGATCTAATTGATTGACAGTTATATTCTTGGTGAACGTGCTGTACAATATAGTGATATAGAAACCAGTAAAAGAGTAAAGCTATTAGAGAAAAATCATGTAGATTTGTCCTGCAGGTGCTTCAATCGTTATTGCTATATTTGTATCTTGAGATCAAAACCAGCCTGGATGTCCGAAGCCTAAGGATCCTTCTCTATACAGGAAAGAGCGTGTTTCGGGAAACTACGAACTCTCAATGGATGGACATCCCATTTGCACTAGACCAAACATTGGGCTCATTGGGCTCGTTGTAGCGAATTCTAACCGACGGACCTTCGGGTATTCGGTTGGAGTCATGGATCATCAAGTAGTGAGAGTATGCCCTGACTGGTCTCGCCTATTTAAGCCATCCAGATTCCTTACAACTAGAGACTCTTGTTGAACGTTGGTCAACCAAGTCTATAGTTCCCAAACGTGCTGAACAACTCTGCCACAATGATAGCCAAAGAAGCTGACCTTGTCCCCCGTGACGAGAATACCGGTCAAGTATTCCACCTAATCTTTGGTTGTATGAGAAACCTTCCAGATCTAACATGATGAAAGGTACTGCAGGTTGATCATATGCGGCCTATGAAGGTCGTCGTGATTGGTGCAGGAATTTCCGGTATCCTTGCAGCCATTCGCTTCACCCAGCGTATCCCTAATCTGGATCTCGTTGTGTATGACAAGAACCCTGAAGTCGGCGGTACTTGGTACGAGAATCGGTATCCAGGAGTGGCATGTGGTATGTGAAAATCAACTACACTATTCTGATCCTTGCCTCATTCTTCTTCAGATGTCCCGTCACATGTGTACCAAGCCTCATTTGAACCGAACCCTAGCTGGTCCCAGTTCTACTCTTCTGGTGGTGAGATTCTCAGATATTGGAAAGCAATCGTCGAGAAGTACGATGTTCGAAAGTACATGAAACTCAACCACAAAATCGTGGAGGCAAGATTCGATGATTCACGATCGAAGTGGGATATTACCGTCCAGAATTGTGTTACGGGGGAGGTTATTCAAGACACTTGCGATGTTTTGTACGCATGCATCGGGGCATTGAATGATTGGAAGTGGCCCGACATCCGAGGTCTTGACACCTTCAAGGGCAAACTCCTCCATAGTGCTTCGTGGGATGAGTCATGGAACCCGGAGGGTCTTTCTGTCGCGGTCATTGGCTCTGGTTCAAGCGCGATTCAAATTGTCCCAGCTATCCAGCCGAAGACCAAGCGAATCGATAATTATGTTAGGGGTCAAACCTGGATTGCTCCCCCATGGGCGCAGGATGAAGTTCGCAAGCACACGGCCGAAGGCGCGAATTTCAAATTTACACCAGAGGAAATCAAAGAGTTCAAAGAGAACCCAGATGCGCTGTTGGCATATCGCAAAAGGCTGGAGACAGAAGTTCAGTCGATGACGAAGTACCTTTTGCGTGGAGAGCTTGCAGAGAAGGCCGCGGATGATTTCAAGGAGCACATGGCCATGAAATTGGTTAGGAAACCGGAGATTCTCGACAAGATTCTCCCGTCCTTTGCCCCTGGTTGTCGGCGCATTACACCTGGGCCTGGATATCTTGAAGCATTGAGCGAGGACAATGTGTCTTTCGTCTCGGATGCGATCTCCCATGTCACAGAAGAAGGGATTGTCACGGTCGATGGCACCCTGAGGAAGGTCGATGCCATTATTTGTGCTACTGGGTTCGACACCAGCTTTGCCAAACGATTCCCAATCTACGGCAGCGGGGGTCTAGACCTCTGCGAGAGATGGAAGGAGTACCCTGATACTTACATCAGCCTTAGCACACACGCGCGCCAAATCTCTTCTTTGCCCATGGCCCCAGCTCTGGGATTGGAGTAGGATCTCTTGTCATTGTCCTCGAACGCACTTGCGATTATGTCTGCTCAGTTATCGCCAAAATGCAGAACGATCGCATCGCGACGATTCAGCCGAAGAAAGAAAGCTGTGACTCATTCAAGAAATATTGTGAACAGTTTTTCAAGAAAACGGTGTTTTCGCTGCCTTGTCGTTCCTGGTACAAGCGAGGCACTGAGAATGGTCCCGTCACTGCTCTCTGGCCTGGATCATCTATCCACTTTGTGAAGGTCTTGGAGAAGCCCCGCTTCGAGGATTATGACTACACGTATCTTGGTGGAAATGACATGGGGTGGATCGGTAATGGTTTGACTGTAGGGGAGTCAGATTCCAGTGTGGATATGGTTGACTATCTTCACCCGGAAAAAATTGATTTCCCACACTTCTAAAACCAGGCGAACCCTAGCCTAGTTCGAATGTGCTTCTCTTATAGACCTTACCAAATCCAGTGTGTTGGTAGGTCGGGTCAACATTATTGATTCTTACCAGGTTTTGTGTTGGGAATCTTAACCCTCAGATGGCGTTTAAGATTAGATCTCAAACCCATAGATTTCGAATATGTATCCTTATATCAAGCGATAGAATATAGAAAGGATTATCATCTGTATGCCAGGAATACGTACTATTTCGGGTAGAAGACCTACCCACTGGGTAAGGATACGTAGGCAAGGTCCCAGGCTCAACCATCGAGGCCCGATGTCCTAGGGATTTGGCATTATTTTAGTAGTTTGAGTAGTTGAATTCCATCATGCGATTTAGCATTGGAAGTAATCTGATACTGGCTTATTAGTTGAGTTCTCAAGGTATACATTGCCCACATGATGTCCCAGAACGCCGCGCTCGCGAATACCGCTATTACTCTGATCGACAGTTGAGACATCGAGCTGTACGGGATCTCATCCTCAACCCCTAGTCCCAGCGCTGCGAGTCCCGACACTTCCCGCTTTACCCGCAGCGCATACACTGACAGGATCTATGCCACGCTCACCCGCGAGTACGGCAGAGACGGAAAACAGAATGGGGCGCGGATGAACGCTACCACAACCAGAGCATCGTGATGATCAGGGGAAGGTCAGCCCATGCAACAGCCGCTGAACTACTCTAGAGCATCAAGTATGTCAGGAAGACCTATTCCCAGAGTTATGAGCGAGCCGGGCGTAGGGGCGACGTTGTCCATGTCCTGGATATAGGGTCAGCCGTGTAGGAAGGACTGGCACTCAGTACCAATCACAATAAGACAATACCAGCAGCAGCTAATGAGGAAATTGCAAGGTTAAGGGGCTAACTATTCATTCGGGTCACATCAAGATTCATATTGGTCAAATCATCAGCTTGCGGGTCTGTAACATCATGCTCGGAGATGGAAGCCAGCTGACGGCCGGCTTCATAATGTTGGCTACGAGAGCTATGAAACCACGGCTATTGGGATACGCCGCATTTTTGTGATGTCTACAGTGTGTTTGCGGCATATGTCCAGTTATCGAAGTTGGAATGGCGAGATCCTGTTGAGAGAAAGTCCCTTCTAATCGTTAATGTAGCAACAACGATTTTTGCCATGGGATCCGATATTCAGGGATTTGTAAACCTGGCGTTCCCAATATAGCTGGCAGCATTGGCCAACGTCACACTTCATTATGGAGCTGAAACACGTCCGTAACCATTTTCTATGTGAAATAGGGGCCTTGAGATTGGCCTAGTTCATTGCAAAGTAACTCGGGTACGGCAGTATGTCTACACTCGCTATTAGACACTCACTAGGCGTGGAAGCTTGAAGAGACAGGTCACAGGACTTTAAGAACGAAGAAATCTATGTATTATTAGCCAAGATTCACGCTGCTGTCATCTTTGAGCTTCGAGATCCTCACTAGGCTTTCTCAACAATTTCTTCTCCTAACCGTAGCACTTCCCCAGGGTTACTTTGACCCTTTATTTAATAGCTGGCTGCCTGGTATTAAAAATCGCCTGGAGTCCGGTAGGTGTATCCGTTTATTTAGATACGGTCATCAGATCAGCGTGTCAGTACCTCAGTGCTAGATGAGTATAGAAATACACGGGAACGAATAAAAAAGAACAAAAATCTCGCTACCACATATTCAATACCCCAGGTTGGGGGTGGGTCTTTTTTCGGTGGGCCGTGTAGCTGACTAGGCATGCCAAGCACCTTGCACACAAAAAAGATCAAACTTATTTCAATCCTCAAAACCAACAGCAAACCAGTACTATCGTATACCTAACTCGGTTCCTAAACGTCATGACCACGATCATCCGCCCTGCCGCGCCAGATGAGATCCCCGCCATTATAGATTTCATCATGGCGGCCCGCGCCGACATGTTTTCAATGCTGGATCCATCATTGCATCTCCAAAAGGCCCAGCGTGAACTTGCCACCTTCCAGCAAAGCTACCTGGAACATCCCAACGGAGCCTTCTTCACAGCCCGAGTGGATGGTCGCTTGGTTGGCACCGTCGGTTACGTCACCTACGACCAGCGTTTCCCCCAACTGGACTTTGGCGAGGAACGGGTCGTCGAGGTGTTGAGGATGTATGTCCACCCTGATTGTCGCCGAACTGGATTAGCTTCAAAGCTGTACACGGCTCTCGAGCAGAGAGCAGGACAAGCAGGCATTCAGCGAATGTATCTGCATACCCATCCGTTTTTACCGGGCTCCATCAGCTTTTGGGAGCAGCAAGGGTTTTCCGTCCTCCACGTTGACGATGATCCTGTGTGGCGTACGACGCATATGAGCCGATTGCCTGCTGCTGGTGAACGTTAGCGAATAGATCTGCTATCGACTGCGGCATGAACATGCTTCTACGGGATTTTCTGTTTGCCCGTCTTCAACTTCCACCGCAAAGCCCGCTTTAGGGCTGATTGAAGAGAACCACAGTGACTATATATAGTACGTGATATAGGAGATTCTGGTCACACTTTATTGATTACTGATTGATCTATGTACTGTAGTCTCTCTGTATTTATTGTTTATTGATTATAGATATTCTTTTTTCCACTCTCGTATGATGCAGAACATTATAAAGATTATTTAGCTTGGAATATTTAATATTGTAGATATATTAACTAATCTGACAATCATAACTAACCAAAATCTGCTTATTAACTGCTTCAAGGATATCGCGACCCGGAAGTCGGGTCCAGCGGACCTGCATCCACATATAACACGAAGAAATCCATATCTGAAAAAACTAGCAATCGTCTGAATCAAGAAAATAAACCAAACAGTACAATTAAGGTCAATAATATAACAAAACCCGACATAGAGAACAGGAAAAACAAACTAAACACAGCAACCAAACAAGTAATGCAGTAATCAATAGCCCCTCGCCAAACCGGCGCAAGTTCACCGACTGCAATATTTACTATTGTTCCCTGATCTGGCAGACACACGATAACTGATATGTTCTAGGCTGCCTGTGATCTTGGTGTTTTCCGGTAAGCTGGAGGTAAAATACCAGCCAGAGCCGCCTTGATTTGGAGTGCCAATGTGCGTGAGTACCACCGGTGCTGCTGGGTATAGCCGCCCATGATCCAGAAGTTATCGAGTTTCTGATGGCGCTTCCACATACCGCCAATCTCACCTTCTGTATCAAGCCCCCATGTTCCCTCGACATGTTCCGCAGTGTCCCAAGCACCAAGAATATATTCCTTTCCTCTGTTCGTGCTGTCATTCTTTATCGAATTGCCGCCAAGGATTTGACTTGCAGTGCCACGTTCGTTGGAGTCGGCAAACCCCGTGCACCAGATGATAGTATTTGTATCCATAGTAGTACCGTTGGAGAAACGCAATCCGGAGGTAGTATATCCGATAGATTCAGTTCCCGCCTTGATGCGGACTTTGCATTCTTCGATTAGCTTAGTGCCACCCACATCGACATAATGGCTACCGGCCCGCTCAAGTAGGTTTTGCAGCAGAGACTGTCTCGGGTCACTGCAATCAATGACGGGGAACCCAATCGCCTTCAGACCAGCGGAGCACTCTGGTTTGTTGGACGCAAGCTGTGCAAAGAGATTATACGCTAGCTGGCCCTCTATCTGAGGGAGTAGCGACATGAACTAGTTATCGGCTACCTCGACACCGCCGTCGTATACACCAAGGCTTATGGGGTGGCAACAATAGTCCACGGGTATAGTGGATGTTGGCGAACGGACTACCATAGTATACTAGAGCCCTGCGGCATGGCAATCCTGAAGTACGTCAAATGCTGTATTCGCAGAACCAATAATCAAAACAGACTATTTACCTTGTTAGAATCATCTCAGAGATAGAACTGCCTTAACACTTACTCTTGCCCCTTTCTCCTTGAGCTCTCGGGCATTCTTATATTGTGCGGAATGTAAGCTAATACCTTGATATAGGTTTTGATCTCCGATCGCTGGTATATGTGGTATCTGCGAACCAATACCCGTTGATAATAGGAGCTGTTTTGAGACGGTCCTATATAGACCAGTGGGAGTTTGGAATATAATTTCCCAATTTCCAACCGATGGGTCATATTGTGTTGACTGGATTTCTGCCGAGTTGATCATGTTGAGATTGAATGTCTCCACGTAGCACCGAACCTGCGCCGTGAGCTCGCCCTTAGTAAGAATATGTGGAGTCCGTAGCTCCTGACCATATGCTAAAGAAACTATCAGTATGCACTTATAGCATCGCTCGGGTGATTCTATCAACATACGCATAAATGGCATGTCACAGTATGAAGTCGCAATATGGAACTTCATGCAGTCGTATTGAAGGGCCCAGTTATCACCGGGATATGGGTTCTTGTCAACCATGAGGCTCTCTATTCCTAGGGCCCTAAGACGTGCGCACAGAGTGACAGCGCTGTTTCAGATATAAGATTAGTTAAGTAGCTTTCATAACGACTACACCTTAACCTACACATTTCCACCTCCCATAATAAAGACATCTGTCTCAAAATCCTCTAAATTATCAAACTGTCTCGATAGTAACTGAAGGAGGCTCTCATCCTCTGGTTGCACATCTAAGCTCGTAAGCCTCGTACTTGAAATCCATATCATCCACCGGATAGCGGTTTGTTCATTCTCAGGCTCGGTCCGAGTAGGCAGCAGAAGCATCTTGCCATTACAGGTAGCAGCGGGTGCTTCAGCTCGAAAGGTCAATGGACAGTCGATAAATTGCTGCCCAAGTCTGCAATCATCTCACAGTGTTTACTTCTTGCAACATTTCGATGCAGGTCATTCGCTTACCAAAACCGGCGATACGGATAAGAATATTGCTGGTCCGCCCACCTCAGTCCCCCCCTTTACGCTCCCAGACTCTTTGTTTCCTGAAGACTTGCTGAAATAACGCTTGTGCTCTGAAATGTGCGTAGATGATAGGTCAGCGCAAGCTGATCTTTCCAGTAGGCTTGGCTAGTGAAGAAACAACCTGTCAGCGATTCACCATCTTCCGCTGCGAGAGCAGCATTAACGGTGTTCAACACTAACTGTGCCTGCTTGGTTGCCCCATCACCAGCCAGGGTCTTTGGGTCTATGAGACCAGGCGTAAGCATAGGTAGTGGTTTCTGGTCCATCGTACTGCGTAGATCCCCTATAATCTAACTAGGGAGAAAGATAGGAAGATCCATCAGACTTAAAGATTTTAAACTCCCCGATCAAAATTAACTAGGAGTTCGGGTATTAAGGTTGAGGGAACGTGTTAACCCAGTAGCACCTAAGGAGTGCCCCCATCCCCATCTCGCGCCCGAATATATGTAGCTCAAGTTAGGGTCTTCTATGCCAGTACGGATGCGGGTGTCACTTTTGTATCCAACAAAGCTGATTTGCCGCAGCATAGATAACATATTCAAGAATCCACAGATGATGGGGAGTAAATCATAGTAAGCGGCCTGTAGACAGCTGCTTCCCGTGGATAGGTTTCCCCTGGATCGCAAGTCATAGTAGATAGATGCCGTTCCGGGGAGCGAAGGCCTGCTTGGATATACATAAACGATTGGAAACTGTACCCCTCAATTCGTACCTTTCGCTTCTCACATTAGCTTCACGATTTTCTTCATAACTTTTTCTTTTTAATCCCGTGCTATTCCTCAAAATGGTAGTCTCCACCTTTATGCGGTTTGAAGATGAGCATGGCGGCACCCACTACGGAGAGCCCGCCTGACGCGATCTTGCTGGTGACCTTGTGAACGCCAATGTCAAGGTCTTGGACAGAAATCCTTCTGATGGGCTACAGGCTTCGGGGGCTGAGGCAAAGGTGACCAAGGTGGGCTCCATCAGCAGGCACACACAGGCTTCTTCACTCTTACTGACTCCCGCTCCAGGTTCCCTGTCCACTGGAATTCACATCGATTATTCTTTGCATTGGACTCAATTACAAGAAACATGCCAAAGAGGGCAATGTGGAAATATCCCCTTACCCGGTAGTTTTCACCAAGCCTGCCGATGCCCTTACCGGTACGTCCCAACAGTTAGACGACTGCGTGATCAGCTGTTGATACAAACAGGACCCTACGACAATGTGGACGTTCACCCCGACGCGTCCTCCAGGCTGAATTATGAGGGCGAGCTGGTGGTCGTGATTGGGAAAGACGGCAAGAATCTCTTGGAGAAAGAGGCGCTAGATTACGTGCTAAGCTACACAGTTGGCAACGACATCAGTGCCAGGAACTTCCAGCATTCCAACGTCGGCAGTAGTCAATTCTACTATGCAAAATCCTTCGGTAGATTTGCACCCATTGGCCCCGCTATCCACACGACAAAGGAAGTCCCAGACCCACAAACGCTGTCCTTTGTCACGCGAGTTGGTGGAGAGAAGCGTCAGATCATCGCTCATCTGAGCCGTGGAACAACACTCAGGAAGGGAATTGTTTTCATGACCGGGACCCCGAGTGGTGAGCGCTGCCTGTTGTGTCTTGAGAAGTCACAGCTGACAGCGTATTTTACTGCAGGTGTCGGATTGTTCATCTCAGTGGGCTTCTTCGCAATCACGGTGTGGTGGAAGTGGAGCTCCAGGCGTTGGGTACAATTAAGAACCAAATTATATTTGATTGACTTGCATACGATACACAGCCCACATGATAATTCAATGATGATGCTACCCTAGTGTATACTTTGAGCGGATGAGGCGGTGTCTACGAAACTTGTGATGACCTACCAGACAGAAAGCTTCCCAGGTGTAAAATCTCGCTTCATTGTCGCCAATTTATTCGTAGTGTTCTCCTTATACAACAATGGCCTCAGCTAGAAAGGCAACTAGGTACTCTCTGCGTACTCTTTATTACGCTTCACCAAGCTTATAAGAGATGATTATGAATAGTAGTGGGTAAACGAGTGTGACTACCACGCTCCAGCTCCAAAGGGCCGCCAACGGAAGACATCAGGAAAGCCGTCCGTGAACAGCTCTGGATGGCAGGAATGACGTTGCTTAATCATGGGAGGATCATCACAGCGCATTTTCCCAGCACCATGCTAAAGGTCTGCTCGCCAGTCAGTGGCTGATAGAAGTCGTAGTTATCAACTACCCTCCCTCAAGCCCAGATGGAGCCTTTCACTACCCGGACTATACTAAACTCGACCCCATGTACTACAAAGCGATAACCAATACTGTCTTATTGGGACTATCGTAACCTCCATGCCTACTATACTGTAATGGAAGTGTGTGTACTAGATAGTGTCCTTGGCATTGTAGCATCTACTACCATTCTGCATAACTATCTCTTGAGTCGGTTGTCGGCGACCCTGGATCCTGACCAAGTAAGTCTCCTGTTCTCTTCCAGTGATACCATTGGAATATTTTCCCCTTTAATTGAACTTCAGATCCTCAAGGCTTACTCGGTTGCCTATAGCATACAGGTAAAACTGGCAGGAGGATTTTCCGTAGCTCAGTTGCTGTCTGTCGCGATGATATGGAAGCGTTCAAATGTGCGGTGTCTTAAACATTAGCCATGTACCCCCTTTCTGAGCATGACAAGCTGTGATAATCCAAAATTTAAAACGAGTATATAGTATACTGTACCTGATCTTTGATATTTAACGTAACCGGCAGCCGAGCCTTCCACCTCTATATTCTATATAAAATAGCCCTTTTCATTATCCAAATATTCCAACAGTAGTGAAGATACATTACTTCATTTGTTAAAATATATAATATATAGTATATTAAAAGAATTAAGAATCTCTTATCCGGCCCACTTGAAGATTATATAGTTCTAATATTCTAGAATCAATTACAGCCTCTCTGGACTCCTCGTTGTTATGATATCCGAAGTGTAAAAGTGGTCATTTTGTATGGGATACGGGCCTGGAACGCTCGCTTGCGTGGAACGTTCGCTTGCCGGTTACGTTATCTCGCATTGAGTCAGGCAACAGAGAAAATATATTTAATTAGAGGCAAATTTGTCGATCTAACTACACCTCTCCTCATCCCCTATAGACTGGCACTTTCTTATATCCTTCCACCCCATTCCCCATGCCACACAAAAGCAGCTGACACCTATACCAGCAGACAAATAAAAGACATGATCTATCCCCTGAGTATAAGCCAGTAACACTCCTGCCAGTTTATCCTTTGAAACTGCGCTCCGGATCGCTCCAGCTCCAACAGCAACCAGGGCTCTGGAATCCACGGACGGAGCGTATACCGCCAGGCCAGACTTCAAGCTGTTGATGAAGATGACTTGGCCCAGGGTGAGGAAGATTGCCTGGCCCAAAGTTTGGCTAAAAAGGAGCAGAGAAAGGGCGATGGAGGTTTCGGCTTTGGTGAGGATGTTTTGTACTGCAAGGAGGGGCTGCACTCATGTTAGTATAGATATGCATATATATGTTGAAAAGTGGTGAACTCACCGCCTGAGTACCTAAACCCCGTCCAGCTCCTATCAGGATCTGGTATCCAATCCATGTTCTTGTTGGTGTCGATGAAGAGAGAAGAGATAGCAACCCGTTTCCAAGTGATAATAACCCCCCGCTACCGATACTAAACGGAAGATAGTAGCCTACCTTTCTCACTGTATGGTGATTAGAATCAATGCTATTGGCCGAGGAGGGAGAAATTCCTTACCTAAAAACCCAGAGAAAATGACAAGAATCAACTGACTGATGATGCTTGGGAGTGTAGAAACACCACTTATCATCGCGGACACTCCCTTCACAACTTGAAAGTAAAGAGGAAGATAATATATTGCACAGGCATTCATACCGCCGAGGAAGAACATAAAGAGACAGGAGAAAAGGACTATTCCCTGAGAGACCATGTAGAGAGGGAACATGGCCTCTCGACCGGTGCGATACTCCCACCCCAGAAACAGAATGAACATGGCGCCTGAACCGCAAAACAGACCAACAACTGTCGCGCTATTCCAACGATATTGGTTTCCGCCATAATCGAGTGCGAGAAGGAGCTGAATGATGGCCGGTGCGAAAATAGAGAATCCGATCAGATCTAATTTCTCTCGGATGATGTAAAGGGTTGGTAGAGTGTCATTCGTAGCTTTCGGTTCTGGGATAGTGACGAAAAGCAAGACAAGAGTAATGACACCGCCGATTGGCAGGTTAATGTAGAAGCCTACAAAATAGATAACCAGTGAGAGGTTCCAGGCGAAGAGACACACAGAGAGAGTACTTACACCATCTCCATGATACATACTCCGTTAGCGCCCCTCCAATCAATGGTCCGAGGACAAGGCCAAGCTGAGCAACTAGAAAATCACGGGTCAGAGGAAATATCCCAAGATGTATCAAATAGGCCTACTTACTCGCCAGCAAGATGGCCGTCATGGCTATCAAAAAGCGGGATTAGTGATATTTTAAAAAGGAGATAAGATGGTATGATACATACATGCTTGTTTCTTCGGGGGAAAGGATCTCGTAATAATTGTCAAGGCACCATTTTGGATACCTGAAGCTCCGATGCCTGCCAATGCCCGTGCAACAATGAGCATTTTCGAGCTAGATGCCAAAGCACAAATCAAAGAGCTGACCATGAAAATGCCCAGCAGCGCAATGAAGGTTTTCTGGTGACTGTTAGCTATTTTCGCCAGCAAAAGAAAGACATAAGTGCCAGCGTACCTTGGTGTTGAAGTATGTGTATAATTTCCCTGTGAGTGGCTGAAAAGATGCACTGCATAGAATATTAGTGGAGTCTTCTTCTTTTCTCTCTTTAACATTATGAGTTTTCCAATTTCATCTTTAATCAATTTCTATATCTTCTTTTTAATTTTTGAAATAGATAGTAATAGTTGACATACCTAGTGAGCTGATATGCACTACCATACCATCCTACATCAGAAAGAGAATGAAATAGGCTTGTGATTCGGGGAATTGCCTATTATGACATGTCATCAGTCAAGGGGAACATATACCTAACTAGCAGTCCCTAGTATCTCAAAGCAGGCTTACCGGGGCAACGATAGAAGTATCAATAAGCACAAGAAGGGCGGCGGACGTCAAAGCCGACAGCAGCAATGCAAGCCTAAAGCCAGTGATATAATCTTGTCGGTCTATTGCTGGCTCTTGCTCTTCATCCTTATCCATTCTGCCATCCTTTCCCCCTGATGCTACACGCATCTTCTCTTGTTGGCTGGGAGTCGGGAACTGGGGAGTATCATCATATGCCTGCTTTTCCATTTTCTTTCGTGGGCGTGGCGATACAGTTGTTACGAGTTCAAGATATTTATCGTCAAAGATGAAGGGAATCAAGGGAATCAAGGGAGGCAGTCTGCACACGTACACGTGACCCCCTATTTATTCATTCTTGCAAATTGCGGCTAAATTATAATGGAGTAAGGAGCGGAAAATGGAGGACAAAAAAAGATACCGTAGAGATTTGCACGGCCCCATTTGGGTATTTAAAATGATGCACCATTGTAGCTCCAAGGGAATAATCACCAATTCGCGTAGACCACTACACTATCAACGTTCCAGCAATGAGCAATTCTATAATTCAAGTTCGAAGGGTTCATAGAATAATTGTTTGCATCTAATTTAATTGATTGGTGGAGGGAAAACTGAAGAGCAAATATCAGACACATTGATAATCTTTTATGACGGTACTATAGTAACTAGTGTCATCCGAGCTGTGTAACCAGCCTTACGAATGGAGATGCGTCTCCACTAAAATCTCTAGCGCTGCACAGACACAAGAAGGTTCAATAGTCTGGATAATTTTCTTCGATGTGTCTATCTCAGCCGCTTCCGCTACATTAGATCGGAAATCGGTAATCAGAACAGAGATGAAGGGAAGGAAGAAAAGAACTTCTGTACACGCGACGCTGAAGAGTACTTCGATAATTGAGATTCCAATGAGGGCTGGAAGTCAGCTGTACAGAACACTAGACCTAAAAAGGTAACCTCAGTTGCATGTTGCACTGCAGAGTGTTTTAGTTGTACAGGGTAAAGCTTGCTGGATTTATAGATTCATGACAGGTGGTCTGAGTACTAACGTACTGTAGCTGACCGCCTGACGATCGATTTCACCACCAATAACCAGGTAGGAAATGAAGCTATACAACCACATAGAAAAGAAACTATATGGAAATCTCTTGGTGTAATGGAATAGAGACTATGAAGGAGATATCAAGAGATTTTAGATCTCGAAAGCGCTGTGGGAGGCGTATTTATCTGCCTCGACGATTTACAGTAGGAAGGGCCCGTTCAGTAACTTCAGATACTGGAGTATTAATACCTTGCTGACTAGATGATTTAGAAGATCTAGAGATAAGTCTCCTTTCCTTTTTACTCTTCTGGGAGTTATCTTGAAACTGTAGATCCGCTACATTTAGTATTTCTTCTACTCAGCTTTCTGCATCTTCAACTCTTTCTAATATATCTTAATCCTCCAATCATTTTTAATCGACTGTTACTTCACTTCTTTCTCCCTTTTTTCTCGCTAATTCTCTATCTTTTTTAAAGTCTTTCTATTTTCTACTGCTTTCTCTTTTTAATTCTGAAATATCCGAGTCTCCTAGATCTTGTTACGCGAATAAAATACTGTATTACTAGACTGGCGTTTGGCCAGGTTACAAAGGTTAGGTTATGCCACTCTATGTATTACCATTCTCAGTAAAGATTTTCCACGCTGACACTTCTTTTCTTATACAGAAGGACTCTTTCAAGACCCTGAGAGCAGGGTTTTAGGAAGATATTCTCTGTAGAAAGCTAATATATCGTAGAAAATAGTTTTCAAATAATTTAATTATAACTATCACTTACTTTAGAAATCTCTCAATTCCTCTCCAGTCTTCTGTATCTTGTACTGAGCGGGAGGACTCGCGAGAAGAAAGCCTACTGTCGCACTTTTTAATAAAGTGCTTCAAAGCAACCTTAGGATTCTATAGCTATAAAATAACAGATTCCTATATATTTTCAATATTCTTTTAAGATAAGATTTGTTTCCAACTAGACCAAAATAACTAAGACCTTGGCAATCGTGTAAAAATACTTCTAATTCAGTACTGTAGACTAAAGAAAGAGGTGCAAAGATATCAATATCAAGTAGCTGCAGAGAATAAATTAAATAAAGTAGATAAACTGCTAAAAGAATCCTGTTTGTATCACAAAAGTCTATAAACTCCGGTATAAGATAAGATCTATAGCTATGAAGAATTACAAGTCTCCAGTGTTTTTCTACATTTTCTTTAATCTCTCGATTAAATATATCTTTTAGCTATACAAATATAAGTAATTGCAGTGATCCACTCCCGATTACTATCCTGGAGACCTTACTTAAAGTCTCCTTGCTTATATTTCTGCTTAGAAAAGATTCTTTTATCTTTAGATAGAACTCTAATAAGAAATCCTTTATCCATGTTATATATATCTTGAAATCTGAGCTCAAATTTCTGTTTCTTTCTAGCCAAAAACTCAAAGTATAAGACATATTTATACACAGAATCCACCCGTTTTCTTGAAGAATCAATTCCAGTAGTATAGCGAGCAATAAGGCCATCGTTATACTTCTTTAAAAAGCGGGTGGGTCACCCTGAACTCCGCGGTGACGTCTTGACAGAGTATTTCGATCAATATCGTGCTTTTTTGCAGTTACAGTATAATTAAAAGTTTCTTCTGGCTTCAAGGATTCTATATCCACCAGCGTTGCTTCAATAGGAGTCATATTGAATGAGTTGTAGAGGATTAAAATTCTACTCCAAATGTTGGTGTGCAATAAAATCGATCGTCAGGCGGTCAGCTACGGTACAGAAGCATTGAATTTCATTTTCTCTCAATGCAAATAAGCCTGAATCCCATGAGAGAATGATATCCAACTCCAAGGTGCTTTGGATAATGTAATTGTGAAGGAAAACTCATATTTCAGTAACTATGATCAAGTTTAACACCCCACCAAACACCATATTACTGCAAGGTTCCAATATTTTGGTTACAGCCGTGCCAAATTGACCTCACCGTCCCATGGAATTATCTTCACCAAAATAGTTGATAGCCCTTGCAACTTTTCGGGACTGACCGATATTTTCCACCTCCACAGTCGAGCGATGTCTCCTCTCCTGATGGTATGCGAGACTTCAAGTCCAGTTTTTCGGTAGTAATTTAAGATGGTGGGATGGGTAGTAGTACTCGCGCCCAACATGCGTGTCCGGAATTGATTTGATCGATGCCCAGACGGGCGCTGAAGCTGAGCTTTGTGTCGCTTTTGGAACGTCTGTCTGTCCTCGCTGACAGCTACTCGCTCAGCTGTGGCAAAGGCCTCAAGAATCATGCCCCGTTGCCGGTGGTGAGGAGAAACAAACGAGGTTCCTAGGAACCAAGACGATTCATTACAGTCATTTTCATTGTCGTGGTACGGCTCATGGTGACAGCGCGGTCCGTAGAGACTTGAAATCAATGCCCACTCATTTTCCCATACCGGAGTCTGGAGGGCACCATCATCTGCTCGGGGAACAGCGATAATGACTCTAAACGCAGGCTCACAGAGTATTGAAATCCATTCTGCTTCGGACATGCTTGCTTCTTTTTCATAGGATGACCCGAAACTGTCAGGGGCTGTTTTAAGGGCGTTCAGGCGGAATTCGATATATTTGGGACCCCATTGTTGGACACTCGCCTCGTCGTGGGGCAGTATTTCGAAGTGGTATTGCGATAGAGGGAGCATGATGCGAATGATTAGAATCGGGTTTTGCCTGGATCAATGATGAATCCTCGGGACAGAGCACGAGATTTTATTTTCGTCTAGCGAGCATCTATATCTTACATTTTCCTGATTGGGCGAAAATGCTGCAGCATCTAGGTAGGCTCAGTTGAACCTTGTATTCAGTGCTACTAGTAGAACAAGTGGATTCGGTGGAGAACAAAACTGTATTCATGTGGCTCTAGTCGCCGATCATCGAACATAGTGAAAATTCAAAATTCCTCTAGAATACAGCGGCGTAACAAAAGTTTGGAAGAAACAATTTGTCAAAGCGAGCTGAATCAGTAAAGACTAGTGTGCATATGGACGAATGAGACCTATCGGAACCATCAGGTAAAGACTGATTGAAGGAAGCCCTTCGTAACAAATGGGTAAAGGGGCGGGTTGAGCCGTCCCATGGCGGTGTAACCGAGTATTCGGGTGACAATACCGGTGTCAAGGTGTTACCCGCATTTTACATACAAACACACAGTAAATCTGAACGGAGTTAGACCAATCCTATGTCACTGTAATAAACCTTCCACTTTTCCACAACATCTTCCAACCTTTTTCAGCCACTGTATATGTGGCTGATTTTTGCGAAGACCTGCATGGGACTATCAGGACATATTTATGCCTCGTAATAGCGCTCCCCACCTGGCAGTGAGGGTGCCCCCCAGCGGTAGCCCCATTCTCAGCGGTCTTGAACGAGAGCATGGCAAGATGTGGGTGTATCGCTTCATCAAGCGCTTTCCTGAGGAACAGCTTGGCCCAATGAAGCAGAAGACGAAGGAATCTTTGCAGAGATGCCAGGATTATAACCTCATTTGTTTCGCTTTCAAGCCTCATTCAATTCACCTCTGTCAACCTCTCAATGGCAAGCCGTTCCTTAGCTATAAGCGGCATTTTCGCAAGGGAACAATAGGAGTGCGTTCCTAACCGGGCAGCCAGTGGGGATGGCCGACTTGCTACGATACATCGCCGACGTACGACAACGAGCCTTCAACCCACGAATATTCGTGATTCCTTCAAAGACCGCGGTATCTGGGCACCATATGGCATGTATATCATCAAGAAGCTTAACGACATCCAGGAAGAGCTACAAGAGATCTTAGCGCCTGATCTTCATACATACGGAGAAGCAACACCGTCGCCGCCGTCGTCATCCTCTCAGCGTCGATATTTCGCCTCCAAAAAGCATTCAAGCCCTCCAAAAGAATCACAAGAAGCCATCTAATATATACAGCCTTACCCAAAGCAGCGGCGAGGCCTACTACGCATCTTCGAACACAATAAGATCATCGCGGAACAAGCAGCTCGCCCAAACGAGATAATCAGCCAAATGACGACCGCGCGCGCCCGTCTATTGCGGAATTACAACAGACGACATATTAAGGGGTTTAGCCACACTGATATGCTTCGCCCACAAGACGCACATCGGTTAATTAGGGATAGGAAGGCAAAGGATACTATTCGGGAGAAAGGGCGGCTGGAGACATGAAATTGTACGGCAAACCGCCACCAAGAGAGCCTACGCAGGATAATAAGGCATCAATTGAAGCTACAAGGGCTAGTGAAGAGGCTAATGAGCTCTTTTACCTTGATCCGCATCCAATGTGTTGTTGATAAATGTGTAAATAGCATCAAAATTGGGCTACCGCTGGGGCGCACACTCACCGCCAGGTAGGGGGTGTTATCACGAGGCACAAATACAATAATTAATATGCTCCTAGTGGATTTTTGACTTTCATCTGGACAGATAAGAAATTACCTTTCAACATGCCATGGTATCCGGTACGGACGCTATTCCCCGAACTGACGGAGCCCGTTTTTGTTACATATCCACTGCATATTGTTTGCAGTAACCAATATGCTTTCCTTGCATTTGTATAACTTTAAATATAAAAGCTCACCGCACATTTGCCTCGATTCATTATCTATCCAAAATTTTAAGCGAAATTCAGCTCTAGAATGACCAATTATCTTTGTCTAGACACAAGACTGCATTAATCGTGTGATCGTGAAATACTATATATAACCGACCCCTCCGCATAGTAATTATCGAACATTTAATTATCCGACAGCGCTGATCATCGATAATCATTCAGCTTCACCCCACAAGCCCTACAGTCCAGCGAGGGGCAGATAAGATAGAAGCCCATATTAGACAATTCTTTGTACCGTCTGTTTATCCTTCTACTATTGCACTATCTATCTTGCATTCTCATCAAGAATGGCTAACAACCCCTCTTCGTTGGCCGAAGCCTGCCATGAAAACCAGAAGGCACCAACCACCCATTTAATTACACTTCTCGATCAAGTCGCCGACCAATTCCCAGATCATGATGCCATTATATCCTTCCATCAGACCAGCCTGCACTGGACCTTTGCTCAACTGCAGGAGAAGAGCATCCAACTCGCCGCCCATTTATCGTCTAGAGGTGTTGGTCTTGGAAGTCGGATCGTGACCCTTATGTATAACCAAGCCCAGTGGGCACTACTTTTCTGGGCATCTGCCCGCCTGGGCTGTCAATTTGTGCCACTGGATCCCCGGGTGCTCGATCGCGACGCACGGGATATTTTGTTTCTCCTCGATCAGCTGGAACCAGGAGCAATATTTGTATCAAACGAGGCTATGGCGAATCGGATTAACCATATCACCATCGATCATAACCATCGCCCTTTTGTTCAATGCGTTGTGAGCGACAATGAAGAGACTACTGTTTCGGCCGGGTGGACGACGATGTCCAACATCATGTCGGAGCCATTAAAAGACAAGCCTTCTTTGCATCAGCCCGGAACCCCAGATGATACAATACTTATACTGTTCACGAGTGGCACTACTGCACTTCCCAAAGGCTGTCCACACACGACCATCTCCATCGGTGCTCAAGGGCTAGGGTTCATGTACGGGTTAGAACTAGGACCTGGCGCTAATCTTTGCCAGCATTTACCCAATTTTCATATATTCAATATTGCGCTTACTCTTGCGTTCTGGCTGGCTGGTGCGACTGTCATCTTCCCAAGCTTTTCTTTCGACCCACAAAGCACCTTGCAGCTCATCAGATCCTATCAACGGGTCACAGCTCCCTGTGTCCCAGCCATGATACATGCTTTACTGAACTGTGCGTCGCCTCAGCACAGCTCCTGCCCTTCGTTTGAAGTTCTTCTTGGTGGTGCTCCAGTGACATTGGACGTAGTGAAGCGCTGTAGGAATTTGGGGGCGACAAGGATTATGATAGGATATGGTATGACTGAGGGTATACCTTTTGTCAACACCTCTTTGGAAGAAAGGTCCATGGAGCTAACGACAAGAGATGTATCTGTTGGGAAGGTATTCTACGGTGGGCGAGTCCGGATCTGTGCTGAGGGAAGCCGCATCCCCATTCACAAAGAGGAGATCGGTGAGGTGCACCTCGGTGGTCTTCCAGTGTTCGGAGGCTATCTTGGGGGGAGCAATGACTCATGTTATCGTGAGGATGGGGTGAACTGGATAGCCACAGGAGATCAGGGGTACATGAACAGTGAGGGCTATGTTTATATACTCGGCAGATATAAAGATCTTATTATCTGCGGTGGCGAGAACATATCCCCATTGAAAATAGAACAGTGTTTGGGCGAGGTAGATGGGATAAGGGTAAGTCAGCCCGACCTAGTTTTATTATCAAACGGGGTTTTGATGCAACAGGTACTTACTATCTGATAGGATGTGTATGTTGTCGGAATTCCAGATGCTGTTGCTGGTGAGGTGCCTGTTGCTGTGATACGAAAAGATCAGTCAGGCCAAATGCCAATGAAAAAGGCTCTTCAAACAATGGTTTCGAATGAACTTGGTCAATCGTTTGCTCCAGCACGCATTCTTGATCTCCAAGATGACCTTGGAAATGATCACTACCCAACTACAACATCTGGCAAAATCCAGAAAACAGTGCTTCGAGCATGGGTAACCGAGCATCTCAATCAGATCGCCGTCGACAATCAAATCTCTTCCGACGACCTTACAACAGAATTAAAGACATTGTGGTCTGGCTTAACCGGTCTGGCACCTAGAGATATCGATCGAAACATTTCTATACGAACCTTCGCCGACAGTATGATGCAAATCCAGTTTTGCCACCTGATAAGCCAAAAGCTGCAACTGGTGATCACGCCGATTGATTTGATAAAGTTCAACACGATTAGAAAACAGGCGAAGCTGCTCAGCGAAAGAAAGCATCTCAAGGACTCTCATTGTCGTGATACAGACCATGCTCCTCCAGCGCAGCTCGACATGGAGCGGGTAAAAAAGGTGACCTTTTCCAAGTTGAACAACCTCGGATTTAGATGGGATGACGTGGAAGAGGTCGTTCCGATTGCAGACTGTGTGAAACGAACACACTACGGACACAGGCCAAACTCGTGGAACACCCGGATGTCGTGGATTGCGAGCTCATCAATCAGCATCGCAGATGTCAAGGCAGCCTTGCACACTTGGCTTCAACGTCATCCACTTCTACGGTCCACACCTCTTTCATACGATGAGGAACTAGATCTATATTTGATCATGAATCCCAGTGAGGATTGGATGAAACTACAGGTTGTGGATGGCGGTATGGTTAAAGACATAAACAGCGTCGAAACATATAGGTTGAATGATGCCGACTATGACTATATAGATGGGAAGGGGCCATTGTTCAGGGCTACTATTCTAAGTGTGGAGAGTTCATCAGTCGTCGGATTGGTCATGCACCTGCACCATCTTGTGTTCGATGCCCACATCCTGTTTCGATGGTTTGAAGACCTCAAGAATCTTCTGAATCGCAAGGATCAGCTTCTCTATTTTCATCCATACCGTGACTATATCGCAGATTACCAAGGGAATCGAACTGGGTCAGCAGCCCGGAGAGCGGTTGACTTTCATGTTAACAAAATTCGAGGAGTATCGTCTGCTACTGATGCGTTATGGCCACGGCAGATTGCACCACACTGGCTCAAAGGTGATAACCAGGGTTGGGTCCACAGTGACAACACACCAGGCCATCCCAGCGAGCGACCCCTTCTGGATGGAGATAAAAGCATTGGAACCAAGGGTATCACTCGCGCTGTGCATGTGCCCAATATCTCGGAATTACGACACAAGTTCGCGATAACACCGCCGATAATTGCGAGATGCGCCTGCGCATTGATCAATGTGCGCATGACTGGAGCCAAAGAGGCAATTTTTGGCCTCGTTGAATCGGGCAGAATCTGGCCATCTGCAGATGACAGTCACCCCGAGAATAAAGGTATCGATATTTTAGAAGTCGACGGGCCTACAATCATCCAATGTCTCAGTCGTACAAAGATTACACCAGACGAAAGGACAATCCAGCTTCTATCCAGGATGAGCAAGGACCAAGACGATATTGTTTCTAATACATATGCTCCTATGGACGAAATATGCCGGAAGCTGGATGATTCAGACTGCAAATCCTTCCTCGACGTCCTCTTCCGCCAAAGCCTCAACTGGAGGATTGGGGGATATAAAGAACATGCGTCCGATCCAATCAAGTTAATCGAAAACATTTCTCGATCCGACTTTGGTCTTTTCTGGCTACCAGGTATGATGGAGGCTGATCTGTTGCGGCTGACTGTGAAATACGACGATGCTCAACTTAGGGCAACCGATGTATACAATATTATGACGGAGTTCCTGTGCGCTGTGGCCTGGCTTAGTGATCCTGGTAATATGGATAAGCCTGTGTCGCAGTGCGAGTTCCAAGGTCGTGATATCGTGGACCTTGATCGCGAAGGTCCGGCTCGCTATCGGAAGTGACCAGCCCACGATGGGTTGGGCTTTAGGCCCGAGTCTAGGGCCTAACCGAGAAGAGGGAATGGGATGCGGGTAGCCGGTTTTAGGGTTAACTGTATATTCTATTTGGCGGTCGATATACATCCCCGTGGGCCACTGTAGTCTAATCCGCTTGAAATTTGGTCAGTATATTGAGCCAACCTTATTATATTCCGGATGTATTTTAGAATATATTTGACTGTTCTCCAGCTGTATTATAATATGGATTAGAGTAGTATAACCTAGAGTAGCATAATATAACCGCCGTAATCTAGCCATAACCTAATCTAACTGGCCTCGGTTAGATTAAGATATAAAATTTCTTAACCGATCTAGATATAATTAAATTAAAATCAATTAATCTCTTAACTGCAGTTAACTATAAACTGTTACAGACCCCGGTCTAGTGCAGCACTACCAGATAATATACTAGCTACAGTTAGACTGGCATTTGGCCAGGTTAGGTTAGGTTAATGGGGTCAGCTATATCTAACCGCTAGGTTATAGCTAGATTAATAGAATTTCTATATCTAATTACAGTTAAGCTAAAAATTAAATAATTAATCTAGATTAACTGTACTTGGTATCAAGACTATTAATTTTTATTAAATATAGTAGACAGTAAACTAGATTAATTATA